AGATCCAATCTTCGGTGTAGAGTCTGATGTAGCGCAGGCCGGAACATCGCTTATGGATGTAGGCACCGCACCAGGAGCACCAGAACGAGTGTCCACTCCACGTGACTGGTAGGGAGCAGACCGAGCAGGGGGGGTGCGGGCCAGGGTTGGGGTGTATACCCTGGGCCAGGAGAAGAAGAACTAGCAGGAAGAAGAGATGGGAGGAGAGCAGGGCACAAGGAGCCCTTAGGAAGATGGCGGCCAAAGATGTGGGTAGGGGGAAGGGGAGGCCGAGGTTCCCCTGCCCTTAGCAGAAAAGGTGAAGGAGCCTCCGTCCGGTAGCAATCCGGGCGGGGGGGCCTCTGCCGTTTGGCCTGGCCCACGTGAATGCCGGGTAACCGGCCGACGCGTTGGCCAGGGTACCCCCACGACGAAGACGCGGCAGAGATCGGGGGCTCTCTTATTGTCATCACCAGGCACTATTATTTCAATAATTTCGTATATATCGAATTTTTACCGAAATTTTAAATTATCCTTGATGGGCGAATGGAAGGCAACTCGTATAAAATAACTTATTATTTATGTAATATACTCCATCCACAGCAATTATTCAATTTACTTAATCTACTGCGATTATCTAATATAGTGTAATTAAGTTCGATCATTTAATGTAGTGTAAATAAGTTCCATAATTTAATGTAGTGTAATTAAGTCCGCTTCTTCCTTGGCAGGAGCAGCAGCTGGCCCTGGTAGCGCGAACTGATGTGAAGGGGCGGCCGTCGCGTGGTCACCGCTTCAACATCCCAAACTCGAGCGGTCTTTTAAGACCAGACTCTGCTGAAGCGGATAAAATAACTCAACCAATACACAGATACTCTAGCAACTATCACCATCATTCTGTTGATTCCACTATCAAACATCCTGCTGGAGATGATAAAGATTCAAGTGTTGGTTGGGAGTCTGGTAATCCAGTGACTGAAGACTCGGTCTTCAAGAGCGAGGAAATCCCTAAACTAACAAATAATGGAGCTTATGCTGGCAACTGTCATTCATTGCTACCTGGGAAACGAACACAAACTGATAAACCTATTGAATCTCCGCGTGTTGATGATCGTAAAAATGTCGTGGAAGTTGACGAAGAAAAACCAGAGAAGCCTGAGAATCTGCAGTGTCCAAAATCTGATGGTGACTCCAACGAAGTTACTTATAGCAGCGCTGAAGCTGACCAGGGAAATGACGTTTGCAAGATGGCTGAACTCCTTGAACTTCTTTCTTCGTTGCAAAACCATTTACTGGCTTACTGCACCAGACATGCTATTTCTCCTGTGAGTATAATAACTGAAAACTGCGGGTCAGATTCTGGGATAAAAACTGTGTTCGATGCATTACATTTTCAGTATGTTTATAAATGTCTAAAATTATATCATGAAATTCTCATAAATCTTAAGTTGTATCATACAATGTTTGATATATTCCCAACAAGTTTTGTTTTGATGTTTATGAACGAACGTTTGTCAATTGAATTATAATACTTAGAGTCAAATAAAAAGTTGCTTAATTTTCTTTTTCAAATCGAGATTTATCAGTTGTAATGAAAACTACGATTGTCTTGTGATTCAGAATGCATTGAAATTCCTTAATCCCTTAATATACTTGTATAATATTTTGGATTTAACAGTTCCATGTCCATAACCGCCAGTGTCCCGGAGGTCAGTGGAACATAACTACTGCAAACTCCTCGAACAAACATTCCAATGTATATAATTGGCATTATTATTTACGGGAAAAATCATTGTAATTTATTCAATATGCATCATTTATTAACGGGAAAAATCATTGTAATTTATCCAATTGGCATCTTTTATTCACGGGAAAAATCATTGTAATTTATTCAATTGGCATCATTTATTCACGGGAAAAATCATTGTAAATCATATAATTAGCATTATTTATTCACGGGAAAAATCATTGTAGTTTATTCAATTGGCATTATTTATTCACGGGAAAAATAATTGTAAATCATATAAGTAGCATTATTTATTTACGGGAAATCATTGTATGTGCAGGAGTGTGGAAGCGCAGCTCTACTACAGCGTCACTTGCAGCAAGTGTTCGATGTGAGCTGCCGGCTGCTGGCCCTCACCACCAACCTCATCACGAGACATCCCGAGAAAACCCATCTTGGTCAGTGGCCGTCACAGTACGGTCAAAGAAAATCTCTTTAAAACATCTCTTGTGCTAAATGTGCCTGATTATTGTACATTATATACCCTTATATTAAAAGTACATTGTATGTGCAGAAGTAGTGTACAGCAGCGTACTGGGCCAGTGTGTAGGCCCCCTGGTGTACAGCCTGTGCCTCATGTCTCCCCTCATCGGCCGCCCTCTGCTCCCCTCACTTGAGGCCCTCATGAGGGCGCTGGACCGCACCAACAGAGCCGTCGCTGTCGTCGCACATATCACCGACCAGGACGATCTCATGGACGGTAATATTTTCCTATTTCATTATTTATTAATAACATTATTAACTTTAATATAATATAAATAGACATGCTTAAGATACTATAATATAAATAATTGCTTATAATTAATATAATATAAATAGACATTCCAATAAATAGACATAGATGTAAACTTGTGCAGGCCATATGGTGCTAAAAAGTCTCTGTGATGGACCTCATCTAGAATGAAATAAATAGGTTACAGTGCACACTAATGAGATCGTTGGATTCCGACCGTTTCCTGCTTCATGTCCTTCAACTATTCATTTCTATTGTGGGATTCATCTTATCCAGACCCAGTTCCTATTGCCACAAGATTACTTCTTAGACGGGGGCCACTGAAGAACGACTTTGGGGAATGTATTCTTTGAGAAAAAATTTCGCACTGCCTGTTATTGTTCAAAGCAAAACTGGCTAAGGATGACTAAATAAGTAGAATTTTTTTCTTATAAAATTTTCATTTTTTTGGTGTTACCTCTTTTTTTCAGAACAAGACACCCCCACGCCTGACACCGTGAAGAGTGTTGGTGGTGGAGGTACGGGCGTGGTGGGCAGATCATGGCTATGGCTACTCGACATCGAACGCTGCGTTGCCCTTGTCCTAGGGCGCTGTATCCACTGGATGATGGCTGGTGGCGGTGGTGGTGGTGGTAGTGACTGCAGTATTAGAACTCCCACCATCAATTCTGATGCTTCAGATCATGATTTAGGTCTTAAATTAAACGCAAATTCATCCCGGGCTCGCAATGTATCCTGTTCTTCAACGTCTTCTTTCCCGTGCTGCGAGACTCCCTTAGCACACTTCGCAAGCTGGTCTCAACGTAACGTTTGTTCCTCTTGTGCGGTCGAAACGGCACCTCTAGTGAACCTTGCAACAAACTCCCCAGCAGCGCCGCCTGCATGTTTGTCCCCAGGTCTTCCCTCTGGATTGTCCCTTCATCCCCAGCTTTTTGGCTGGGGTATCCGCAGTATAAATATCGAAACAGGTATGTGATTGAAAGACTCATGGATATGTAATAATTTTTTTATGCAACGTGAGCTCTATTTTGGTTTTAAACTTGAAGCAGTAAAGGGCTTGGAAATTATGTTATTATGTTTCCAAACCATAGCAATTATAGTCTATGCATAAATATTTGTTCCTGGATACAGCAACATGTTTATACTCTAACATTATTGTATGTTTAGATCCCTTATTGCCGCGGTAATTTGTGTGTAATTATATTATATTAAATACGGCAATTATTATTATTACACAGCAATTATTACTGTGGCATTATTGTTTGTTTAAATCCCCTATTGCCTTAGTAATTAATAAATAATTTGTACGCAGAGGTGCTGGTGTCGTGGCTGGAGCAGTTTGTGATCTCAATTGAACATCCTGACGGCATGCGAAATGTGCTGAGGACCTTCAGAATCCTATACTCCCTGAACACGCCCATTGAGAGCCTCTTGAATGCCGCCTCTTGCTCGCAGTCCTCGCATGCTGGAGGCCAGAGTCCCAGGGACGCCTATGTCTTTGGTTCCTACGCAGGCAACTCCTACGAGTCCTGCAACAATAAAGCAGATCCTGTTTACACGCCGCTTGTGGACGACACTTGTACTGTGTCCCAAGTCTTGCAACACGCTATACATCTCATCAATCATACAGGTTTCTATCAACCGCAAAACTTATTTCATTTAAGCTTGTTTTCACATTTTTTTTCTTAAGAGTTTTCATTCAAGTTTATTATACTGAAATTTTGACTATACCAACGGCTTTGAGAAGCATCAAGAGCGAGTAGAAACTGGTTTTGCATTTAAATTATTCAGCTATTCATTCTTATCATCAAGTATGATACATGTCATTCATTCACGTAATATATCTAAGATATATAAATATCATGTCAGAGAACGCAGTAGTGTTATTTACTTATCACTCAGTATGATACCCATCATTCATTTTAATATGATGTCAGAGACCGCTGTCATGTTATTTACTTATCATTCAGTATGATACTTATCATTCATTTTAATATCATGTGTTAATATGATATCAGAGACCGCTGTCATGTTATCTACTTATCATTCAGTATGATACTTATCATTCATTTTAATATCATGTGTTAATATGATGTCAGAGACCGCTGTCATGTTATTTACTTATCATTCGGTATAATATTTATCATTCATTTTAATATCATGCATTAATATGACGTCAGAGACGGCACTCGCGTCATGGATGCGTGAGGTGGAGGAATGGGACGCTCCTGACGAGGCTCTGAAGAGATACAGCAGAGACCCGCACCTGCGAGACATGATGTCACTCCTGCTGGCTGCCATCGTCGCCCACACTTCTGCCTCGCAAACAATCTTGGGGTAATTCAAAAGTCATTTATTGCATCTCTGCAATCATTTATTGCATATCTGCGTGTTACCCACTAATATTCATGGTTGCGGGATAGGCAGTGGTGGGCAGAGTCTGCTAATCCGCTAATCGCTAATTAGCGAAGCGGAAATTTCGCTAATCCGCTAACCGCTAATTAGCGAAGCGGAAGTTTCGCTAATCCGCTAACCGCTAATTAGCGAAGGTGACAAGATGTACGTCAACTAGTCACATCTCGTGTAACCTATCACGTCCTTGATGTGACTGGTTGACGTACATATGTTGACGTAGTCAGCCATCAGTGTGGCACGTCGCTAAATAAAACATAATCTTCGCTAATTAGCGGTTAGCGGATTAGCGGACTGTGCCCACCACTGGGGATAGGAAGTACCGTACATTATTAACCATCTTCAAAACCTGTAAGGAAACTGGATCATCCCAAGCGGGGACTAGTGTAAATACATTTTGTCCAGATAATAATAAATACTCGGAATTTGTGAAGGCATTGTTAATAAATAGCATTAGTTTTTAGAAAAAAATAATGAAGTTTGAATTGGAGGTTATTGAGAAAATTGATGGCATTAGCGTTAAGGAGGTATACACTATGAAAATCTCATTGGTTATTGAACATCTCATTTATTATTGATAGGCTTATTGCTTTTTCCACGTCTCAAACTGCTCGGAGTGACGTGAGTCAAAACTGTTTGTTAACTGTAACCATATGTGGCTTTATTGTTAAACCATGTGCCTTGACAATAATTTAAAGAAATTTAATTAACTGTGAATATTTATTGTGTAATTTCAGATGCCATTACTCAGCTTGCATGCTGGAGGTGTTCCGCGCCGTGCAGCGCGTCAAGTGCCAGCTTCTCTCAATCATGGCTCGACAGTTCCAAAGTGAGCGAAAAACAAGGGCTTTAATTACTTCTTAACTCATTAAACCCTCACGCTTTAATGAGTTCTTAACTCATTGAACCCTCACGCTTTAATGAGTTCTTAACTCATTAAACCCTCACGCTTTCTTAACTCATTAGCTTAACTCATTCTTAACTCATTAAACCCTCACGCTTTGATGAGTTCTTGACTCATTAAACCCTCATGCTTTGATGAGTTCTGGACTCATTAAACCCTTGTGCTTTAATGAGTTCTTAACTCATTAAACCCTTGTGCTTTAATGAGTTCTTAACTCATTAAACCCTCACGCTTTAATGAGTTCTTAACTCATTAAACCCTCACGCTTTGATCAGTTCTTGACTCGTTAAAATATTTAAAAGAACTAATTAAAATATTTGTGTGTTCTTAACTCGGTCTGCCAATCACAGACGACTTTTCAAGCCAACCTGTCTCAGACGAGAAGTTGGCCGCTACATTCACTTGGGTCATTATGTGTATTTAAGCAAGTTTTATAGTGGTGCCCCAGGTTTACACAGAATGCTCTAGGATTTTTTTTTATTTCAAATCAGCGGCCAAAATCGATACAGTAAAAATACAGTAGAACAAATCAAATTTTTATTACTGTATTCCCTGAGCATCAGTAGGTTTTTTATTCGATCTAAATGGTTAATCGTTGACTTTAATAACGTTTGTTGCTGGGTTCCGCGTGAGCTTTTTATCATATAGGCAGATGAATTACACTAAGATTTAGCTGTGATTAAAATATGTTCATCTGGTGTGTCCAAAGAAAATATTCAAAATCTACAGTCCGACATGATGTCATAAAATGTGCATTGTATCAGTTCCTAATTGAGCTTGTTAAAATATATTCTCTATAGGATTCTTTTAACGTGAGCAGTCCAAATTTGGACGACTTTATTGCATGTAACAATTGCAGAAGAGTATTGTAACGTGGCTCTCTTAACTATCGTTTGTTTTTGCTGAAACTATCATTGTGATTCAATATTGTACAGAGAAATATACTATATTTTCGAGTTAGAAAATAGTTTAGTTTTTAGTTAATAGTTTAGGTCATTTTCTCATTTATGGAAAAAGGCGCTATTGTGCTCGTTATGTCCGTCCGTCCGTGACTTCACGTTTTCGTCGACGAGAAAATATGCTCTCTGTCACTCACTGCAGTGAGTACTGAGTTATATTTTTGTACGTGTTTGCTGGTGGTTTATGACAAATATTGTTGTAAAATAATTTTCAATATTTGCTGAGATTATTTAATAATTATAGGTTCATTTTCAGAGTCAAGTGAGGCTACAGACGCTGGCGAGGAAGGCGTGAACCTCGTGGCTGCGTGTCGCCAGATCACAGGACGCTGCCTGCTCCTGATCGCCTTCGTCAGGCCTGTGGCGCTACTCAAGGGGGAACTACTTTATTGCAGCTCTCAACCTTCTACCGCATATATATAAATTTATTCGCGTATTTTTCTAGAAAGAACTTTTCCTCAAATTTTTTAATTTATATAGCTGCTTCTGAATACACGTATATATGTTTTCTCAGTCATGTTGATTTAGAACCTGAAGTAGGCCTGCCGATGTAGATTAAAACTATATTGAAATTCCCCTACTTGTGGGAAATAATGTAAAACATATAACAAGTCTCCTACTTTATTAAATTAAATTATATTACACATTACTATATATTATAATGTAATATATACTATATAAATATGTACTATACTGTGTCCTCCACTATGTGAAAGCAATAATTTTGCCACAAGAACTTATTTCGCTTCTTGCGTTCTCGTCTGACCAGCCCACTGAGTGAAGTAATGTCGGCCGTCACGTCTCGCTGTTCCCTTATCGTCAACTTCATCGTTGAGAACATCTTTCCTTCGTCGGAATCAGACCTCCTAAAACCTGGCAACCGCGAGGTCTCGGCCACTGCTGCAGCAGACCCTGATCAGGAATACGTAGTCCCTGGATCTGCATCATTGATGGCTATTGTGAACGCCCTTGCACTGCAACATTCCAAAGCAATGGTGAGTTGTGATAAATGTTTTATTTCGGTTAAATTCTTGTATGAAAAATAAACGTTCCTTAAACCCTACCTGATGAATTAAACGTTCCTTAAACCCTACCTGATAAATTTAGGTGAGGTTGAATTTTTCATTCCAGCACCGAGCAAACGATAACTGAAAGGTGGGATTTAGTAGCATGGTAAAGAACATAATCATGAAGAATTCTGCCCTTGAAGCTTGCCTATAATTTTATTAACTAGTCATTCTTTCTCCTAACCCTATGAAGTATGAAGTATATCAATTAAAGTCATTACTTCGATGCACTTATAATCCAGTTCTATTATATCCTCTCGTTTGACTGTGTTTGGCAACTACAGTCACGACTGGAAGCGATGCAGTTGATGCTGGCGCTGCTCACGTCTGATGGCAAGTCTTCTCAGTCCTTCATTCTCACCGACGATGACAGTAGATCTGCTACAAATTATTTCAAAGAACCCAGTCATCCCAATAATGCATCTTTCAATGAAACTTCCAGCCATTCTGACATCGAAATTAAACGTACTGGTGAAAACTCGAGCGTATCTTTCAGTTCTTCAAGCCAAAACACCAACACAACAGCTGCCTTATTCGAAAACAATACAACGACTGAAGTTACTTCATTGTCTGCTGAAACTTTATTTCTAATTCCTCCTGGAAGCAAATCTTCTGAAACTCGTAATTTACTGAAAACAGAAAACGACTCGAATTCTGATGAAGCTGATCCACGTGAACATGTGACTGATGAGGGACGCTCTACGGCACAAACAAGAGCTTCAGAATTGTTCTGTGGGGGACTCCTGCCATCTGTGAGTGCTTTCTCTTTGCAATATCTTACTTTCATTGTATTTTCTATTTGATGTTCAAAATACAAATGTATTTTATGGTCTCAGTTCATGTATTATCTACTTGAAGGAGTTAGTTGCTAAAAACTTCTTTTTCTTATGTAACCCAAACACTAGAGGACATAATTACAATTACGAACATTAATGGTCGGAAATACGGCCATTGAGATTNCTAGTTAATGTAGGTCTGTCCATAAAATTGTTTTTATAATTTTGCACATTTTTAATAGTATAATAAAACTACTACTAATAATAATAATAATAATAAAAAATGATAATAATAACAATATTATAATAATAATAATTTTACACCTTCGCAGGAGGTGATGGTGGTACCGGGTGGTGGTCGTGGGCCGTGAGCCACTACCTGGAGGGGGTGGAGTGCAGCAGCGTCGTGACACAGCGCGCCATCAGACGCTGTGTGCACGACATCTACCAGCACCTCGTCAGGTCCCTGCTGCTGCAGCAACATCAAAAAGGTACGTCGTTCTTTATGGTAGCTCATATTTATATACTTGATACTGCCTATTTAAAATAATTGATAATGACTGCTGCTGCAACAACATGAAAAGGTACGTCATTCTTGCTGGTAGCTCGTATTTCAATAATTGATTTCACCTACTATTCGAAATAATAAATTGTGATAATTGAACGCATTAATTAACATTAGCATTATTGCAACTAGCATAAATTTTGTCTGTATGTTTAATAATATGTGCTTGACAGAAGTATTGTTTATAAGTGAAATGTGAACGATACGGTTACAATTTATTCATTAAAATGCTAAGGAACCTATTACAATTTATTTATTAAAATTTTAATGCCGTACTAATAATAAAATTTATTATTTTACATAACTTGGGAAGTATTTTTTATAAATGGAATTTCAACGGTACGGTTACAATTTATTCATTAAAATGCTGAGGAATCTATTCCTATTTATTTAGTAAAATTGTAATGCTGGGACTAATAATAAAATGTATTGTTTTTCAGAGCTTGGCGAGCGGCTGTCTCTGTTGACTGTGTTCGCACTGAGCGTGCGCTTCGAGTGGCCAGACCTAAGTCTGGTGGTCTCGAGTGGTCTGCTCGAGGTCTTAGCGAGACTTGCAGCCCCTGGCAGTGGTCTGCTCGAGACCATGGCGAGACTTGCAGCCCCAGGAGACCACCTGCCCTCTGTTGCAGACCTGCTAGATGCCTCTTCTGCTGCGTGCGAAGGTAACTTGTCAAGGTTTTGGTTTATGGGTCTAACACATAAACCAAAAAAATGGTCTTGGTTTATGGGTCTAACGTCTGGCAAGGTTTTGGCCAGCTGGAAGACGTGTTTGTTAACGATGTTATTATTAATCTGATGAATAATACAATATTGATCATCATGATTTATGACCAAAGAAAGAAGAAGAGAACGTTTTATGATGAAATAATATAGTATGAAAGTTAAATCGTTTTCTATTGTCCATGACTGGCATACAAACACAAAACTATGCAGTTGTACTGAATAAGGTTACAGTATATGTTCCATATCACTACAATTATCACTATTATACAATGCTATTGCTTACACTACAACTATCACTATTACAATGCTATAGATTACACTAGTATAATCGCTATTACAATGCTATTAATAACACTACAACAATCACTATTTTAGAACTATCAATAACACTACAATAATCATTATAACTAATCACTATTCTAATACTATCAATAATCCACAATAATCACTATTACACTACTATTAATAACACTACAAGTATCACTATTTATCAGCATCAATAACCCCCCAATAACCACTACTGACGGTGCAGCAAGCTACGCTGCTGGTGGGGGCGACGCGTTCGAACTGTGCGGTGCCTCCCGTACGGCCTCCTCCCACCAGCCTCCCCCATCCCCCCTCCACCTGCTGCCCTTCGCCTCACATGTCCTCTTCCAGATCATCACCATCCTTGTGGGGTGAGAACTACTATATAGTTTTGGTCTCTGGGCCAAAATTGGCCATAATTTATTTTTTTTCGAATTTTTTATACTGAGAACTACACTTTAGTTTTTGTCTCAGGGCCAAAACTGGCCATTATTGAAAGTTTTTCTGATTTTTTTATCATTTCTGATTTATTATTATTATTATTTATTATTATTTATTTTTTGAAAAATGCATTAGATTTGAGGCCATCACAAATTTTTGCCGGCGAAAACAATTGAAGAAAGTGAAAATTGTCAACTTTGCCGGAAAATGTCCCATTCGGTAACTCTGTTACTAAAGAGATGGAAGTGTTGAAAATTATCTTGAGCATTTGGAAATTAAAAGCTTTACCGCAAAACCACATGTAATAATAAGGGTTTGGACACTGTTAGAAAAAACGGTAGAAAAAAAACGGTCTCACCGGTGTTCTAGTGGCCGGCCGCCACGTGAAAATAAACCGTTTCGCTGTTTTTTGCAGATGTTGTTCAGGTTTCTAGTGTTAAATTTGAATAAAAACGGTCATACGGTGTTTCTTTTCACGTGCCGGCCGACCACTAGAACGCCGGTGAAATAGACCGTTTAACGGTGATTTTTCTAACAATGTGTCTTCATTAATATATTTATTGTAACCATATATAATAATCCACGTTTGTTCGTCCGTATTAATACATAGGTATTTTGAAAGCACGTGTAATAAGCCGCATTTGTTGTCCTAATTAATATATCTATTGGAACATGCAGTAATCGTAGCTTGTATGCTCTACAGCCACCACGCCGAGAACCTGGACAGCGACGTACGGTCACGTGTGGTCAGTTTACTGTACAAGCAAGTCGAGCGGCAGACTGACTGCATTATTGCCCTCAACGAAGCTATACATCGACGTCTCTTGAACCAAGAAACTGGTATGCAAACTACCATTGGGATGCCAAATACCAGTGATAGTGATGGTGATGCTGGAAACAGTGACAGTGAAGAGGGCTTGTCACCTCATGGTGACATGCCACCACATCCAGACAGTGACGGCAGTGAAGAAGTGCCNGAGTCTGAGTGACCGAGCGTCTTCTGAAAAGTCGGACGAGGAAAGCGATTCCTCGGGACCTGATCATTGCTATGGTCCACAAGATGAAGACAGCTGCAGCAGCGTCCAAAGCAATGAGTCGGAGAGATCAAACTCATCGTGCGCTCAAAATCCTGGTCATTTTGCCAGCACTCATAATTTTGGCGACTGTGGCAGCGGCTCTGAATCCCGTACTGCTCAAACGGAGCCTCGTCGGAGACGCAAGTCGCCATCCAAAAGCTCTTCTTCTAACATCTCGAAAGTAAGTGAACAGCTATTTTCCCAACCTTTTATAGATTGAGAAGCTCTATTTCTGACATTTTTTCGTGTGAGAAGCACTTTAATATATTCGCCAATTTATCATGATTGCTTATCACTGAAATAATTTTATTTATTTGTCTATTTATCTCTGTAAACGTTGATATATTAGTCGGTTTATCTCTGTAAATATTTGATACATTCGTCTGTTTATCTCTGTATCCTCTGATACAGAGGATCCAGAGTCCTGTTATCTTCCTCTGTTTATCGCAAATGTTTATCGTCTGTTTATCTCTGTAAACATTTGATACATTAGTCTGTTGATCATCTAATAATCTCTGTAAACATTTGATACATTCGTCTGTTTATCTCGAATGTTTATCGTCCGTATATCTCTGTAAACATTTGATACATTCGTCTGTTTATCTCGAATGTTTATCGTCCGTATATCTCTGTAAACATTTGATACATTAGTCTGTTGATCGTCTAATTATCTCTGTAAACATTTGATACATTCGTCTGTTCATCGCGAATGTTTATCGTCCGTTTATCTCTATAATAATTAGCTATATTGCTGTGGTAAGAAGTGTCGTGCGGGGTCGGAGGACTGGTCGTGTCTGGACCAGCTGTGCCGTGACGTGTGGCCCGCCCTTGCCGTGATAGGCGGGGTGGACGGCGGCCTGAGGGTCGGAGGACAGTGTGTGGTCGGCGGTCCCAGCGGCCGTCGTGCCATGGTGCTCGGCATGCTCAAACCTGGACAAACTTCCATTAAGGTACTCGTATTATTGTTCCATTTCTAATATCCTCAGCATCTTTATTATCTCTTCTACTTGTAATACCTATTGATATCACTTTGTATCTCCGATACCCTTATGGGAAAGCCGTTATTGTTTAGAGCTCTTTCAAAGAAGGAGGTACTAATGAGTTATGTACTCACAGTGCCTTCTTATTTTTTCAGGTCCAAATGTTGAGTTTTAATAGAAATTCATAAGTGCGACGAGGGCTAAAAGTTTACATTTCTTTTTACAACGCTTTCAGGTTCAGATGTGTGGTTCTAACAAAAAATTACAACTTTTTCGCACCTATTTGCAGGTTCAGTGGTGCGATAAGTGCGACGATATTTAAAAGTTTAAATTTCTTTTTAAAACGCTTTCAGGTTCAGATGTGCGGTTATAACTAAAAATTACAACTTTTTCGTCATGTCACAGGTAACTCGGCTGCGTCGACATCCGCTGCGTCGACATCCGACACACGGGCTGCGTCGACATCCGCTGCGTCGACATCCGACACACGGGCTGCGTCGACATCCGCTGCGTCGACATCCGACACACGGGCTGCGTCGACATCCCACGGGCTGCGTCGACATCCGACACACTGGCTGCGTCGACATCCGCTCCTTCATGCCGTCGCTGCGAGCCGCAGGTCTCTTATTTCTTCGTGATTATGAGAAGATTTGTTCGTAATTATTCGGGATTGTGAACATTTATTAAATAATCCTTCCTGATTATGAGAAGCTTTGTTCGTAATTATGCGAGATTATGAACATTTTTAAAACAATCCTTCCTGATTATGAGGAATTTGTTCAGAATCGTTCCTGATTATGAAAAGATGTAATAATCCTTTCTAATTATGAGAAATTGAGCCCTCATTGATTAATTATTTCCACCTCGCATGAAAAAAAAACAAATCCGGAAGCTTTTGTAGACTACGGTGCTTGATCCATAATACAATCAACTATAAGAAAATACTCCAAATTCAAACCAAATCAATGACAATCCCGTGAAAATAAGTTCCTCTGCACTGAACCTCTTTATAATTTAAACGCGTACGAATAATTGTGTTAATTTCTGTACCTATAATTTAAACTGAATTAATGATTATGTATTAGATAAATTCCCATTGAAATACAAATCTCGTTGCTTATGAAGGTCGCTAATTTCTGTATAATTTGAACTGAATTAATGATTATGTATTAGATAAATTCCTATTAAAATACAAAGTTCGTTGTATGTGAAGGTCGCAGCAGCCTGGAGCAGCGGGAGCGGGAGCAGGGGCGCCCGTACCACATGAGTCGGGGCGACGCCCTACGCCACAACCTGCGCCTCCGTCAGGCGATGCTTGATGGTCGTGACGCTGCTGCCGTCGCTGCTGCCCTCGGTGCTCAGGGTCAGGTGGGTTGTGCACCAAAATATATACCAGAGGTGCTTACAGAATATGTTTTAAAATTTAGAGAGAAGGTTCTTGATCGATATTTTTAGGTATTGGCTTGATGTTGTGTCCAGTATTGAAAAATATATTTTCTATGAAAAGGTTTTTGATCGATATTTTCAGTTATTAGAATTAATTTTTATCTTTTGCTTTAAAATATATTTAAAAAAGAAGAATCGTAAAATATATATATTTAAAATATCTTTTTAAAATATATTTTAAAAAGAAGAATTGGCTCATAACTCATTGTTTTTAACCTCGACAGTTCGTGTATACTTTCTACTTACGGAAGTTCTTAACTTGGGACGAGGACAAGTGGCCAGCGCATCACCCACTCGTACTGCCCCTCTACGGCTGTGAGCGGCCAGAACTTGAGTTCTCGTGTGAGCGCGACTTGCGAACTTTCCTGNAGAGTCCTCAACCCCTCACATGAGCTGCCCTCACACGACCGAGAGTCCTCATTAACAGAGCACGGAATGGTGAAATTAGGTCAAGTTTTTACTTCACTTTGCAGCCGATCAGAACCGCTAAATTAACCTTGTTCTTCTCCGACGATAATGGCGAACAGTTCCGCGTGAAGGTGCCGTTTACGAAGTTCCTCGATGGGCCAAACTCTGTTGGTCATAACACATCGTTGGAGCGCTGGAGCCCTGCACGCAAGTGTGCCTGGACGTGTGGGGAAGAGGATCTCTGGCGTGAAGCTCTGGCTTGTGTGGCCAGAGACTCGGGCAGAGGACGAGAGATTTTTTACATCCTGCCCCAGATAGGAACTGCTTCATCACCTTGAGTTTTACTACCTTGTGCTCTTTCTTTTTTAATTGTGCCGAAAATATATTTTAAGCGATTTTATGTTGATTTGGCCGTGACCAATTTTCATTTTACACATTTTTAGCGCTCCACTGCATATTGCCTTGGATTTAACAAAATTTTTAAATAATTTATATTGCGATACTTTATTTATACGACAGCTATCTCCGCTTACGTTGATAGCAGTGATTTTTAACGCGCTAGAAATAAACGGTAACAAGATTAATATAGATCCTTCATTGCTGCTTCTTCGCTGTGAATTTGTTGTGATTAGTCTCGTTGGAATTTGCCAACGGTGTAAACAGATGTGCATATAGGACTATATTTTAAATACATTTTCATACGCGTTTCCTTGCTTCATTCATCAGTTTAATCTTATACGAGCTGCTGCAATTCAGCAATTGCTACGGTTGCTTCAAGCAGCCTTGTTGACCCTCCGGGAACATGTTCAAAAGAAATGTTACGTTAGCAATTAAGTTTATCAACCTGAGGACGTTTGTACGCAACAGAGTATAATTGAAAGTTGTACGTGGCGGCAACCATCAGTGCAAGTCATTTTGCGCTCACTAGAACGTACGGTATCCTTTATGGGAAGTAGGTTTGCGACAATAATGCACCGCTTACTCGTGTAAGGCGGGAAAGGGTTAACAGCGGCTGAAATATGAGCAAGTTCACTATTGAAGTACAAAAATGTTCTACGATAAATTAAGAGGCTTTCTTTGTCCTGCAGAGTCGAGTCTGAACTCTGGGATGAAAGCATTTTGCAAGTTTTGAATGCCGTCTGAATTCGGTGGGCTGCCCGCGTTTTCTGTTAAATAAATTGTAGCAGAGAAGAGTTCTTGAGTGACTAGAACTGAAAAGATAATGTCATGGTATGGTATGGATTGGCGATGCGGCCTGACAAGTAGTGCTCGTGTAGCTTTGCAACTACTTACAACTTTGGGATTAGAGACGACAAGGGCGAACTAACAAGGCTCGAAAAATGATCCCTCGACACTCGTAGTGAGCCTTGTGCCGTTTTATTGTGAAATTTACCGCGAAAAACCCTGGGTGTGGTCACAGTAAACACTTATCTTTTCAAATGAGTGACTAAACTTTCGAACTACAATTCAAGTTATACCAGCAGCAGACCGCTATCTGAACCATGCTGTCATGAGTCCAAGGTAACTGATATAATCTATGATAAGTAGTGAGCGATTTTCCACCGTTCGCTGGCAGTTACTGCTGACCATGTCCAGCAATTCATTTAAAAGATCATGAATTTGTAAACTCTGATCTAGACCACGCCGCAGCTGCTATCCAGCGCAAGGATCATGATCTCTCCATGGCACATTCTCGCGCAGAGAAAGCTGAATGTCAGCTTGCTGATATTCAGCGTGAGATGACTGAGGCAAGAGCTGCAGCGGAGACCGAGATCTTGAAGCTGCAGTGCGAGCTCACTGAAGCACGAGCTTCAGGTGAAGCTCAGCAGCGCCGCATAACTGAAGCAGAGCTTCAGACGCAGCAGCTGCAGCAACAGATCAAGGAAGTCCTGTGCGCGATGAGTGGCAAGGAGGAGACAGCAAGAGCGGTTGAAGCCCGACTCAAGGAGAAGGTTGGTTGAGACTTAGGCTCTCATAGGCGCTCGAAATTCTGGTTAATTGAATGAATATATTGTGTCCTATAAAGATTATGTTGTGGGTGGAAGGGTGTAGTAACTGTCCTTACTTCTTGATTTACTACACCAAAGAAATAGGTTCAATTTTTGTCAACCTGGCTAGATAAATTTTATTCATGTTCAGTTCATCACTAGCCATGTAACCGAAAACACACTTAGAAAAAACGGTCCCACTGGCATTCTAGTGGCCGGTCGCCCCGTTAAAATAAACAGTTTCGCCGTTTTTATCAGATGTTTTACGGATTTCTAGTGTTGAATTAGAATAAAAAAGGCGACACGGTGTTTCTTTTCACGTGCCTACCGGCCACTGAAACGCCGGTAAATACGCGGTAATACCGTTAACGGTAATTTTTCTAACAGTACACTAAAACTGAATTGCCGTATTTCAACTAAGCATGCCCCCTAACCTCTGTGTATTTCGTCAACTTCTGATCAGGCATTAGCTACCTGATCTTTACAAATGCAGTGGTGTTATTTGTATCCTCCCTGGTGAACAGATTGTCGAGGCACAAACGCGCATTGACAGCGGCGCTGCTGAACGCCGTAGGATGGAAGAAAACATTACGTATTACCAGCGGCTGCGGGAGCTATTCGAGCATGATCTCGAAGTCATGGCGAAAGAGGTAATAATTAACGTAGCAACCGTCCTTCTTGATGTAGCAAAAGAACATTTAGAATATGGTACACTGTCCATATACCATTCAGTTCAGCGGTGAGCTGAACTGTTGAGGTATTCTCGTGGCTTCTAGAATTGAATTGTGTAAATTCGTGCTTTTGATTTTTGATTTCATGTGCGTGCGCGCAACCGTTGGTGGGGTTTTTCTTCAATTATGGAGTATCCGCCGTATTATTATGAATATGAATATTAAAATGGGAAGTTAAATGCCGTGATGTAGCAATGAATTGCTTTAGTTAGTTTGTGACCGATTTTGAGTAGTGCACAATAGTAAGTTTTTACACTAATTGACGAGAAATGCTTCTTTGGTGCCTTGCAGGCGAGGGAATCTAAATCCTTGTTGGAGCAAGAGAGACGGTCCCATCAGATCACGCAGCACAGGCTGCGAGAGCAACGCAACGCCGCTGCTAGCAACGAGCAAGACACTCTCCTTAAGGAAGAAGCTGTAAGTTATGTCAATGCATCATTATCTTGCCATTAATGCTTTCTTTATTTGGGCTTTAGGAACAAATAGACGACTAATGTATCTTGATAGTAATGGTAGCCGTAATATTTATAGCATTTATGCATTTATTTTCTTTTTTATTTATTTTAATTGATGTTATTTCAGTGGCCTGATGTTTTCCCTGTTCTGTACTGGAGAAATAGGTACCTAGGCCTTTCGTGCGCCCCTTTTCTGTTGCTTATATCAACTTATGATTGCTGTTCTTACCGCCCTGTGTTATTGTTAGCATCCATAACTTCCGCACTCCCCACCCCCCTCTCAATCCTCACCCCCCACTCCCCAGGACCGCATCCAGAGGTCCTTCCCACCTCCAGTGATTCCTAAGATCCGGCTGTTCCCCCCGGAGGAGGATGGCCTGGAGCAGGCCGGCGAAGAGACGGAGGAGGAGGACCAAGAGACGGAGGAGGAGGGGGCGGCCCACGGTCTGGCGGTCCACGGTCTGGCGGTCCCCGTAGCTGAAGCCCGACGGTTACCCCGTGGCCACACGGAGGGGGAGGGCCAGGAGACGGAGGAGGAGGGGGCGGAGGAGGGGGCGGCCCACGGTCTGGCGGTCCCCGTGGCTGAAGCCCGACGGCTATCACCCCGTGGCCACGCGGACACGCTCAAAGAAGGCGAATTCTTTGAATGCGAGCATTGTAATCTCAAATATTACACAAAAAAGGGTTTAGCCAGACACCAAAAAAAGAAACATGGGTAAAACTTGAAAAACTTTTGTCAATAAATTATTTTAAAATTTTTCTCAATGAATTGTTTTACAAGTTTTCAATAAATTTTTTTTTAAACTTGTCAACAAGTTTTTTTAAAACTTTTCTCAAATTGTTTTTAAATGCGACGCCCCATCCTCCTCCTCCTCCTCCTCCTCCTGCGACGTCTCGAGGCCACAGAGGCCCTTGTCTGCCTCTGCGTCTCGGTAAGAAATGCCTTCAGTTATTGTTCAGTATTGTTATTGTTCAGTTTTGTTATATTGACCTCCCCATTTTTTGCACTTTGCATTGTTAGAACTTCTGAACCCTTTTTCCTCTCCTTTAGTCAATACCGTGCAACATACTTGGGTGAGATAGGCAATTGCAGGGTGAGATTTATCATTGTTTGTAGTTGCCTTTATAAATGCGTATGATTAATGTTTCTTATATATGTGAATCTTCTATGGGATATTGAAAAGGCTCACTCTTGTTGAGCCTTTAAAAAGGCTCAAAAAAAAAAAGGCGCAACTCTAGACTGACTGACAAAGAGTTTCATAAAGCTGATTTTACTTATTTCCGAAGTAGTATGATTATGATCCAGTATGTTGGATTGTTTTGTAGCGGCATAAAGTTAAGTGATTCTTTATACTAGGTTTATGTTATTAATCCGTTTTGATGGTTCCACAGCTCCTTAGGAAGGCTACCACAGCTTGCGTCCAGGCACATATTTTAAAACAAAAGGAGCCACCGCCATTGTTTTCCAGTTTTTTGGTGAGTTTTGTTCAATTATTATAACTCATTTATATAATGTCTAGCGCCTAAAAAATGAACTTATCGACTCGATAATGTACAATAATTACCCATCCAATAACATTTATTTTAGTTATCTTACTTTTTTGAAAATCATATTAAATTTGCAAATCTATTTGTACAATGAATTAACCCTGTGAAGTAAAGCGTTTACATGACAGTTTAAGTATTTTGATGAAAATTTAACTGAGATGATTTGGAAAAATTGTATGTGTTACAGGTACGAAATTCTTGTGCATCAACTCGCACCTTAAGTGTTTATTTAATGCACTGTAGGCTCATTGTGAGCACTCAAAGCATTGCAGGTTCATTGAGAGCTTATTTAATGCATTGTAGGCTCAGTAAATGTTGATGTGATGCATTTCAGACGCGACGAAGCGCTTCGACTGCGTGTTCTGGCTGGGTGACCTGAACCCAGTCCCCTGAACCAGCTGGGTGACCTTGTCGCCAACCGCGACCACGTCCTCGAGAAGCTGAGTGTCCCGGCCTCATCAGACCCTGATCAGGAATATGTAGTCCCTGGATCTGCATCGTTGATGGCTACATCAGACCCTGATCAGGAATATGTAGTCCCTGGATCTGCATCGTTGATGGCTATTGTGAACGCCCTTGCTCTGCTGCAACATTCTAAAGCGATGGTGAGTTGTGATAGATGTTTTATTTCGGTTAAATTCTTGTATGAAAAATAAACGTTCCTTAAACCCTACCTGATAAATTAAACGTTCCTTAAACCCTAACTGATAAATTTAGGTGAGGTTGAATTTTTCATTCCAGCACCGAGCAAACGATAACTGAAAGGTGGGATTTTGTAGCATGGTAGAGAACATTATCATGAAGAATTCTGCCCTTGAAGCTTGCCTATAATTTTATAAACTAGTCAGTCTTTATCCTAATCCTAAAAAGAGTATATCAATTAAAGTCATTACTTGGAGACACTTCTAATCCTGTTTTAATCCTTTCATTCGACTGTGTTTGGCAACTACAGTCACGACTGGAAGCGATGCAGTTGATGCTGGCGCTGCTCACATCCGATGGCAAGTCTTCTCAGTCCTTCATTATTCATACACTCCTGTGTAGCTGGTGAGAATATACATACACTCATGTGTAGCTGGTGAGAATATTCATACACTTTTCATTAAAGTTTAATTTTAATCGTTAGGGCTCTTACAAACCAGTCTTATTTCAATTGGCAAGGCTCATACAAACCATTCTTATTCTAAAATCTGATGCTTTCTCAAACCCGAATAAGTAAACATTGGTCTAGTCAACTATAAAGTTATTGTCAGGATCCCATGAATATTTATTAACAATACCCACCGTCGATCTTAGTTAGTACCAGAGAAATATTTTATGAATGATATTGTTTTGCTGTATAGGGTGTTGAGCCCGTATGTATATTACTAAAAATGATGATAGGTGCTGTCATGTTACGGTATCACTTTTTATAGGTCAATATTACATAAAAAAAATCTAGCTAATGTAGGTCTGTCCATAAAATATATTTTAACAATTTTGCGCATTTTTAATAATTTGATATAATAATAATAATAATTGTACACCTTCGCAGGAGGTGGTGGTGGTAGCGGGTGGTGGTCGTGTTTATAATAATGATAATAATAATTGTACACCTTCGCAGGCGGTGGTGGTGGTAGCGGGTGCTGGTCGTGTTTATAATAATAATAATAATTGTACACCTTCGCAGGAGGTGGTGGTGGTGCCGGGTGGTGGTCGTGGGCCGTGAGCCACTACCTGGAGGGGGTGGAGTGCAGCAGCGTCGTGACACAGCGAGCCATCAGACGCTGTGTACACGACATCTACCAGCACCTCGTCAGGTCCCTGCTGCAGCAACAACATCAAAAAGGTACGTCGTTCTTTATGGTAGCTTGTGTTTACATATTTGATACTACGGTACCTATTTTAAATAATTACTTTACTTCTGATAATTGATAAATGAGTGCTGCAGCAACGACATCAAAAAGGTTCGTCGTTGTTGCTGGGAGATCGTATTTACATAATTGATGCTACCTATTTAAAAAAATCAATTATCATAATTGATAAATGACTGCTGCAGCAACAACATCAAAAAGGTTCGTCGTTGTTGCTGGGAGATCGTATTTCAATAATTGATTTCACCTATTCGAAATAATATATTGTGATAATTGAACACATTAATTATTATTAGCATTATTGCAACTAGCATTAATTTTGTCTATATATTTAATAATATGTGCTTGACAGAAGTATTGTTTATTAGTGGAATGTCAACGTTACAGTTACAATTTATTCATTAAAATTTTAATGAACCTATTACTATTTATTTCGTAAAATTTGAATGCCGGGACTAATAATAATATTTTAATATTTATTTATTTGCAGAATTCAACGATACGGTTACAATTTATTCAATAAAATGCTAACGAACCCATTACTATTTATTTATTAAAATTTTAATGCCGTACTAATAATAATATTTATTATTTTTCAGAACTTGGCGAGCGGCTGTCCCTGTTGACTGTGTTCGCACTGAGCGTGCGCTTCGAGTGGCCAGACCTAAGTCTGGTGGTCTCGAGTGGTCTGCTCGAGGTCTTGGCGAGACTTGCAGGCAGCCCCTGGCAGTGGTCTGCTCGAGACCATGGCGAGACTTGCAGCCCCTGGCAGTGGTCTGCTCGAGACCATGGCGAGACTTGCAGCCCCAGGAGACCACCTGCCCTCTGTTGCAGACCTGCTAGATGCCTCTTCTGCTGCGTGCGAAGGTAGTTTCTCCAGGTTTTAGTTTATGGGTCTAACACATAAACCAAAAAAATGGTCTTGGTTTATGGGTCTAACGTCTGGCAAGGTTTTGGTCAGCTGGATGACGTGTTTGTTAACGATATTATCTGATGAAAAATGCAATATTGATTATCATCATTTATTACTATAATTATCGCAATTACAATGCTATCGATTACTCTACCATTATCATTATTTATTTTAATACTATTAGGAACACTATAATAATCACAATTACAATACTATCAATAACGCCACAATAATAATTATTATTTTTTGTCTCAGGGCCAAAACTGGCCATTATTGAAAGTTTTTCTGTTTTTTTTATATCATTTCTGATTTATTATTATTTTTTATTATTATCTATTTATTGAAAAATGCATTAGATTTGAGGCATCACAGATTTTTGCCGACGAACACGATTTAACAAAGCGAAAATTGTCGAATTTGCCGGAAAAGGCACATTTGCTAATTCTGTTCTTGGTATAGAAATGCAAGGGTTGAAAATAATCTTGAGCATTTGGAAATTGAAAGCTTGACCAAAAAACCACTTGTAATAATCGTGTGTCTTAATTAATATATCTATTGAATCCACATGTAATCCGTTTGTTCGTCTTAATTAAATTAATATATCTATTGAAACCACGTGTAATAATCCATGTTTGTTTTTCCTAATTAATATATTTACTGGAACCACATGTAATAATCCACGTTTATTTATCCTAATTAATATATTTATTGAAACATCATGCAGTAATCGTAGCTTATATACTCTACAGCCACCACGCCGAGAACCTGGACAGCGACGTACGGTCACGTGTGGTCAGTTTACTGTACAAACAAGTCGAGCGACAGACTGACTGCATTATTGCCCTCAACGAAGCTATACATCGGCGTCTCTTGAACCAAGAAACTGGTCTGCAAACTACCATTGGGATGCAAAATACCAGCGATAGTGATGGTGATGCTGGAAACAGTGACAGTGAAGAGGGCTTGTCACCTCATGGTGACATGCCACTGCATCCAGACAGTGACGGCAGTGAAGAAGTGCCGAATGTAACTGATAAAAGTGATGAAAATCAGGGTAATGGCAGCAGCAGGCGACGACTTATGCTGAAATTACCACGTCTTAAACTTGACGCTGATAGCGAAGTGACCATCGATGATGAAGTAGAGCAAATAATGCAGGTTAAGCTGCTCGAAGTCACCCTCGGGAATCTTCTTGTATTTATCAGAAGGCTTTTCCCCAACAAGAAATTGTGCGATGAAATCGGTCAGGAGAAATGGGTGCATTTGTTGCTCAAGATAACAGGTGCAAGCGCTGACACTCATCTTCCTAATATATCCAGTCTACGCACCCGCTTGCTTGCCTTCACTCTTTTGAGTGTCATTCTTCCCAGTGCTAAACTTGACCCAGTTTTTAAAGATCAGATCGTCAGAAAACTCTTCACTCAACTAGGACTCTACATGTGGGTTATAGCTCCCGCTCAAGCGCACCTGCAAGCAACCAAACTTATGGAGAAACTTAATAAGCACAAGAAAATTCTGTCCAGCCCCAATCTTATTTATGATGATACGAGACCTGACTCGCCAGAAGATAATTTACTGGTTCAAGAAGTAGGTTTTGATCCTGAGAAACTTCTTTGCTGTTCCGTTGAAGGAGGTCACACGCTAGTGCACGGTCCTGGAGGCCGAGGATACGGTCTTGGATCAACGCCAATAACTTCGGGCTGCTTCCAGTGGAAATTTCTAATCGTCAAAGAAAGTCGTGGCTACGAAGGAACTTGCATTGGCGTGTCGAAATTCCCAGTACGTGACTACAGTCATCGTACCACTTCAGACATGTGGCTTTATCGTGCGTATTCCGGTAACTTGTACCACAATGGAGAACTGAGTCGCACTTTGCCAGGCTTCACGCAAGGCGACTATATCACTGTCGTCCTGGACATGGAAGCTCGTACGCTGAGCTTCGGCAAAAATGGCGATGAACCAGAAGTCGCTTTCGAGAACATTGATGCTCCTGAACTGTACCCGTGCGTTCTTTTCTATTCCACTAACCCTGGCGAGAAAGTGAAAATGGTCGACATGCAAATGCGCGGTTCACCTAAAGATCTTGATGTTGGAGAACCGTATTGTGCTCCTCAAGCTGCCGTCATGTGCGAAGCTCACGTAACTTTATTGCGTGAGCTGCATAATAATTCTAACTGGACCAAGCACGTTAATGAAAGCATAATCGAACGACTACGTGCTACCGAGAAAATATTCCCAGCAAATGTTGCTCAAACAGACCCATTCATTACCCAAGATGCAATCAAAGACGAGACGGATGAATCTAATAGTGTGGAGAACCTCATCAAAGAAAACCAATCTCCTCAAGACGTTCCTCGCATTTCTACTCCTTCACGTCAGACGAGTCTGAGTGACCGAGCGTCTTCTGAAAAGTCGGACGAGGAAAGCGATTCATCGGGACCCGATCATCGCTATGGCCCACAAGACGAAGACAGCTGCAGCAGCGTCCAAAGCAACGAGTCCGAGAGATCAAACTCATCGTGCGCTCAAAATGCTGGCCGTTTTGCCAGCACTCAAAATTTTGGCGACTGTGGCAGCGGCTCTGAATCCCGTACTGCTCAAACGGAGCCTCGTCGGAGACGCAAGTCTCGATCCAAAAGCTCTTCTTCCAACATCTCGAAAGTAAGTTAACAGCTATTTTCCCAACCTCTCATCGATTGAGAAGCTCTATTTCTACATCTTTTCGTGTGAGAAGCACTTTAATATATTCAATCAATTTATCATGACTGGTTATCACTGTAATAAGTTTATATATTTGTCTATTTATTTCTGTAAACATTTGATTATATACATTCATCTGTTTATCGTGAATATTTATAGTTTGTTTATCTCTGTAAACATTTGATATATTCTTTTGTTTATGACGAATGTTTATCGTCTGTTTATCTCTGTAAACATTTTATACATTCTTCTGTTTATCGCAAATTTTATATCGCAAATGCAAATGTCATCGCAAATTCATATCTCTATAATAATTAGCTATATTGCTGTGGTAAGAAGTGTCGTGCGGGGTCGGAGGACTGGTCGTGTCTGGACCAGCTGTGTCGTGACGTGTGGCCCGCCCTCGCCGTGATAGGCGGGGTGGACGGCGGCCTGAGGGTCGGAGGACAGTGTGTGGTCGGCGGTCCCAGCGGCCGTCGTGCCATGGTGCTCGGCATGCTCAAACCTGGACAAACTTCCATTAAGGTACTCGTATTACTATTCTATTTATAATGCCCTCAATCATATTTGTATTACCGTCAAAAATATTTCTCTTCTATTTGTAATACCGTCAATAATATATCTTCTATTTGTAGTACCTACTCTCAATAATATCTCTTCTATTTGTAATACCGTCAATAATAGCTCTTCTATACGTAATACCCTCAATAATATCTTTTCTATTTGTAATACCCTTTAATATCCCTAAGAATCTTAAAAATTTCTTAGTATCGCTGAACCCATATAGGAAAGACGTTAATCTTTAGAGCTCTTTCAAATAAGAAGGTTGTGGTGCCTTTTAATTTCTAATTGAAATGACGAGTTTAAAAGAATAATAATAATTTGTATAATGTATGATTTGGATATAATTTGCTTTGTATAATGATGATTTTGTATTGCATTGTACCAAGTAATCACAAATGTTTTTAGTAAGGCAAATCAAATTGAGTTCCAAAAGGCATTCATAAGTGTGTCGAGGGCTAAAAATTTAATTTTTTTTTAAACTCATTCAGGTTCAGATGTGTGGTTATAACTAAAAATTACAACTTTTTCGCAACAACTTGCAGGTTCAGTGGTGCGATAAGTGCGACGATATCTAAAAGTTTCCCTGGTGTAATTTGGGGTTATTTTTTGGGTATTTGTTATTTATATTCGTTTGCTCTATTGCGATTGACTATTGTTATCTTTAATATAGTGACGACTGCCCGTAACAATCATTAAAGATAGGGAAAAAATATTCATTTTAAGGGAATGTTTGCTCTGATGTATGGCAGGAAAGAAAATTGATATAAACAACGACAGGAGAATGAACGGATGAAATCACGATCAGCTGCGATCAGTATTTTGACCTATAGAAAGAATTATACAAATTTGTGGCCACGTGATGGAACTTGGCTCATTCATTATTGAAATGGTGCTTAAAATTTGAATTATAAAAATGTTGTTTTTTGTCAGGGGATGTTTACTACAACCTCGCGTTTATATAAACTGTTGGACTCATTGAAAATAATGTTAGATATTTATTTTTCCCAGATCCCATTCCCAGTCCGGCCGACACGCCTCAAAGACGAAACTTGTAGCAGGAGCAACAGCTGCAGCAGCAGCAGCAGCTCCGCAGCATCTCCTGTACAGCAGCCTTCATGCCCTCACTTTTATGAGCCGCACTCGGGGCTCGCCACGCTCTCGAACCTTCCCCCTCTTGCCCTCACTGAACCGCTAAAGAAACGTCCTCCTGCGGTGCTCGTGACTGACAATTTAAAGAAACGACGACTTGAGCCTATCCAAGACCTGAGGAATTTAACCAGGCCTATACCGCAAGCCCTGGGTAGTTTACCGAGGCCTATCCCTCTGGACCTACGGGGTTCCAGCGGCCGGGCGGCTGTCCCGGAGAGCAGCGTTTGGAAACGGACCCAAAATTCAGACAAGCCTAACGAGTGAGACTAAAAATTTTTGGCTGTTTTTTTTTTACTTGAGAGGAAAATAAGATGGCTTTGCTTTTCTGTTCTTTTTGTTAAGAGGCCAATTCGTTGATTTTCTGAACTTTTGGTTCAGTCGAACCGCGGTGAACGTCTCGCATCCGGTCTTCCTCGATCGATACCTATATACCTGGAAACGATTTCCATAAATTGCAATGTTAATTGTTTTAATTTGCTTTTTGTTTACCTTCAAAACGCCTGAAATCCTATCAGATGCAGGAATATTCATGTACGTATCAAGTTAGGTTGAGCTTGCAAAGAATTTAAGATATTAGACGAAAGTTGTAGGGATATTGTAAAAATTACGTTAAAAGGCTAGCTATGAGTTGACCGTACTAGAGTATCGGTAATGCTATCTAATTCTAAAATTGAAACCCATGTATCTTTTTTAACATAAAAATCTGATTGTGTATTACCCGAGTTAGTTTCATCTCGACCATCATAATCCTTTTACCCAGACCGACACCTGCGATGAACCAGCTTTCGGAACGCCTCGTGTCGAGCATCATGGACGAGGTGAATGCTCAAGTGCCTGTGGCATCAACCGGCACCTATGCTGCACATCACACGGACGCCCCCACCAGCGCCACCGCCTCCCCAGGTCCACGGCAGGCGTCGCGGGTTGACAACTGTGCTGCCAAGAGCGTCCATGAAGCATCCATCGCCTGCACGCCCAAGCGCGTGCGAGACGCCCGCACTAATGTGAGATTTTTGTATGAAATAACTCGTGTGTAACTGATTGTTTGTTACGAACAAATACCTTAAAACGTGCTACCATTATACTTTTCTAAGTAAAATTACCATCATCATAATTTTTCATCATAATCTTCATCATAAAATGACCATCATCATAATTTTTCAACGTCAAATTATCATCATCATTATTTTTCATCATAATCTTCATCCTAAAATGACCATCATTATAATTTTTCATCATAAAATGACCATCATCATCATAATTTGTCATCATAAAATATACCATAATCATGATTTTTCATTATAATATTTAATATAAAATGACCATCATCGTAATTTGTCATAATAAAATATGTCATAATTGTACAGAAGGAAGACGGCTCAGTGTACGCCAGAGAGCAGACGTGCGTGCAGCTGGCGCTGGTGCAGGGGGCGGCCCTACGCAGCGTCTCTTGCTTGCTGCACGCGCCGGACTTCGCAGAGACCATCCTCGTGCCTCGTGTCCGACAGGGCTCGGCAGACTCTAGCGCTAAGGTGCTATATAACGTGGCTATAAAAAACGTTTATTGCGTGGTTTATAACGTATATTATAACAGCAAATGCAGTTAATAATAACAGCGAATGCCGTTAATAATAACAGCGAATGCCGTTAATAATAACAGCTAATGCCGTTAATAATAACAGGTAATGTCATTATCGATAACAGCAAATGCCGTTATCAATAACGGTAAATCCCGTTTTTAGTAACAGTCAATCCCGTTTTTAATAACGGTCAATGCCGTTTTTAATAACTGTCAATTCCGTTTTCAATAATAATTTAATAATTCCAGTTCTGTTTTTAATAACGTTCGATGCAGTTTTAAATAAAGGCCTCGCGTGCCTATCTCCTTTGTTTCTCTTTAAGATTTTTATCTGAACGTTGTACATTAGAAATTATTGGTTACATTAACTTTGTCGCTGAATTTTCTAATTTATTTGTCTGGTCAACAGATTTGATAATTGCTTTGTTAATCAAAAAGATATGCTGCAGATGATAGTATGAGGCAGTAATTATTTATTACAGGATGATTGTAATGAGGCAGTAATTGCTCTGTTAATGAGGCAGTAATTATTTATTCCAGGATGATTGTAATGAGGCAGTAATTTCTCTGTTAATGAGGCAGTAATTATTTATTCAGGATGATTGTAATCTTTTATTCCAGGATGATTGTAATGAGAAGAAAGACGACTCGGAGGGCCAGGCAATCGTCGGTGAGAGCGTCAGAGCCGCCGTCAGGGAGCTCGTGAAGGACCTCGCCTTCGCCGCCACCGTCGCTAGCCCTTACGAGAAGTGCGGCTCCTGTGTGATGGAGGCTCCTGTGTGATGGAGGCTCCTGTGTGATGGAGGCTCCTGTGTGATGGAGGCTCCTGTGTGATGGAAGCTCCTGTATGATGAAGGCTCTTCAATGATGAATGATTCTTGGTCCTGAATGATGAATGACTGATTAGTGCACATGTCAGGTTAAGAGCTTAACTCCTTTGCGAGAGCAACTGAAATATGTAACGTCAAATTATCAATACTTGGGCTATAATTACGATTGAATTATCAATTTTAATCTACTTTACAAATGCTAAACTTCGAATCATTCTTCTTTTCTCAGAGTATGTTCGACAGTCAACTCAAAATCTCGAATATTTAACAACTGACTAAATATACATGACGCGAATAAACTTCGATCGTCATGATGAACTGTAGATTTTGTTTATTCAATTATTCGTGCTGTACACTACCTTATTTCTTTGGTAGACCCGTTGACGTGCTGTTTTTATTCAATTATTTATGCTTTACCCTAGCTATTTTTTTCCGTAGACCGGTTGACATGCTGTGGGTACAGCGTTGCCACAGCCTATGTGCTTTACACTAGCTAATTTCTTTGGTAGACCGCTTGAGGTGCTATTTTTATTCAATTATTCACAGGCTTATTTATCCCGTAGACCGGTTGAGATGCTGTGGGTACAGCGTTGCCACAGCCTACTGCACAGCACCAGCGTACAGGCAGCAGCAGAAGAGTCGTGCAGCATCAGTGAGGCACAGCACAGCGTGCTGGTCCTAGCGTCTGCTGAGGGCCTCGTGACACCAGCACCTGGTGCTGCTTCGGTCGCCCCGTGAAAATAAACGGTTTCTCCGTTATTATCAGATGTTTTACGGTTTTCTAGTGTAAAATTAGAATAAAAACGGCGACGCGATGTTTCTTTTCACGTTCCGACCGGTCACTGAAACGCCGGTAATACCGTTAACGGTAATTTTTCTAACAGTGCAAAATAATGCAATAGAATATATATAATGCAACGTGACATTTAATATATTTATACTGTATATACCATTCCTTATATAATAATTGATTTACGTATATGGCAATATATGTTATAATGTGTAATGTGCACACCGTGGCAATATAATATATATAATGTATATACATTTCGATATATAAAGAGTAATTTACAAATATAACGAAATAGAATATACATAATTCTCGGTGGCAATACGTACATGTTGAAATTAATATACCAGACTTGATGACCTCGAAAACTGAAGCTACTTCTCTCAAACTGAAAGCAGTTAATGTTTTTTTCTTTCCGATGTTTTTTTATTAAATTGAACATTGAATTTGCAATCAAAAATTTCACTCGTTGTGTGCAGAAGGAGAGCTGCGAGAGACCAAAGTCTCTGCTGCTCGACGCTGCTGGGGAGGACCCTCGCAGCAGATCGCACAGCTCCTCTCCCAGGCCTCCTGCCCACCGCCCCACCCACCCGCTGCTTCACTCCGCCTCTGAGGGTGAATATGCTTAATATACATCAATAGCGATTTATGATTGATTTGCCTAAATACTTAAACCAATCTTCTGCTCCACTTGTGAGGATACATAATTTTTACAGTTAATTTCCTATTAGAATATTTTGATGCGAATTTTTGAAGTTTTTTTTTTGCGAGACACCTTCTTCTGAGAGTCTAGTAACCTTCTCTGCTATGATGCTACTAATTAAATAGATTCGACTAGATATATAATATCATATAATACATTTAACTGACCAAATGAGTGTCCAGGATATATGGATGGACATTGGTCCATTGTGGCCTGGGACTGCTACGTCTGAAACAAATACTAATGATACCACTAAGGATATCGCACATAGACCAAATATCATATACTACATTCAACAGACCAAATTAGTGTCCACGAATTGATGCTATCTATCGCTCATAGACCAAATATCATGTACATAACAGACCAAAATCCAAATTAGTGTCCACGAATTGATGATATCTATCGCTCATAGACCAAATATTATCAGGGACCTCATCTTCTAAATTGCTCATAGAGCAAATATCATATATTATATTTAACAGACTAAATTAATGGTCGGGATCTTTATGCTATATATCTCTCATAGACGAAATATCATCAGGGACCTCATCTTCCATGGCCCCGGGGATGTCACCAGCTTCTTCATCTCTGCTGCTCTCGGCCAGCGAGGCGCCCCTGGACACGCTGCGCAACCTGACGTACCGCCGCTTCCTGAGACGCCTCGGTGCTGCCCAGGCTGCCGGCATAATTGATCCTGAACACGACGATTATTCCTTCCTTTTGAGTGATGCTGTGTCGTCTGCCGGTGCTTACCGCGACACAGGTGAGTCATATGGACCCATCTTCCTCCTGAGTGTCGCCTGCTNTATAGCCTGGAGTCAGTTGATGGGATGTTATTGTATGACATTCACCCGCTCACGAATTTCGAGATTTTCATGGATGGCCATTTTTAATTGCAATTTCAAATCCATCATTATTCACTACTTTTTCTTACAACTTATCTGCCTCTTGATGTGATGCTGAACATGTGAAATTGCCAAATGATTCCTAAAAAATATTAATATTATTATTGTTAATATCTAACTTATATGTATCCACATAGGCCGTTAAATTTATTTCATTGTTCTAATACATTATAATTAGATAAATTAAAATATCAGGGCTGATATTTAATTATTTCATGCAGGTCACCGCACAAGCTTATTTATCCATGAAGGCAGTTAAATTTACTTTAAATTTACTTTAGTCTTCTAATAAATTATAATTAAATAAAATAAAATATTAGGACTAATATCATATTATATGCAGGCCACCGCACGAGCTACGACAGCGCTGTTGTCCTCGCATCATCGTCTACTCCCTTGACTTCGTCCAACTCTGCGCCAGCCGCCGCCAACGCCAGCGTCAGCTCTTCCCTCGCCACCACCGTCAGCAGCGCCCCTCAACACAACTCTACTAGTGGCAGAGGGCTAACCACTAGTATGAGAGGGCATTCCACTATTGGAAGAGGTCGAACCACTCGTGGAGCAGGGTGTACCTTCGGTGAGCTGACAATAGCTCTCGCCTCATGTGAAGAAGGCCGCGATACCACTAGTGGTGAAGGCCGATTCACTAGTGGAGGAGACCTTGCCACTGGTAGTGGAGGCCAGGGCACTTGTGGAGGAAGCCACGACACTAGTGGAGGCCACGGCACTTGTGGAGGAAGCCACGGCACTAGTGTAGGCCAGGTCACTTGTGGAAGCCATGGCACTAGTGGAAGCCAGGCCACTTGTGGAGGAAGTCATGGCACTAGTGGAGGCCAGGGCACTTGTGGAGGAAGTCACGGCACTAGTGGAGGGCAGGCAGCTAGTGGAGGTGGTGGTTCATTGACAGTTCAGTCGAGCCTGTTGCCGCTGCTGTTCGAGATGGGGTTCAGCCTTCGCCACATCCAGGCCGCTTTTGCTGCTAATAGTGAGATTTGAATAATAAATTAATTATAATGTTCATTAACGGCAAATTAAAGACGTACAAATAATAAAATTAATTTGAATGTTCATTAGCGGCAAATTAAAGACGAACGAATAATAAAATTAATTTTAATGTTCATTAGCGGCAAATTAGAGACGTACAAATAATAAAATTAATTTTAATGTTCATTAGCGGCAAAATCTCTAGAGATGTACTTAACAAAATTTGCAAATTTATGCATTTATATTTGCACGAATAATCATTTAAGTAAACATAGACTAACGAGTTAAGTTTTTGCCACTGAGTTGTGTGATTATTACTCTATGAGATATGTTGGCCTTTAAGTTTTTCATGAAGCTTTAAGTTAAGATATTAAGTTTTTAATAAGTTTTTAATAAAACTTAAGATATTAAGTTTTTCATGAAGCTATCTAGAATTAAATTATGGCACAATCTATGATTGCTTGGCTATCATTTAGTAACGATAGTCGATAATTCATTAACTCGATGCTCTTTAAAATTTTAGTAACATTCACTGAAATACCTACTTCATAATACCATTTCTTGGAAAAATTCAACAATGAAAATGATTTAAAAAGTGTTGATTTGTTGAAAATTTATTGAAAATACACTATTTGTTTTTGCAAGAACTATTCATAAATCAAATCAAGAATAATGAAACCAAGGAATCAAGGGCTCAAAAATGGGCCCTGGGTCAGGCCTGGTCCATCAAGTGGCGTCCGCACCAAAGAAACAAGACGGCGGTGGTCTTACTTGTGAGTAGCAGTGGGGTAGACTCAACTGGCACGTTAGGACAGCTCTGACATGAGTTGCTGGACAGGACTTAAAGAGGCATCCACGCTGGCCTCTAGTGTCAGCTCGAGTTGCTCAAGAGCAGCCCAAGACTCGACTGCAATGTGGCTCAGTGAGCCCAAAGCTTGCCTGTCACTCGTCCAGAACTGGCATTAAATTAGCTCAGAACTTGCCGGAATGCGCTCCAAATTGGCCCAGAATTTGCCCCACATTGGCCGCTCTGCAAAAGTGCAGGAACAAGAACACATAAAACCTATCCAACAATAACACTTGGAAGTTGAAGCACATAAGTACACTAGGAACACATAAGAACAAATTGATCTACCTAATGCAAAACTGTAAAACAACTTTAAGGGATGATTGATTATATGTACAAATATTTACTGATAACATTCAATAATTAAAATTTAGGACTGAGATGCGTGGCAAGAGTATTCCCTTTACTCACCTATTTAAAGAGCCAAGAATAGCATTATCAGCAGTTCAGCAACAGGTCAGTCTTGATATCAGCATAGCCAGAAAGCAGGTTCATTTAATGCAGCAGGTTATTCAGCAAAAGGCACTAGGTCAGAAAAGCAAATCTGCCTTGGTCAATAACAACCCATGAAGAAGATGACTTGGCACAAAAATTACTTTAACTGGCTTTAGTATTCCACTGGTCTGAATCAATCTAACATTCAAACACTGGGGACAAAAAGAGAGAATTAATTGAAAACACTTAATAAATAATTCATTTGCCTAAATGCAGCCCCTAACAATGAGAACTTTGTTGATAATCATTACTGATTATGAAAAAATTTGAATAATCCTCCCAGATTATGAGAAATTGAGCACTCATTGAGTGGATATTCACACCTAACATCAAAAACACAAATCCGGAACCTTTTGTAGACTACGGTGCTTGACGCACAAAACAATTGAGGCAAAGAAAATACTTCAAATTCAAACTAAATCAACGATAATCCCGTGAAAATAACTTCCTCTAAACTGAACCTCTCTGTAAAATAATTTAAACGCGTTCGAATAATTGTGTTAATTTCTGTATAATTTGAACTGAATTAATGATTATGTAGATAAATTCCTATTGAAATACCAAGTTCGTTGCTTGTGAAGGTCGCTAATTTCTCTATAATTTAAACTGAATTAATGATTGTATATTAGATAAATTCCTATTAAAATATAAATTTCATTGTATGTGAAGGCCGCAGCAGCCTGGAGCAGCGGGAGCGGGAGCAGGGGCGCCCCTACCACATGAGTCGGGGCGACGCCCTACGCCACAACCTGCGCCTCCGTCAGGCGATGCTTGATGGTCGTGACGCTGCTGCCGTCGCTGCTGCCCTCGGTGCTCAGGGTCAGGTGGGTTGTGTACATACTATAGACGAGAGGTGCTTACTAAATATGTACGAGAGGTGCTTACGAAATATATACGAGAGTTGCTTACAAAAATATGTTTCAAAACGTTGACTACGATTGCTTCATCTTGTACTATTATTTCATTTTTTGTACTGTTTTTAAATAAGGTTGCCAGACGGTCATTTTTTCGGGACAAATTCCGTGATTTAGTTTTTCTCAATTGCGTTGGCCGGCAAAAATTTATGATAGGGGTACTTCCTAATTAAATTTCAAATACTGCAAAAAGAAAATAAATGGAATTTTTATAGCGGAACCTACAAATAAACTAGTATATTTTGAGTTATCGGCCTTTTTGTGGCCTTTTTTGTTCACGGATTTGGCCGATTTTAGGCAACCTGAATTATGTACCTCTACGTCCTGGAGAAATACATTTCGTGGTACACATATGTACCACTTCGTAGTCAACGTGTTAAAGAGAAGGTTCTTGATTAATATTATACGTAGTAACCTAATGTTGTGTCAGGTACTGAAAAGTATATTTCCTAGAGAAGGTTCTTGAGTGATATTTTTACGTACTAACCTAACGTTGTGTCTAGTATAGAAAAATATATTTTGAAGCGAAGGTTCTAAATTGATATTTTTACGTAGTAACCTGATGTGTCCAGTATTGAAAAATATATTTTCTGATAAGGTTCTTGATCGATATTTTCAGTTATTAGCCTAATTGCGTGTTCGGTATTGAAAAATATATTTTCAAGAGAAGTTTCTTGCCAGATATTTTCATTTATTAGTCCTAGTTTATATCCTGTGCTTAAAATATATTTAAAAAAGAAAAATCTTGCTCACAATTTTCATTTATTTATATGATGGTTTGTAAAACTAATGCTTCCTCTAATTTGTGTTACTTTAGTAATGCTGAACGAATACGTTAAATTTCGTATATTGAATCAACATCATTACACGAAATAAGGAGCTTGTCCTGTTTTAATACTGACATTATTCCCCGGAATGTAAATTTTCCTTCGATGGACAAAGTTTATAATGATAATTCTACCTGGAACGTAACGTTCACTAGGTCTAAACGGCACATAAGGCTATTCCTACCTGGAACGTAACATTTTCTTGTTATAGACGTCATATAATGCTATTCCTACCCAGAACCTAACATTTCCTTGTTATAGACGTCATATAATGCTATTCCTACCCAGAACCCAACATTTCCTTGTTATAGACGTCATATAATGCTATTCCTACCCAGAACCTAACATTTCCTTGTTATAGACGTCATATAATGCTATTCCTACCCAGAACCTAACATTTCCTTGTTATAGACGGCACATAATGCTATTCCTACCCAGAACGTAACATTTCCTTGTTAGAGACGGCACATAATGCTATTCCTACCCGGAACGTAACATTTCCTTGTTAGAGACGGCACATAATGCTATTCCTACCCACCATATCCCTAGCTGGACATGGAAACAGGCTCAGACGCAGACCAGCCTGGGGGAGAGGAGGCGCTCGAGCGATGCTACAGAGCCTTGAGAGAGCTCGTCGAAGTCAGTTATATTATTTTATATTTTACATTATTTGATATTTTACATTATTTGATGTTTTACATTATTTGTTGTTCTACATTATTTTATGTTGTCCATTATTTTATATTCTCCGTTATTTGATGTTTTCAATTATTTGATATTTTACATTATTTTATATTTTACATTATTTTATATTCTCCGTTATTTGATGTTTTCAATTGTTTGATATTTTACATTATTTGATATTCTGCATTTTTTGATATTTTACATTAAAATTATTCCTCAATTTAAGAGTACGAGAGCTATGTAAATATAGTGAAGATTTGTAAATTATGCTGGGTATACTAATACGGCCTATACGAGGCTTATGCCGACTGTGCTTTTAAATAATGATTGTTTTATATAAAGCATTATATGCAATGTTTTTGTGAATAGGAACGCAAGTGTGTAGAATAATTTAGTAAAATCTACGGACGGTAATTCAAATGCATGGATGCTATCAAAAAAAATGCGCTTGAGTCTTTTTTGGGTTATCATTTCTGTGATCTTTGAAGTTTATTTCAATGGAATGTGCTCTTCATATTTGTAATATAACGAATGTGATTGTAGTGTTTGTAGTGAAATCACGAATTGTAGTGATTTCACTACCTTTTGACGCAATTGCGGTTGATTTTCTTATTTCAATGAACTCGGTAAAATTTTCTTGCGTTTTATGTTTTATTATATTTTTTCTATTCTCGTTTTCTTTTATTCAGACGACCAATATTCCTCGTTTTCTTAAAGCTTAAACTATGCCAGGACGTTAATCTCTTTTAAAGATTAAAATTTTTAAAACCATTCTGTACCTATTCTATTTTATGTGCTATTTACTTCCATTAAAATTTGCTATTTGCCATGCATTATCCCGATCTCCAACGAAATTTTGAAAAGCGTCTAGTTGAACGACGAGGATACTTATAGTACTTGAATAATTATGAATCGAAACAGGAAGTAAAATAGTGAAGAATGCCTTGTTTATCACTATTGCAGTTCAACGGTGAACGTAGCATGAGAGGAACGTTGCAATTTTGAAAAGCGTCTGGTTAAAACACAAAGATATTATTTATAGTAATCACATGATTATGAATCGATACTGCAATTAAAACAATGAAGAATGCCTCGTTTATCACTATTGCCGAATGATTATGAATCGATACTGCTATTAAAATAATGAAGAATGACTCGTTTATCACTATTGCAGTTCAACGGTGAACGCAGCATGCGAGGAACGTCTCGATGGTCTCGTAGCCACTTGGGTCTCCTGACAGGCGTAGGCAGGGGCGGCACTGCAGGAGACAGCAGCGCTGGCGTCAGGATCGATGTTTCTGACGAAGGATCTGTGGGGGACATGACGCTCTGTGATATCTGCCAGCACCTTATCGGGGACAGGAGATACCATTACACTTCTGCGCACCCTGGCTGCGCGCGGTCCTTGCCAGGGGCCGCGTGTGGGACTGTGCAGGGTTAGTTGTTAATGCGGTCCTTGCTGTGGTACAGTGCAGGGTTAGTTGTTATTTTCAGCTGAACAACCGCAGGCAATTAAACAGATAATACAATAAAAAACGTTTCATTCCTCGTTAAAAAATGTTGCTTGGCATCGCAATTATTTGCATTTATAAACTAAGATTTTTAAGCACATAAACTACCTACGTACAAAAATGCCCATATTGAAAACTAAGATTCCCAAAGTAAGGCAGCCATTTATTGTGAAAACTGCAGCTTCTGACATAAGTTAATTATTCTGTTAGGAGGTTTTTATCTCGTCAACGCCAGCATTCACAGAAATCAACGATGATCAGAACAGTTTTGGTTTCGATACTCGCTGTTTAGAGGTGTATTCTGTATTACAGATGTATGTGTTACAGGTGTATGTACAGATGTAACAGTACAGGTGTATTCTGTATTACAGATGTATGTGTTACAGGTGGTGAGTCATATGGACCCATCTTCCTCCTGAGTGTCGTCTGCTGGTGCTTACCGCGACACAGGTGAGTCACGTCGACCCATCTTCCTCCTGAGTGTCGTCTGCTGGTGCTTACCGCGACACAGGTGAGTCATATGGACCCATCTTCCTCTTGAGTGTCGTCTGCTGGTGCTTGCCGCGACACAGGTGAGTCACATCGACCCATCTTCCTCCTGCGTGTCGTCTGCTGGTGCTTACCGCGACACAGGTGAGTCACGTCGACCCATCTTCCTCCTGAGTGACCTGTGTCGTCTGCTGGGGCTTGCCGCGACACAGGTGAGTCACGTCGACCCATCTTCCTCTTGAGTGTCGTCTGCTGGTGCTTACCGCGACACAGGTGAGTCACGTTGACCCATCTTCGTCCTGAGTGACACTGTGTCGTCTGCTGGTGCTTACCGCGACACAGGTGAGTCACGTCGACCCACTCACCCTTGCTGTGTCAGGCCCTGATAAAGCAACATGATGTATAGCGACATGATATACCTCTAGCAACATGATGTATAGCGACATGATATACCTCTAGCAACATGATATATGGCAACATCATATATAGCAACATGATGTATATAGCAACGTGATACTATATAGCAACATGATATATAACAACAGTATGGTAAATAAATCGTGTTTTCCGAGCAAGGGTCTCGGATAAGCGTGATATTATTATTACTCTGAGGGTGAATATGCTTAATATCCATCAATAGTGTCTTCTAAATCGCTGAAAGACCAAATATCCATCTAGTGTGTTTATTTAAGTGTGTTTATTTAATATACTTATTTACGCGGTAAGAAGTAGTATCTTACCGCGTAACACACTAAATAAACACGTTATTTAGTGTGTTTATTTAATCTACATCTACTTCTAGTAAAGACCATTAAAAATGGCCATCTGTGATGGCCATTTTTAATTGCAATTTCAAATCCATCATTATTCACTACTATTTTGGATATTTGATCTTTGGATATTTGATCTTTGGATATTTGATCTTTGGATATTTGATCTTGTTATAGCCTGGAGTCAGTTGATGGGATGTTATTGTATGACATTCACCCGCTCACGAATTTCGAGATTTTCATGGATGGCCATTTTTAATTGCAATTTCAAATCCATCATTATTCACTACTTTTTCTTACAACTTATCTGCCTCTTGATGTGATGCTGAACATGTGAAATTGCCAAATGATTCCTAAAAAATATTAATATTATTATTGTTAATATCTAACTTATATGTATCCACATAGGCCGTTAAATTTATTTCATTGTTCTAATACATTATAATTAGATAAATTAAAATATCAGGGCTGATATTTAATTATTTCATGCAGGTCACCGCACAAGCTTATTTATCCATGAAGGCAGTTAAATTTACTTTAAATTTACTTTAGTCTTCTAATAAATTATAATTAAATAAAATAAAATATTAGGACTAATATCATATTATATGCAGGCCACCGCACGAGCTACGACCTGTCTCTTATACACATCTAGATGTGTATAAGAGACAGCATTTATATTTGCACGAATAATCATTTAAGTAAACATAGACTAACGAGTTAAGTTTTTGCCACTGAGTTGTGTGATTATTACTCTATGAGATATGTTGGCCTTTAAGTTTTTCATGAAGCTTTAAGTTAAGATATTAAGTTTTTAATAAGTTTTTAATAAAACTTAAGATATTAAGTTTTTCATGAAGCTATCTAGAATTAAATTATGGCACAATCTATGATTGCTTGGCTATCATTTAGTAACGATAGTCGATAATTCATTAACTCGATGCTCTTTAAAATTTTAGTAACATTCACTGAAATACCTACTTCATAATACCATTTCTTGGAAAAATTCAACAATGAAAATGATTTAAAAAGTGTTGATTTGTTGAAAATTTATTGAAAATACACTATTTGTTTTTGCAAGAACTATTGTTTTACACTATTTTGAAAAAATATTTAAATTTAATTTTAAATATATTAAATTTATAATTTTATAAATAACTTTAAATTTTTACACTATTACAAATACACTATTTTCTTGGAAAATTGGATCTTTAAATCAATTTATTTGTGGTTATTTATTATAATTTGTGTATATCCAGCAACTTAAATCAATTTGCTTGTTGTTATTCATTATAATTTGTCTTAATCTAGCAATTTAAATCAATTTACATGTGGTTATTCATTGTAATTTTTGTTAATCCAGCAATTTAAATCAATTTACTTGTGCTTATTTATTATAATTTATTATAATTCGTGTTTACCAGCAATAAACAAAGTGGAAGCTACAGGACGACACATGAACCAGCTGGTGACGTGGCTGCTGGAGAACCCCATGCCCTCCCACCCCCACCAGGCCCTCCTGCCCCCCTATCCCCCGCAGGCCCTCCTGCCCCCCACCTGCCCCAGCGAGAGGCGCCGTAGCAACGATGACGCCCTCACTCTCTTCGCCAACCAGGTCATGCTTCGTTAGCTCTTGTATTTCTGCACAAATTATTGTTTTCATGTCCAATTTCATGTTTTTCAACTTGTATCCAACATCTCACAGTCTCAGTGATACTTAACACATGTGACTGTAAGTGTCACGTTATTGCAGGTATCGGACACGTCACGGGACACTTGGGTCGTTAGCTCTTGTATTTCTGCACAAATTATTGTTTTCATGTCCAATTTCATGTTTCCATGTCAATCTTGATGTTTTCATGTTCAAATTCATGTTTTCATGTCCAAATTCACGTTTTCTGCCCAATTTCATGTTTTCATGTCCATCTTGATGTTTTCATGTCTTCCTTCTCAACTTCCTTTTTAGACAATTTCATGTTTTCATGTCAAAATTCATGTTTTCATGTCCAATTTCATGTTTTCATGTCCATCTTTATGTTTTCATGTCTTCCTTCCCAACTTAATTTTAGCCAATTTCATGTTTGATGTCCAATTTCATGTTTTCCTCTCCAACTTCATGCCTTTCTGCCCAACTTCGTTTTAACCAATTTTCATGTTTTCATGTCCAACTTCTATCTGCCCACTTCATGTCTTCTTGTGAAATGCATTTTCTATTTTGTTTTTGTTCTCAAATAAAACGCAAGATTTATTACCCCCCTTTTGTTCAGTTTCCCCTAACCACGCACTTAAAAGTAACATTTGACTCCGGAGTGTCACTCCAATGAATGTATCAAATCTCTGTGATATCTGTAAGTGACACATGTGACTGTTAAGTGTCACTTCATAACTTGTATTACACATCTGACAGTCTCAGTGATACTTGACACATGTGACTATAAAGTGTCACGTTATTGCAGGTATCGGACACCTCACTCTCTCAGTGATACTTGACACATGTGACTGTAAAGTGTCACTTCACAACTTGTATAACACGGTTAGTTGTCATTTTTAACTTATCACTGTCTCAGTGATACTTGACACATGTGACTGTAAGTGTCACGTTATTGCAGGTATCGGACACGTCACGGGACACTTCTGACACGTCGTGGCGACGTCGCGCGTTCGTGAGACGCACGGGCCTGTCTCTTATACACATCTAGATGTGTATAAGAGACAGTTGTAATGTGGCAGTAATTCTTTATTCCAGGATGATTGTAATGTGGCAGTAATTCTTTATTCCAGGATGATTGTAATGTGGCAGTAATTNCACATAATGCTATTCCTACCCAGAACGTAGCATTTCCTTGTTAGAGGCGGCACATAATGCTATTCCTACCCAGAACGTAGCATTTCCTTGTTAGAGGCGGCACATAATGCTATTCCTACCCACCATATCCCTAGCTGGACATGGAGACAGGCAGTGACGCAGACCAGCCTGGGGGAGAGGAGGCGCTCGAGCGATGCTACAGAGCCTTGAGAGAACTCGTCGAAGTCAGTTACATTATTTGTTGTTTTACATTATTTGATGTTTTCCATTAGTTGATGTTTTACATTAGTTGATATTTTACATTATTTGATGTTTTCCATTAGTTGATGTTTTACATTATTTGATGTTTTCCATTAGTTGATATTTTACATTAGTTGATGTTTTACATTATTTGATGTTTTACATTAGTTGATATTTTACATTATTTGATGTTTTCCATTAGTTGATGTTTTACATTATTTGATGTTTTACATTAGTTGATATTTTACATTATTTGATATTTTACATTAGTTGATGTTTTACATTATTTGATGTTTTACATTATTTGATGTTTTACATTATTGATGTTTTTCATTATTTGATGTTTTCCATTATTTGATATTTTCAATTGTTTAATATTTTTCATTATTTTATATTTTAAATAATTTGATGTTTTCCATTATTTGATGTTTTCCATTATTTGATGTTTTACATTATTTGATGTTTTCCATTATTTTATATTTTCAATTAGTTGAAATTTTTAATTACTTGATATTTTCAATTGGAATTATTCCTTAATTTTTGAGTATGAGAGCTATGCAAATATAGTGAAGATACGTAAATTATTCGGGGTATACTAATACGGCATATACGAGGTTTATGCCGACTGCCATTATATGTTTTATATAATTAGAGTTTTATATAAAACATTAAATGCAATCTTTTTGTGAATAGGAAAGCAAGTGTGTAGAATAATTTAGTGAAGTCTGCGGGTGGTAATTTAAATTTATATCTGCTATCAAGGAATGCGGTTGAGTCTTTTTTGTTTTTGGTCTTCATTTATGTTCTTTGAAGTTTATTTCAATGATGTGTGCTCGTCATATTTGTGATAAAACTAATGTAACTCTGTGGTAGTAGTTTTGACAAATTGCTTCTTCATTCTGATTATGTTAAAATTTAAGTGATTACTGCCTTTTGACGCAATTGCGGTCGATTTTCTTATATCAATGAACTAAGTCAAGTTTTATTGCGTTTTTATGTTTTATTAAATTTGTTTATTAGCGTTTAAATAAGTTTTTGCATAATTGATTTCGTTTGACAACCTAATTATCTGATTGAAGTTGACCAATATTTCTTTTCTTCTTAAACTATGCCATGGCGTTAATCTTTTTTAATGAATACATTTTTTTAAAGGATTGTGTACGTATTCTATTTTATGTACTATTTTGTTCCATTTTGATTGATCTTGCAGTTCAATTCAAATATGCCATTTGCTATATACCGAAAACAAAATTTTGAAAAGTGTCTCCAACGAAATTTTGAAAAGCGTTTGGTTAAACCATGAGGATATTTATAGTATTTGAATGATTATGAATCGATGCAGCAATTAAAACAATAAAGAATGCCTCGTTTTTCACTATTGCAGTTCAACGGTGAACGCAGCATGAGAGGAACGTCTCAATTTTGAAAAAACGTTTAGTTAAACCATGAAGATATTTATAGTACCCACATGATTATGAATTGATGCATCAAATAAAACAATGAAGAATGAAATAGTGAAGAATGCCTCGTTTTTCACTATTGCAGTTCAACGGTGAACGCAGCATGAGAGGAACGTCTCGATGGTCTCGTAGCCACTTGGGTCTCCTGACAGGCGTCGGCAGGGGCGGCACTGCAGGAGACAGCAGCGCTGGCGTCAGGATCGATGTTTCTGACGAAGGATCTGTGGGGGACATGACGCTCTGTGATATCTGCCAGCACCTTATCGGGGACAGGAGATACCATTACACTTCTGCGCACCCTGGCTGCGCGCGGTCCTTGCCAGGGGCCGCGTGTGGGACTGTGCAGGGTTAGTTGTTAATGCGGTCCTTGCTGTGGTACAGTGCAGGGTTAGTTGTTATTTTCAGCTGAACAACCGCAGGCAATTAAACAGATAATACAATAAAAAACGTTTCATTCCTCGTTAAAAAATGTTGCTTGGCATCGCAATTATTTGCATTTATAAACTAAGATTTTTAAGCACATAAACTACCTACGTACAAAAATGCCCATATTGAAAACTAAGATTCCCAAAGTAAGGCAGCCATTTATTGTGAAAACTGCAGCTTCTGACATAAGTTAATTATTCTGTTAGGAGGTTTTTATCTCGTCAACGCCAGCATTCACAGAAATCAACGATGATCAGAACAGTTTTGGTTTCGATACTCGCTGTTTAGAGGTGTATTCTGTATTACAGATGTATGTGTTACAGGTGTATGTACAGATGTAACAGTACAGGTGTATTCTGTATTACAGATGTATGTGTTACAGGTTATTACAGATGTATGTTTTACAGGTGTATGTACAGATGTAACAGTACAGGTGTATTCTGTATTACAGGTGTATGTACAGATGTAACAGTACAGGTGTATTCTCTGTAGATGTATGTATTACAGGTGTGTTCTGGAAAATTGTTCTTCCAGAGGAACTTACAACTTTAAATAAATTTAGGCTTAAGTTCCCTACTCGTTGACTGACGTCAGACGATTATGCATTTAGCTTTATTTCTTGATAATATCAGTATTATATTATTGATTGATACTTACGGATAGGGTAAGATTCACAACGATATTCGTTTATCTATTGTTCCGCTTATCACACCTGTGTTATCTTATCTTCTCCACCCACGTCCGCCACCCCACCACCATTACCTCACTACCACCACTACCCCACCACCACACCACCACACCACCACCCCACCACCACCACACCACCACACCACCACACCACCACCACCACCACCACCCCACCGCCACCGTGCAGGCGGGACGTACGTGTTGTGCGCCATGTGTGAACGCTTCCACTCGTCCATGCCCCGCGGCGCCCTCCGCCCTCCTGCTGGAGGCGTCAGCTACGACGACGAGCCTGACGTCAGGTCCTTCTTAGGGGCACCTGCTGACTTCCCGCCCGCCCCTCTGGCTACTATGGAGGGTAAGACTTACTTTTTGTGAATGTTTTCTTTTAATTTTAGATTTCTAAATATTTTATACCTACATTTTTTTGCTTCTATTTTTCAGCTTATTTTTATGATTTTCATTTTCCTGCTTTTTTTATAAATCTAACTATGGTCTTATGAGGCGAATCATTATTAATTGTTCAAATACAAGGTTATACATTTATATACCATTCTTATAATGGGAATACAAATAGGTAATTTCCATATAATAAAACATAATATTATTAGACAACACGATAAATCTTATAATATATATTATTATATACAATAAAATAGTTTTCTTTGACCAGACGACGACTTGTCTCTGTCTGAGGCTGACCTGAAGGAGAGCTGCTCGCTGTTCTCTGGCGCTAGTGGAGGGGACCGCGTCGGGGGCGCCGCCCTCCTGGCAGGGCTGGACCCCAGCTCGCTGCCCCCGCCTATACCCTTCACCCGCAAGGACATGCTGGGTGCCTCTGTCCTGCTCTGCGACCCTGACTTCGGTGAGACTACTTTTTTCTGTTGAAAATGTTATTGAATTGCATGACTGATGTCAGCCAACCATACGTTCAGTTAAACAACTTTTTTTCTGTTTAAAATGTTATTGAATTGCATTACTGACGTCAGCCAACCATACGTTCGGTGAAACAATTTTTTTTTTCTATTAAAGTGTTATTGAATCGCTTGACTGATGTCAGCCAACCATACGTTTGGTTAAACAACTTTTTTTTCTGTGTTAAAAATGTAATTGAATCGCTTGACTGACGTCAGCCAACCATACGTTCAGTTAAACAACTTTTATTCTGTTAAAAATGTAATTGAATTGCATGACTGACGTCAGCCAACCATACGTTCGGTTAGACAACTTGTTTTTTGTGTCAGGAATATAATTGATTCAATTGAATGACTGAAGTAATTGACAGCAGGGTTGGTGATTTATTTTTATTTTTTTTTAAATCAAAAAAATAAAAAAATCAATGATTTTTTTTTATTTTTTCATGATTTTTTTTATTTATTTGATTTTTTTGATTTTTTTCAACTTTTTTGTCTTTTTGAAGTGTTATTTTTTTATGTTGCAATTAGCCTACTAACAATAACAGTATATGGATCATAATGGATGGCTAAAAAGGGCACTTATTGCCTTCAATAATGGCCAACAGGCCAAGGTCTGTCTCTTATACACATCTAGATGTGTATAAGAGACAGATTTATACTAAACCATGAATAACAATACCTCAATATAAATTAAAGACTGCCACTCAATATATTTAAATATATGAAAAAATCAAAAAAATCGAAAAAATAAAAAAATCGTGATTTTTTTATAAAAAAATCCAGTGATTTAATCACATGATTTAATCATTTTGATTTAATCATTGCCAACCCTGATTGACAGCCAATAACTGTATCAGTAAGTATAACCGTACTGTGAGTAGCATCGAGGCAATTGAGGTACTTGCAGTATACCTAAGTGACACTTGTTTTTTGTCATTGTTTGGTACGATAAAGCATTTATTTGCCAATATGAATAGTTCTATCGTTGGGCACGATGAAGTATTTATTTGCCAATATGAATTTCTATGCTATTTGTCATATACTATACTATACTTATTTTAGAATTGTATACTATTTTTCAGTTCTATTCTTTGGTACAATAAATCATTTATTTGTCAATTATAATGGTTCTATTTTTAGGTACGATGAAGCATATCTTATTAATAATTATTGTGTATAATACAGTTTTTTTAGCGAATAACCGTGATTCTTTAGTGTAGTACTACACAGAATTTTATTCCCCACAGATGTGGAGGGCGGAGTGGCCGCCTCTTGTGACCGCGGTGATGAAGGCTTACCTGATCGCAGGGAGCCTCTAGAGGCACACGTACTTGAGACTCCTGACACAAGGATGACGGCTCTCGCCCGCACCACTCAGGTTATTCAAATTATTAGCAAATTTACTGAAATTTATGTAATTAAAATTATGCCACTGATAACGTCAGCGCTAGTGCGCGCTTGGCAGGGTGGAAATGCGCAAAAAGGTAATGAATGAACTCTCAAAATTCGCTTAATTTCACAGAGCGCCAATTTCTGGTCTATAATTGGTGTGTCTAGCTTGGAAAGTCGTCAGTGATTGGCTGACGGAGATACGGACTCGAAAATTGATCGGAAAAGCTAAAATTTAATCATTTATTTTATTCGAGCTTGTCTAATATTTTTGAATGAAACAAGTAACTTAGTTGGACGGAAATTTACTATTTGAACCAGCTTCCCTAAAATTCCACCTTTACCCGTAAGAAGTGTTAATTTCTTTGACTCATCACAATAGTTTTGTATTGCACAAGTAATGTAACCCAAATGGACCTATATTGATTATACAAACCAGCAATTCTAGAATTCCGCCTTTTCTTTCATGGACTGCGCATCTCCATACCTGTCTCTTATACACATCTAGATGTGTATAAGAGACAGGTGNGAAGTAGGAAGTAGTTATCATTCCAAGTAGGCCAAGAAAGGAGGGGTTTTAAGTCAGAGAGGGAGGGTCATAGGTCAAGGTCAGGATTAAATTATTATTCTTAATCTGTGTTTCTATTTTCGGTGGACATGCGAATCAGGTTTTTCATTTGTGTTGATTTATGATGTTGTTAGAGTTTGTTTTTATTTCTTCTCGCTGAGCATGCAAGCTATGTTAGGTTCATTACCGTGATTTATATATAAATAATGTCTGTCGAAGTCTGATATTTACGCACCATTTTAAGATTACTTATTTATAATATTAGGACTAATGACATCGTTCATTTGACATAATGACAAATGAACAGCTGGAAAGTCATGGTATTTCATATCATTCACGAGTTAGCCGATGCTACCCCAGTACAATATTTAAAAAAATTTTCGACTCGAATGCATCATTGACGGTGAAGTATGATTTCAATCCTTCAAGATCGAGTTCACCAGTGTAATCCAATACAAGATATGCAATTATTTATATGTAAATATTTTTATTTTATGATTGTAATCCTTTATGGTTTTAATTCTAGAAGTTCTTTGATGATGAAGCATGATTTTAATCCTTCAGGGTCGAGTTAACCAGTGCTATCCAGTAGCAGACTCGCAATTATTTATAATTATTTTTATTTCACGATTGTAATTCTTTATGGTTTTCATGCTTGAGGTTCTTTGATGATAGAGTATGATTTTATTCCTTCAGGGTCGAGTTAACCAGAGCCATCCAATGAAAAACTTTTAAATATTTATTACTATTTCTAGCGCATTTTCTCATTTAAGTACTGAGTTATATTTTTTTATGATTGTAATCCTTTACGTTTTAAATACTTGAGGTTCCCCTTGAGCTGTACAACGGATGCTGTAAGGAGACCGCCACGCTGCTGACCGTATCGTCCTGTTAATAATTATTTTATTTCACGATTTAATCTTCCATGGTTTACGCCAGCTGATGTGCGTAATGATGGGCGAGGTGCTGAACTTTTATCATTTTTGCAAGCATAGCTCGATGTTTTTTTAACTTTTTGTGAAACCGTTTTTGTGACGATTTTGTGAAATGTACACTGAAACACTACTTACATGTTTCAGCATCTGCTGGCCGCTGCATGGGACAGCGAAGACTCCGATTGTTCAACAAGCAAAGCTTTTGGGAAGTCCAGCGACCCGTTGTCGGGTCTAAGACTGGGCCAAGATTCTCTACTGCAAAGCCCAACACGGGACGACCTGGGACCCTGGGACCTACACCAGAGACCTGGCGACACGCGGGCCCAGGCTACGGGTGAGTGTCGGACAAGAAGCTCTTATAATTATAATAATAATATTTTCTTATTGCATTCATTTTATATTTATAATATAATATTTTCATTAGACTTTCTAATAATTAGAAAGTCTTTCTGTCGGACCTGAAGCTCTTATAATTATAATACTAATATTTTCATTTTATATCTATTTTATATTTACAATATAATATTTTCATTAGACTTTCTAATAATTATTAATAGTATAATAATAATATTTTCTCTTTATATTTATTTTATATTTACAATATAATATTTTCATTAGACTTCCTAATAATTTTAAATAGTATTATAAAAATATTTTCTTTTATTTATTTTATATTTACAATATAATATTTTCATTAGACTTTCTAATAATTATTAATAGTATAATAATAATATTTTATCTTTATATTTATTTTATATTTACAATATAATATTTTCATTAGACTTTCTAATAATTATTAATAGTATAATAATAATATTTTATCTTTATATTTATTTTATATTTACAATATAATATTTTCATTAGACTTTCTAATAATTATTAATAGTATAATAATAATATTTTATTCATATATACATTTTATATTTATAGTATAATATATTCATTAGACCTCCAAGGCCGTTATCATCAAACATGTAGCGGACTATTAATCGTCTGTGATTGGTGTGATTTACTTGAGAAGTCATCAGTGATTGGCTGACAAACTCGTTACTATTTTTAATAGTATGCATGCAGAAGATATTAATTACCTGGTGATATAGCCTTATAATATAATCTTATACACCTATAATAATAATTATAATTAATATTTTTCTAATAATTCACATTATAAGAATTATTTACTGGTACTCAAAAAATCTGCATTTTATCACAACGTCTGTCTATCTTAACCTTAATCCTATAACATATAAATGCTATAACGATAGAGATTTAGGTAGATTTTGCTGGTAACTCCTAAATATTAATGGATCTAAATATTACCTATTACCTAGATCTAACCAGAATATTTCTAGGTAATTTAAAACTCCAGATCTAGATACTTTATGGTTCTAAATCTAAATATTATCGAACATTAAATCCTGGTATTTAAACTCTCTAGATCTAAATGCCTTGATCAGGTAAACTATTAATGACTGATGAATGAATTTTTATTATTAATAGTTTATTATAATGAACTGCTTATGCTTATTATTATTATTATAATTATTATTATGCTTATTATTATGCTTATTATAATGAATGAATTTTTATTCCACAGGGTCTTCATGTAAGACGCTATGCGTGACGAAAGCTCTCGTGTCGCTTCTCGCCGCTAATCCTGCACTTTTTCGACAACCTGGTAAGTTTAATAGTGCCAACGAATTTTTTTTTAACTATTCGCATCCTATTTTTCGTGTTCCTTCAAGTCAACTGTTTGATAAATAAGTTCATGTATAAGTTTGAACCTCAAAAGGGCCCACTCGTTTCCGGTTGTAAATCAAATGAAAATTGTTTGACGATTTTTTCTTCAACAAAAAATCATCAAATCAAAAAATAGTTTTCATAATTGACAATGTCACCTGCTGCACACTCAAAGAAATGAGCAAGAATGTGTCAATATTGCGATGCGATCTTCTTAGTGCGGAACATCCCTAGCTTTACCTAGCCTAGCTTTGTACCTATTGTGAATCACCCTGACAAAGCGTGGCTCATATTAAAGGAATGAATCCTTGCCACTTCCGATCTGTTCTCGTGTGACGTGAGTAAGAAAGTGTGTCACTATTTGAACAATATGACTCATCCATATTCATTTCCGCTTGTGTCGATATTTATGCAATATAACCAACTCATATCCACTGCTGCAGGAGTGGAATGTTCCCCGGGAGGTACAGGCTACAGCTTCGTGTCCCCCGCCCTGCAGCTCTGCAACGCCCTCAGCGCCTGCGCCGTCAGCAGCAACCTCAACGTCTCTGCTCGTACCTGGTCTCTGCGTCATCTGGTGGGTCCTCACTGCAGTCTCTGAGACGATACGCTCATAACTGGTCTCTGCGTCATCTGGTGGGTCCACACTGCTGTCTCTGAGACGATACGCTCATAACTGGTCTCTGCGCCATCTGGTGGGTCCTCACTGCTGTCTCTGAGACGATACGCTCGTACCTGGTCTCTGCTCCTGACTCAGTTTAGTCCTGACTCTGTTTAGTCCTGACTCTGTTTAGTCCTGACTCTGTTTAGTCCTGACTCAGTTAGTCCTGACACAGTTTAGTCCTGACCCACTTTAGTCCTGACTCAGTTTAGTCCCGACTCAGTTTAGTCCTAACTCAGTTTAGTCCTGACCCAGTTTAGTCCTGACTCAGTTTAGTCCTGACTCAGTTAGTCCTGACCCAGTTTAGTCCTGACTCTGTTTAGTCCTGACTCAGTTAGTCCTGACCCAGTTTAGTCCTGACTCAGTTTAGTCCTGACTCAGTTTAGTCCTGACTCAGTTTAGTCCTGACTCAGTTTAGTCCTGACTCAGTTTAGTCCTGACTCAGTTTAGTCCGGCGGAAGAGCGTGTCAATTCTGCGTCTGCTCTCTGCTTGTGTTTTGGGTTAACGGTATTTTGGTTCTCTGGTGACGTCATTTTTACTATTGCCACCACTAACATCGTTTAAAATTATAAGTTGTGATTTTAACAATTGGACTCTAGTGAAAAAATTATTGTATTTCAAATTAGAGATCTAGGTACATACCCGATTATTCAGCAATAATATGCAATCTGTTACAATGTCTAAATGACTTCATATACGAATTTAATATAATTTGTATATCGTATAATATAATTTGTATATTATTTTTATCCGGCAATATACAAATAATATAATTTTTATCAATATTTGTAATATAATTAGTATATCGTGTCAGGTGGAGTGCCTGAAGAGCAGCGCTGAGAGCAGTAACTCCACAGTCACTCAACACTCACCAAAATCAGATCCATCTGATCCTGCTGCTGCACGAACTGGTGAGGTCTGGGCTACTGTTGGGAATTGCAATGTCTTTTACCCATTAACTGCTATTATTACTTCTATTAACTATTTATTGCTATTATTATGATCTTGGGGTGTTTCTTCAATTTTCTCCCCTGAATTCTTGGAGATTATTTACAGTGAAGGAAGTTCACTTCGCCTTCCAGCATGGTATACTAGCTATGAAATGCTATTACTACGAGATTGGGGTATTTTTATAATTTTCTATCCTGTTTTTGGAGAATAATTACTCGAGAAAAATCCTTCAGACGCAGGTTTAATATGATTATAAGAAATAAAAACTTGTGTGTCTTTCAACTTATTTTTCAATGTTCTACCTAATCGTGAAAACAATCTGGCAGGTTCGTCATATCAGGTATAATGTGGAAGTGTCGATTCAACCTGGTTTGATAGTAATGCGAGTTTCGTCTTAGCTCTAGCCGCTACGTCTGTCTCAACGCTGGAAAAAAAAAAAACATTTTACGCTGAACTTAATCACCCTTCAAACAGGCATACGTCTGTCCCTACACTGAAAAAGAAACAACGTTTTATGCTGAAAAAAAAATTTTACGCTAAAAAAACCTTGAACACTGAAAAAAAAACAGCATTTTACGCTAAACTTAACCTTACTTGGAACAGGCGCGGGTGTACGCGACAATTGCGGCAAGTTTGCCTGTGACTTCAGCGGCGCTTTGCCTCGCCTCCGCATCACGGCGCTCGAGGCCCACACCTCCAAGACTGGCCAGCCTCTCTGGATGCCCTCAAGGAACCGCATCGTTACATGGTCAGTCTGAGTCATGGATATGATGAATTAGTGTTATATTATTTATTTTATCTATCTAGCTTACGTCCATGTTATCGAACTAGCTTCTTATTATGAGCAGTACTATCAAAACTCGCTCATGTACATGTAGCGGTAGGTTTCTCGTCTGTGATTGGTGGGTTTTCCTTGAGAAGCCGTCAGCGATCAACTGACGCCTCATTCCTATGACCTTCTAACTATTTTTGAAAGTGCGACTCGTGAATTGATGTTATTGCAATAATAAAATCTCGAGGTTTAAACATTTTCTTGCAACAACTGCTATTTTCTTTTTAGGCGCTATTGTGCTCGTTATGTCCGTCCGTCCGTGACCTCAAGTTTTTGTCGACGAGAAAATGCGCTCTCTGTCACTCACTGCAGCGAGTACTGAGTTATATATATTTTTGTTGATCAAGTTTTGTTGATCACTTTTATCTATATATATTTTATCTATAAAAAATTTTGAGGTTTAAACATTTTATACAACTGTTATTTTTTTGTAGCGGGTACGACGGGACAGTACGGACCTGGTCAATGTGCCCCCGAGGCGGGGTGCCCTCTCAGGATCAAGTCCTCGTGTTCCAGTCCTCCGAGCCTGACCGAGGACTGTATCCCTCAACTCCTGCTCCCCTCAGCACCGTCCTGGCTATGCCCTCTGGCCGGCTGCTGCTGTCGTATGCTGGTGCTACCATCAACGTCTGGTCTCTTGCCGGTAATATCGAATGTCGTGTAATTTTGGGTGTAACTCTGACATTTGCGGGATATTTACTACCTTATAATCTTGGGTGTAACGCTGACATTTGCGGGATATTTACTACCTTATAATCTTGGGTGCAACTCTAACATTTGCGGGATATTTACTAGTGTTTTCGACTAGTAGACTTGCAAATCAGAATCAGTTATTTGTACTATAATCTTGGGTGCAACTCTGACATTTGCGTGATATTTGCTAGTGTTTTCGACTAGTAGACTTGCATATCAGAATCAGTTATTTGTACTATGAATTTGAGACCTTTATGAATTTCCTTCCTAAATGTAGATTGACGTAGTTATTCAATAAATACGGTGATAATTGATAGTTATTAAGTTGATCCGTGAAATCTATACTGGCACGACCATTAAATATGTTCAGAAGTGAGATATGCCTTGATGCTCCTGATAACTAAACATGTTGTCGATCACTAACGTCACAATTATAATGACTACATTTATGTGGTACCGTAATGATTAAAAGCGTTTTAGTTATTTTGACGAATAGATCCATAATATTGAAGATTAATTATGATTGAATATACCTTTATACTCCAGATAACTAAACATGTTGCCAATCATTAATGTCACAATTACTATGAATACATTTATCTGTAACCGTAATTATTAAAAGTGTTATAGCTATTTGACTAACATATCTATAAAAGTGAATAATCATTCCTCAAATAGTATGTATTTTTGTTGACTCATTATGCCTGAAAGTGTATGTATTTTTGTTGACTCATTATGCCTGAAAGTGTATGTATTTTTCTTGACTCATTATGCCTGAAAGTGTATGTATTTTTCTTGACTCATTATGCCTGAAAGTGTATGTATTTTTGTTGACTCATTATGCCTGAAAGTGTATGTATTTTTGTTGACTCATTATGCCTGAAAGTGTACGTATGTATTTTTGTTGACTCATTATGCCTGAAAGTGTATGTATTTTTGTTGACTCATTATGCCTGAAAGTGTATGTATTTTTGTTGACTCATTATGCCTGAAAGTGTACGTATGTATTTTTGTTGACTCATTATGACTGAAAGTGTATGTATTTTTGTATGTTATTCACTTCATTCACCATCTGCACTCACCATCCACATTCACCAGGTGAGACATGTTATTCACTTCATTCACCATCTGCACTCACCATCCAGAGCTGCTGTGCTGTTCACGCCTCAATATTGCTGCTGTTAACAGGGCGCTGTAGAGCTGCTGTGCTGTTCACGCCTCAATATTGCTGCTGTTAACAGGACGCCGTGGAGCTGTTGTGCTGGAGCCCAACAGGAGGGCTCCTGTTCACTGGAGGTCCCCGGTGTGCCAGCGCGCGCGTGTGGCGCCTACAGGAGCAGCAGCGCCTCGGCGACGAGGCTGCAGCAGCGCCTTCCTCCCCTGCAGAGCTGCAGCGCGCCTGGAGCCCTGTACACAACCTGGGCCTCGACGCTGCGCCTGTCACGGCCGCCGCCTGGTCCGGCATTGTTTGTGAGTAATTAATATTACTTTTTACTGATATAGTTATCGCCATAATAAATAATGTTATTCTTTATGGATATATTTATCGCCATCAATAAATAATCTTCCTTTTTATGGATACATTTATTGTCATTAATGCTATACCCTCCACGTTACTGATACACTAACCGTCGCGAATGATATTCGTACCTAAAGGAGAAGAGAGTTGCCGTCGTGCAGTCGTACTATCCAACCTCGCTTAATTAAGTCCACCTAACGACCGATTTATCGTCTGTGATTCGTGGGATTAGCTTGGAAAGCCGTCAGTGATTGGCTGACGGAGTTACGTTGTAACTTTTTTTCACAATACGACGTCGTAACTTCAATAAATCGCCGCCCCCAAACAGTCCAATTTGGTCGCCGTAAATTTGACACGCCTTCTGCTCGGTTGATATCTTGATTCCTTAGGAAATATTCTCCTTGCTGTTCTTACCTGTACCAGCATTGCCATTTTTTTTTTTTTTTGCACCAAAATTATACTTATTTTAGTTATGATGCATATTAGATGGGAGAGTATGAACTCTGACGATTCTGTGCTCACTCTACTTCTTTTTTCTACCAATGAATGTTGTGCCAATAGATTTTACTCCGCAGTTCGTGACCGACTGCCAAGTTAATTATTGCCTCATTAAATTTAAATTCGCAAGCATAGATTTTTCTTTTTCTTAGCGGCTACCGAGTTAATTGTTATGTTGTCTAAATTTCGTGTTATAGTACCGGTATAGTATAAATTAGTTGTGACACAATATATATTAGAGGTTGGATAGAATGGTATAGCGATGCGAGCATGTTGATTAGGCCGTCAGACCTGTCGCCGTTTCTCAACATTCCAGAATATTCAGTTATTGCTGCGGGTCTCGAACACTCAACTCACTGCTTCATCTTTACTGTGCTTAACCGCTCTGTCACCTTGCCGATATGACCATAACTAACGCACAGAGCTGGGATCGAACCCACAACTCGCTGCTCAAATCTTGGTACTCTGAACTGTAATCCTGCCCTTGAAGAAACCGCATTAGTTATTCATGTAGAGGCATTAATCATTTGTGTAGAGGCATTAATTATTTGTGTAGAGGCATCAATTATTGGTATAAAGGCACTAATCATTGACGTCCAGGTAATGAGGGAGGGGCGCTGCGACGCATGCGGCATTAATTATTCGTGTAGAGGCATCAGTTATTCGTGTAGAGGCATCAATTATTCGTGTAGAGGCATCAGTTATTCGTGTAGAGGCATCAATTATTCATGTAGAGGCATTAATTATTCGTGTAGAGGCATTAATTATTCGTGTAATTATTCGTGTCGAGGCATTAATTATTTGTGTAGAGGCATCAATTATTCGTGTAGAGGCATTAATTATTCGTGTAGATGCATTAATTATTCGTGTAGAGGCATTCATTATTGACGTGTACAGGTAATGAGGGTGAAGTGCTGCGACACATGCGGCATTAATTATTTGTGTAGAGGCATCAATTATTCGTGTAGAGGCATTAATTATTCGTGTAGAGGCACTAATTATCCACGTCCAGGTAATGAGGGAGGGGCGCTGCGACACATGCTCGTGCTGGGGCACAAGGACGGGACGGTGTCTGTACACCGCCTGCTGGAGGCCGCCGGCCGCCGCTACTGTGGCAATGACCATCGTAATCTACGAGATGCCTTCCTTCATGTAATATATGCCCTATAATAATATTAATAGTTATATTGATGCGATAATAATTATAACGCAGAGATTTTTTCCTTGAAGTAAGATAAGGCCCGCATTACTTTTTCTAAGTATAAACTTAACTTACATTAACTGCGCTGAACGAGATCAGATTTAAGCCTAAATTCATTTATATTATTCATTTTAATTTCAATGAACAAATGAGAGCTTATTTTACTTATGATTCATTGTTATTACTTGCATTAAGAAATATGTCTTCAGAGTATTAGTATTATTTTTTTACGATTTTTTAAAAATACGATTTATTTAATCAATTAATTTTTCCTACATAAAATTAATGCTCTGTATTCAGTGATAAAATAATTTATTATTGAAATGTACCAAGTTTTTCATTCACAGTTTTTTTGTATCTTGTATTGAATCAAATATATTGCTCATAATCTAACAAGATACTCAATATCCACTGTATTAATAATACTCAACATTAAGCTGAATTCCGCGTGCATTAATAGTTATCGTCTACTGCAGAATTCATCGGAGTACCAACCAAGTGAAATTTACAGACGCGGCAGGTTCTGATACGAATTACCAGAAGCTGGGGCGACTCTAAATTTTGTTAAGGATGTAAGTTTTTTCTTGTAAATACGTTATAATTTATTCATCTCTGCCTGTATATTATGCAGGAAGAGGATTGTGAAAGCCTGGGGCCATTCAGGCCTCTCTCCCCACTACGGGCGTCTTCCTCAAACCTGGGGCTCGACGACACCACGAATTTCAGCCGCGATGATCCCAATTTCAGCCCCTCCAACAACCCCTACCGGGGTTGTTGGCTTGCTCCTACCCCTACCGTTAGAAGCAAGCGGTCAGTCTGCTTTGCCTTCGTGCTCAGAATCCGTTATATTTATTGTCATTTTGATTCTATTTATGTTCACCGATTCAATATTTTCTGGAAGTTTTAATGTCAAGTTTACTTATTAGCGCATTTTTTCATATATGGAAAAAAATGCACTATTGTACTCGCCATGTCCGTCTGTCTGTCTGTCTGTCTGACTGTCCGTCCGTCTGTCCATCCGTCCGTGACCTCAAGTTTTCGTCGACGAGAAAATGCGCTCTCTGTCACTCACTGCAGCGAGTACTGAGTTATATTTTTTTTTAAATCGGCCCGTCAATGTGCTGCTGCATTCCATAATAATTGCAGAATCATGCAGCAATTGGTAAATCTCTATTTAAGTTTTAAATTGGGCGTACAATGTTAAATTGACCTCTGCACGTGTCGTGCAGAGGTGTGCTGGAGAGCTGGAGAACAGACCGCAGCTGCAGTGATGACGACAGCCCTCAGGTGCTGCTGCGCTTCAAAGGACATCAATCGCCCGTCACCTCCCTCACCATCAGCAACAATGGCCTCTTGCTCGCTACAGGTGTTCATAGTCGTGTCTCCATGGCCTCTTGCTCGCTACAGGTGTTCATAGTCGTGTCTCCATGGCCTCTTGCTCGCTACAGGTGTTCATAGTCGTGTCTCCATGGCCTCTTTAGTAAACCTCTCTACTGAATATCTTTTGTAAGCCTTCACGGTCATGTCTCTCGTCAGCCTCTCTAGTTAACCCTGACAGTCGTGTCTCTTGTCAGCCTCAAGTAAACCCTGACAGTTGCGTCTCCGTACCCTCTTTAGTAATCCCTCACATTCGTATCGCTCGTCAGACTTCACGTCAGCGTAGTTATGACACCGTGAAACAATGTTCCTATAATTATAATGCTATTCATGCCCAAATTGTAGATTTGGGCGTGCAAGAATATTCTTATTAAGTGTTCTCTACTTGAATGTGGCAGGTTCAAATCGCAGCCAGAACGGCCTGGTGAACGTATGGTCGTTACATGACGGGTCACTACTTCAAACAACCATAGGCGGTGGTGGTGGCGTTACAGGTCTTACTTGGGCAGACGGACACGGTCTTGTTATTTGCCAAAACAACTCACAGAAAGTCCTGCTACTGCGCATGACTTACACTGAGTGAGTAATTGACATTTGCCAGAACAACACACAGAAAGTCCTGCTACTGCGCATGACGTTCAATAAGTTGTTTGACAATTACAATAATATTTTGTTTATTACTTGATCTGGCTGACAAGAATTTAGAATTTCATGTGTAAATTTTATGCATGTCCGAGAAATTTGACCATGAAATAAATTGAGGCTGTTTCTTTTGAATTTATAGCATCAGAAATTCTTAGTTTCTTACCACTTATGGTATTAAGGTTTGAAGGTCTCACGATATGAGGTAGCATGAATTGAGACAGTTTCTTTTAAATTTATAGCATCAGAAATGTTTTCTTTCGACCACCTTTGGTATGAGGGTTCAAAGGTCTCACGGTATGAGGTATGCGTGCAGGTATGAAAGCTTGAGGGTGATTGCGTGGAGCAGACACCTGCTGCAGACATGGGGTCTAACTGGGATGCAGCACGCTCCTGCATTCAAGAAACTTTGTGCCTTCCTGCCTCACCTCCTGCACCAGCAGTACAGCATTGAAAAACCTGCCAGTTAGTCGCTGTATCCATAGCATTGCACAACATTTTGATGTGTGTAAATCTGTTAGATTATAGCTAGTGTTTGTTACATCGTTACTGACGTGCTTGAGTCTCAATTTCTACTGCATTCTTTTTGAAATATATGTAATATAAAAACAATAATTTGATATCATATCACTTGAAATTCTCACCACGCGGCCATGTCGTTTCTAAGTAATTCTCTTGTTTTGTATATATTTTTTTCAAGATATATGTAGGCTTGTGTATTTTTTATTTCTGTTTCTTCAGATCAGTTTCACAGTTCCCTCTTCAGTTTCTGCGGGTTCTCTTATTAGGTACAAGAAAAATGTTTTCAAGGGATACGAATCTGTTCAAGATACGAATCTGTGCATTTTTTATTTCATTTTCTTCAGATCAGTTTCACAGTTCCCTCTTCCGTTTCTGTACCTACGTTTTCTTATTAGGTATAAATAAAATGTTTTCAAAGGAGATATGAACCTATGCATTTTTTATTTCAGTTTCTTCAGGAGACCAGCTGGTGCACAGCGTGTTCCTACAACAGCTGGTGTCGCTGGCGCTGCTGCTACAGCTGGACCATCTCGTCTGCTACGCCGTCACTCCCATACACAGCTCCTCGCAACAGCTTTGTACGAGTCACATGCCTATAACTCAAGCAATTATTATCATTTATTCATAATATTTATTTATGCATACTTAGAGAATATTCTAAGTATAATTTTCATCTTCATGCGTGTGACATCAGGCAAATATTATCATACGAGTATAATATTCCAAGGAAAATATTGTATGTATAGTTGCCGTATAGTATTGTATACATAATATTCATTGTTAACACATACAACAGTAGTATAATATTCTAAGGAATATATTGCATTTATACTGTATAGTATTGTATACATAATATTCATGTTAACGCATGCAACAGTGTCGGAATGGGCGTGGCTGGAGACGGTGTGCGCATGCGTACGTCAGGCACATGCTCTCAGTGAGCGCAGGGCTGTGGCCTCTTGTTCTCAGCCCAGTGAGTGACTACATACAAGTATATTATTTACGTGATATTTTTAGCTACTTCGTGAAAATAATAGATTTTTTGTTGTCCATTGTAACATTGTAACTGTTGCATTAAAAATTAGTGGCAGGAGTAGATAGTTCCATGTTGGGCGAGATTCGTCAGACTACTAAGCAATTTCCTCGTTAACCTCGTTAAGCATTTCAATTGATAACTGTTTACTGGGAATATGTTCTAGCCATCATTTGTTGTTCCAGGAGAGTGTGAGTCTCCAAGCGACGTGAACTGGAGTCTGGAGCAAGACGAAGCCCTCATGAGCTGGTGGACAGCAGCTCCATCTGACTTCCAAGTGGGCAGCGAAGGAGGCAGCGTCTTCATGTGGGGAGGAGGCCGTTATGGTCAACTGGCCGAGGCAGGTTCGTTGCTGATGTTACGGTCAACTGGCCGAGGCAGGTTCGTTGCTTATCCAGGAGTGTGAGTCCAATCATTGAACAGCTATTGATCAATGATTTATTTACTGTGTCATAGCTCAGTTTAATTCATTACTTCTGATTTAATAAGCGAGAGTTTGAGCTCTTGACCGTTTTCAGGTTGTGTAAATCAATGCTCAATTTGATTCGTAAATTTTCATAAATTTCATAAATTTTTTCATAAATTTTTGAGATGAGCAATAATTTGAGCTCCACCGCAGTCTCTGGTTGTGTTGTCGTTCCATATCACGATTGATTAATAAATTCCATTTAGCGGAATTTCCAGAGAAGAAACATTATTTCTTGCTCAATAGTGGAATAAAGGAGAACCCATAACCATAGCACAATCCTGTCGAGTTTATTCCGACTTGATGCCTTTTTGATTAGATTTCATTTATAATTGACGTTGCTGGCATTTGACCTTATACTAATTGATGATCGATGTACAGTACATCTCCCATACAAAGTTTGTTCAATGTTTAACACATCCAAGGTATGTTCAATGTTTAGTGCATCCAAGGTATATAAAATGTTTAGTACATAAAACAAGCCGATCTAGAACTTCAATATCCTACTTGTCTACTGCCAATGTTGCCCTCAAGTTGACTTCATCGTGTGCAATTGAAAGACGTTGTCCAAATATCAATGCACTTATTGCCCTTGTATGGGTCCATCCAAGTCCAATTTTGCCCGACTAAAGAACGTATCAATGCCACTTGCAGAAAGCGTGTCGGTAATTGGACAATATCACCAATTCACTTCACTGAGTGTATTCCTGGTGCACGCACAAAACTTGTCTCTAATTGGACAACATTACCAATTTACTTTTACTGAGTGTACTCTTGGGTGGACGCACAAAACGTGTCGCTAATTAGACAATATTACCAATTCACTTTACCGAGTGTATTGCTGGGTCTTCAGGCCGACACAGCCCCGTGCCCGTGTTGGTGGAGAGTCTGAGCTGCAGTGCTAGCGCTGTAGTGTGTGGTCAGAACTGCACCTACGTGGTGACGACCGGTGGACTCGTGATGGCGTGTGGTGAAGGTGGTTATGGTCGACTCAGTCACGGTAATAACGTCTACTCACCGTCACTCGTCACTGCTCTGCAAGGTAATCTGATAATATTCTGTGAAATTCGTCTTAAATTTTTAGTAAATTTGTGATTTGAGCAATCAAGTGATATTGGTGGTGGTTTTGTGTTAAATGCTTCATAGAATTATGCAGCAATTGGTAAATCTCTATTTAAGTTTTAAATTGGTCCTACAATGTTAAATTTTGGTCAACTGAAGGTGAGGAATTTTAAGAATATCTGACTATGTAGCATCTTACCCCGTGGACCATTCTTGCATGTTTAGTAATATCTCTCACCTGTAATATAAAATTGAGTTTCTTCTTTGGATATAACAAAAAATTTTCTGAAGCCCTTGTCCTATCATCTTATTTGTCTACGATTTTTGAAGTTTCATTGACTTCATAATAAAAAACATGATCAGTAGCGGAGTGAATCATGACATATATGACATATCGATTCATTAACCCCATTCAGTAGAATGTCTTGAGAAAATATTACCACATATTTAATGGTGGAATGTAGGAACCACAGAACAGCTCTACGAATATTTTTCTCTGACCTGAAGCCTTTTTAATGGGGTTTTACTTTTTAATTGACCCTCAACTTGTTGAAGAACTTGTTGATCAAATTGTCATATATGGGAATAATGTACTCGTTATCATCAGATTTGAACTGTTGCAGGTTACGTGATCAGGAGCGTGGTGAGCTCGTGCGGGTCAGACGGCCACAGCCTCGCCCTGGCCGAGAGCGGCGAGGTGTTCAGTTGGGGCGATGGCGACTTTGGTAAACTTGGCCACGGAAACAGCGACCGACAACGCAAACCCAAACAAATCGAGGCTTTAGCTGGACTTGAAGTTAGTTATACTCTCGTGTGTTGCTTCGATGCTTCATTTCATTTATTTATTGAATCTTATTAGTACATTTTTAGCAAGGTTATTGAGTGTTGAATAAATACTGATCCTAAATTTAATTCGTGTACAATGACTCGCAATCGGAAATATGACGACTTACCTGCCATGAAGTTCATTTTCTCTAGTTAGAGATTCGATTTTAGTCGGACTTCTTGCATTCATGCTGAGAGTAGTAATTCTTGTTTCAGGAATTTATTCTAAACAAATTTTCCTTCATTAGTTGATTTTTTACAAACTTTGTCACTCTCATTCTTCTCTCCATCTTCTTGTGTCGAAAGGTGTGCGCTCAGTTTAACTGATTTTATGAAAGTTCAACACTAGGATACAATTTATTTTTTGTGTGCAGGTTGTTCAGCTGGCATGTGGCTTCAAGCACTCAGCGGTTGTCACTGCCGATGGAGCTTTGTACACATTCGGGGACGGTGACTACGGATGCCTCGGCCACGGTAACACTGCCAACAAGAAGCTGCCCGAGCGCGTCCTTGCATTAGAAGGGTGGAAAGTGGGTGGTGTGTCGTGTGGCCTCATGCACACGGTATGCTGGTCGGTGGACGGCATGGTCGTCTGGAGTTTCGGTGACGGAGATTGCGGCAAACTTGGTCTTGGTGGCTCAAACAGCAGGAAAACTCCTCATCGAGTAGAGACGATGTGCGGGATGGGCATAGCGTTAGCTTGCGCAGGCTATCAGTTCACGGTGTTCCTTGCAAAGGACGGGCGAGTATTTTCCTGTGGCTTGGACCGCTTGAGCGGCCAAAGTGAGCAACGGAACAGGTCCCAGCACAAGCCGCAGCAGCTTATGGCGCTCGTGGGTCACACGATTGTGAGCATTGCCGTGGGAGCAGAACACACTCTTGCCCTGAGTGATGTAGGCGATGTTTGGGGATGGGGTAACAACACTGATGGACAGCTGGGTCTTGGCCACACGATCTCAGTACGGGAACCTCAACTTATCTGGTCGCTGTCAGGTAAAGGGGTGAGGCAAATCAGTGCAGGCAGGAGTCACAGCTCGGCATGGACAACTCCACCACAAGCACGGGGCAAAAGCTCTGGATTAAATATCGAAGCTCCAGGCTCTGTACCATCACAGTACCCTAGTCTCTCAGGGTTTTCTCCTTCTCAGCTGAGCTCTCGTCTTGCTTTACTACAGCACTACAACGATCTTGTGAGTTCTTCGTGGCGTTTCCTTGGACTAGGTGCCGATGCAAGCTTAGTCAGCGGTTTGGGAAGAGATGTATCAAATGGAAGCATGAGAGCTTTGCTCACACCCAGAGTGTACACGCTTCCGCTTGTTAGGTGCCTCTCGCGTACCATGCAAACCGGCCGTATCTACGGACCTCAAGTAACAGTGAAACGCTTCAGCAGCCGAGGTCAAACCGTCAAACCCATTTTCATCCAACTGGCTAAGCAGGTCGTCAAATTGAAACGACAAGATCTCCGGCTGCCAGCGCGCGCGTGGAAAGTTAAACTTGTCGGTGAAGGGGCCGATGACGCTGGCGGAGTTTTTGATGAAACGATGACTGAAATGTGTCACGAACTTGTGTCAGGAGCAGTGCCACTTCTCATCTCGACTCCAAATGCCGTGTCAGAAACTGGAAATAACAGAGACAAGTTCCTCTTGAATCCATCTCTCAATCAGCCTCACCATCTTGTTTGGTTCAAGTTCCTCGGCATTCTTTTTGGTATTGCCATTCGCACCAAAAAACCGCTCGCCATTCCTCTCGCTCCTCTAATGTGGAAGCTAATTGCTGACATCAGTCCCACTGCTGCAGACTTGGAAGATATCGACGAAGAGTACATGCAATCTCTTCAAGGTCTGTGCGACATTCACCTTGCTGGCGTTACTGAGGAGACGTTCTATGACTTCATTCCCTTGGAAAGATTCGAGTGTCTAAGCCTGACTGGTCGCCGAGTGCCGGTGGTCGCCGGAGGACGTGTGATCCCGTTGACGTTCGCTAACAGACATGAATACGTGGCTCGTACTATCCACTACAGACTACATGAGATGGACGAACAGGTCCAGTGCATCAGGAGAGGCATGTCATGGATCGTGCCTGTGCCTCTTCTCTCTTTGATGCCCGCCGCACATCTCGAGCAGTTGGTTTGTGGACGACCGGACATTGATGTTAGCGCGCTCAAGAAAGTCGTCCGCTACCGAGAAGTATCAGAAAGCGACGTGTTAGTATCGTGGCTGTGGTGCATTTTGGAGTCTTTCAGTGCAGAAGAACGTGTCTTGTTTGTTCGCTTCGTGTCTGGACGCTCACGTTTGCCTGCAAATTTATCCGACTTGTCACATCGGTTCCAAGTGATGCGCGTTGACCGACCTGCGGACAGTTTGCCCACCGCTCAAACATGCTTCTTTCAGCTCCGCCTGCCGCCCTACTCCAGCAAGGACATCATGAGAGAGCGACTTCTCTACGCCATCACAAACTGCCGCACCATTGACATGGACAACTACATGCTCGCTCGTAACCAAGATGCAATGCACCCTAGCGACGACGATGAAGAAGAAACTTGAGATGTGCATGAAATCCTTGAACGCTCATCGTAGTAAATAGCACATCTGTTCATTTAGAAACCAAAGAAAAAGTTCCCATGGCCGAACTAAATCATTTATTCATGCGTATATCCGGTTGTTTGCAATATAATTCTTTAGTTGTGTTGGAGCATCTTCTAATTCGTTCTGGTTACTCTATAGGCTTAACGGGGCTTGCAATAAAATGCCCGTCACTTTGAATTTAAATCTCCAAATTATTTGATAATAACAAGGGTGGATTGTCGAGAAGTTATTTCCTGTCATGTTCTTGTCTTGTACTTGTCAACCACTGACTTGATCTCGTTTAGGTTGTGAATGTATTGAATTATCACTGTTTATACTATATATTATCATGTTTTTGGTCAATATTCTCCAAATTTATCTATGAAGCACCTGTCGCAATTGTTTTCACGTTTCGCCGAATCTTTAAATTTGATTATCTTTTCGTATTTCATAGGTGGTAAGTCCTTATGGATGCTAAGTGAGGTAAACACAGTTAGCATCAAGTGAGTTATTTCTACGGAGTTGAAATAAATGACCCGTAACTTTTTGATATTAAAGGAGTTTGTTGTTTACACGTAGTCTTAAAAGTATAATGTTATTCAAAGGCATGTAACAGTTTCCATGCATCTTCTTTATCCAGTGCACTTTCGCTGGACACCCTTCAGTATAAAGAGCGTTTATTAAGCTATGATACTGAACTTTTCTCAAAGAAGCCGTTAACTTCCAACTTCCATGAACTGTAGTATGCGGGCTTGCAAATTGACTTTTTTTACCTTTTGTGAAAAAAGTACTATGGTTTGTCGTTAAAAATTTCACTGTTTCAGGTACGCCGCAAATTCGTTTTACAAGCTTCATGTGATCACTTTGTTTCATTTCCTATATACTATGTTTTGTTTGATAGTACATTGTTAAATTGTACTGTAATGTCGCATCAACTGATTCTCTAATGAATGCGAAACTGTACAAATAATGGAGAAACATCAAAAATTGCCGAGGTTCTTTATTTCCCCGTTAATTACGGGATACTTTACATAATGAGTCACGAATTTAATTCGAATAAAGGAATGTAGCCTTAATAAAGGAGTTAAAATTAACTGTATTCAATGTACCACCGGTCAAGTATTTGTAACTAAATGCGATGCTATATATTGACTCTTGATGCTGCAATACGTATATAAAAATTTTTAGCAGGAGCATGCACGACATCACCTGGTGACGACCTTATTATTAGGTTGCAATTTAAGTCTCATAGTAGGTACCTAATTTTAATCGAATAGGTTCATATCTATATTGCCATTAACTGTGTTGTTATATTCAAACAAACGAATTATGTATTCACCTTAACAACACCCTTCCAAAAAAAAGCACAGATGAAAACAGTCCATTGAATTAATTCAGCAAAGAATATCTTCACGTCCCTGAATTAACGAACGTTTTATTGCAATATGCGCGTTTCGAGAGCCTTGGCAGCTTCGTCGCAGTCGGGGTACTGTACGCACGTCAAGTCTGGGGGCGTCACGCACAGACAGTTTAGGTTGCAGTTGTCCGTGGGCGCAGAGGCATTGCGAGGGACCACGATATCGCCTAGTTTGCAGTGCGATCCCGTTGTTGCTGGAAACATGTTGAAATAAAGTTTAATTACTCTTAAAAAATTGAAATAAAGTTCAATTACTCTGAACAAACACAAAGTTGAAATATAGTTCAATTACTCTGAACAAACACAAAGTTGAAGTAAAGTTCAATTGCTCTGAGCAAACACAAAGTTGAAATATAGTTCAATTACTCTTAACAAACACAAAGTTTAAGTATGGTTCAATTACTCTGATTACACAACAAGTTGAAGTAAAGTTAAATTAGTCTGAACAAACACAAAGTTGAAGCAAAGTTCAATTGCTCTGAGCAAACACAAAGTTGAAGCAAAGTTCAATTGCAACAAACACAAAATTGATGTATAGTTCAATTACTCTGAACAAAAACAGTTGAAGTATAGTTCAATTACTCTGAATAAACACAAAGCTGAAGTAAAGTTCAATTACTCTGATTACACAACAAGTTGAAGCAAAGTTCAATTACTCTGAACAAACACAGAGTTGAAGTATAGTTCAATTACTCTGAATAAACACAAAGCTGAAGTAAAGTTCAATTACTCTGAACAAATACAAAAATGAAGTAAAGATCAATTACTCTGATCAAACATACATAAAATTCAGTAATAAATGAGAACACGAGTAAATTCATGAATATTACATTTACCATGGGAATTTAGAATCTCAAAATTTATTTCACAGGTATTCAAGAAAAATTATTGATAGTTACGTAGTTGATCGCCACATATTCTTCATGTTAATAAATGCACTGAATCAGAACCAATTTACCATTGCTTCGTGTTTTCCGAGGATTCAGTTGAGTATGTTGAATCACAAGATATCTCTAAATATTTGGATTTCTATTTGTTAAATGAACATTTCGGGCAAATTTTGCATTAATCTAACTTTGTTCACTCCAATCAGCTCATAAATCGCAATAAAATCGGTTGACTCCTAGAACGATGTATACATGAGGGTGGATGGCAATCTCTTCTCATTTCTCTCCTTCAAGAATAACTAAAAAAATGTTCTCATCAATTATAGTAAACTATCAACTTGACTCACCTTCTGATTCCGTAGGCTGGTCGGCCAGAGGCTTCACACGCTCGCTGTTTGCTGCTCAAGCAATTGAAAAAAAAAATCATTTATTCATGCGACGAAATAAAATTTCCAACAAAAAAATATTCACATTGTTAATTAATCCATGCCCAATAGATTTATGAAAGTAATGTAATCAATAAGTTGACTTTTTTAGTCTTTGCCGGCGAGTTGAAGAGTTTTCAGGACAAGGTTTATACTTTATAGCGATGTAACTCACGGCAAATCCAGTCAATGCTGCAGCAGCGATTTCTGAAGTATATAGGCGTGCAGCCGTCGCGGAGCTGCTGCGCATACCTGCAGACCATGGAGATAGCATTAATATATTATGCCTAATTCTTAAACTGCAATAGGCTTTTGTATGACCTTGTGATTTGCAAATGATGAATTTTTTTTATGCGAATGCGAGCGTGAACACCTAACCTAAAAATATATAAATTAGCGGAGTAACAATAACACATGAAAAGGGTGTCAGTACACGTAGCTCATCACATGAAAAAATGCAAAATACAATTCAAGTATCAATTCAAAATTTTGTTAGAAAGGAACACTAAATTCGTCCACTGACGCCTTGAATATTTTTATTCTCACCTGTAGTCCATGCCGCAGTCGATGGTGGTGCAGTTAGGTCCAAAAGCATCAGTATAATTCTCAGTACAGACGCAGGTCTGGCACGACTCGTTCGTGAAGTAAATCTTATCCCCGAGCTTGTATTCCTTGTCTTCAGCTGTGCATGAGGCTGTTGAACGGATGTTTGCCTCAGGCTTGGCTTGAGTTGTGGTACCTTCTGGTGCAGGCGTGGTTTCCGCTCCGGTAGCAGTTGCTGGTTCTTTATCGACTGGCAACTCTGGAGTTGCTGTAATATTTAAAAATTATATAACTAAATTTATCTTCGCATTATATTGAAGTATAGTATAAATAAACACTCAATGTAATTTCAATTATTCCGTGCGTTGGCATGATTACTATAGAGAAGACAATTCACGGTAATGCATTTCTGATGATTTGGAAGAATCGTCAATTTTTAAAAGTCGATACTGGTACAAAATGTACCTAGAGCACAAAATGTACTCTTGCTACACGATATCAAAAGTTAAGTCTCGTATCGAAATTCACTCTTCGTGATCGTAGAAGGTTGTACAGACTCACTGCATTCTTCGCCGACTTCGCAGCAAAGCTCGCTGTTGTAGAGGTTGCGGCAGAAGGGCTTGCGAGGGTTGAACAGGGAAGGACATTCCACCACGGCACACTCAACTTTAGGCCTACAAAATTAAAATTAATTCTCATGAGTTTGCTTCTGTGGACGGTTCCTATACTATTTAAATCCCTTGAAACTGAACTGCTAGTGAAAGTAGTCCACGTGGAAAATTATGCCCCTGAGATTAAAATAATTTCAATTTAAATCGTGCTACCGAGTCTGCAAATACGGATTTGTCATGTTTGACATGCACAATAGGAGTAAAGGTTCATAGTTCAAGGTAAAAATTATATTATACGGTATATTTCAACGTACAGTTGGCCATCGGTGCCAGGGCGACAATAGCAGCCGGCATCACAAGGGTTCGTTACTGGCACAGTTTCCCCCACCGCGTAAACCTTCCCTCTGTAGGGGCAGCCCTCATCTTCCCTCACCACGGCCGGACCTGTACCTAGCAGTTGTGTGTCATGGATACAAACTTTTAAGCAAAAAATACTTACAAACTTTTAAGCAAAAAAACAAACGAGTTTTAGATAAGATCTAAATTAGATAAGAGATCCAAGATCTAATAAATAAGATCTATTAGATAAGATCTCCGTATTTTTTCTTTTCATTTTAATGAAAGAAATACAAATTAGGTGCATACAAAGTAGATCAAACCCGGTTCCTTTCTTGACTCGTATAAACTACAACAGAAAACTATTTAATACATCCGAAAATGTTCCTTACTAAAAAGGATAACTTCTATCAGTGTAAAAGTTGTTGAAGTCTCATAAATTTGAACTTTGCATTATTTTATACGTTTTCATATGTAGTAGATAGTAACATGACCACGTATCAAGACATGCTAAACGTGGAATACCGGAGTTATACTTCTGTCTGCATGAGCGATTCTTTAAAACATTAAATGCGCGCCTGATGGCAAGTTGAATTTTATTCCGCTGTACAAAATTTTATAACAATCAGATTTAGTCAATGAACTTTTATTCATTGGGCCCGGCTGGGTTATAATGGCGAATTCTTTCTTTTATCTGTCAATACAATTAGCTATTTTATGTCTTCCTGTTTCTAGGATAGGTGTTTTAAAATTATTATAAAATCTGAGTAGATATTTTGTTTCTGGACTCACTACAATTGAAGCTGGCAGGACAGCAGAGAGAGACTGTGTCATCGAACACAGGCGTACAGTTACGCGCTGCGTAGTGCTCCAGGTAGAGCTGCTGGCAGTCCTGGCAAGGGACTGGATCTGTCAAGAAAACGGACTGCTTTAGAACGTGTTCGAAGTCAAATATTTTCATTCAGTCACATAATGGTTGGTGGAATCTACCTTAGGAGTCGATTTTATAATCTAAATGGTCGATAACTAGTTTTAGAAAAGTATATTTTTTAAAATTACATTTGTAAAAAATATGCATAATCGTGGATTTTATTAAACTCGATAATTCGAAAATATTTTCCAGGTCTAAAAACTCCGGAATCAACGTTTCATGCAGATCGAAAGCACATCGGAGTAAAAACACAAGGAGTGTACATAGTATTTTATGTTAAATGTTATTTATTATTTTGCACACTGTTGAAGAAGAACCTCTTTCGGCCACTTTATGGAATAGTTAATCGATGTCAGGCACTAAAATTGTTTCATCTCTGTACGCAAAAATTTGCCCCCAAAAAAAGAAGAATTAACGCAATTCAACAATTTTAAGGAATCAAACCGAAAGACACCCACCCAAAAAATTGGAACAGGCACCAATAATAAAAAAACAAAAAAAAAAAAACCGGGCCAAATAATAAAAAGAATTTAAAAATCTAAAAAAAAACAGTGAAATCAAAGGCCGTTAAACAAAACCAAAGGCAAGCCCCAAAACAACCTGAAAACAAGGCTCCCCCCGCCCCTTTTAAAAAAAAATTTTCAACTTCTGCAAAACAATTATTTTATTTTTCTGCTTTTATAAGTAACAAAACAAAATAGAGGCGAGAACAATGAAAATCTCTCAACTATTGTCAACTGCCACTCAATTGAGTGCAGCTATATATAAGTTTCCCGACAAAAATTCCCGATAGGTAAAAAAAACGCAAAAACTAACAATATTTATGCTGATGCCTAATAAATAAGCAGAAAGAATGCTCAGAAGCAGAACAATGAACAAAAAAAAATTCTAGACGGATATAGAATTAGAAAAAAAACAAAAATAGGAGAATCGCAATCTTAGCATAAACACAAAACTTACAAAAGCGAAAAAATTCCATAACCCCAATGACGCAAAATGTAAAAACGACTAAGAAACTAAAAAACACAAAAAAACAAAAAAATCAGAAAAGTAAAGAAGCCTGCAAACCTACGAAACAAAAAAAAAACAATCGCACGAGTACAGACTGGCTCTGGAAACTGCCGCCTCGAGCTAAAAGCAGCGAAGACATCATCCCTAGGCCGAAGAAACCTGAATAGCAAGACTTATATGTACCTACAAATATCGAATTAATTTTGCTAGCATTTTTGCCGCTTCTAACCATGACGAAAACTGTAAAACAATCTTCTAATTATTTATTTCGTAACTTAATTCAGCGATTGGATAATATTGCAGTATAAGTGATGTTATTTAGATACATAAATCCATTAGTTGTCAGGAAATCAATAAAGGAACGACATATGGCTCAGGCTTTAGACTAGAAGCCTAGCTGCAATGGTAAAGAAATGTGTAATTTGAAAGAGTTGATGTTAAAAGCGATTTTGTTGCTCAAAGCTGTAGAAAAAATTTACCTTGGGCAGAAACGCACAAGGCAAGCGAGAAGAGCAGGAAGGTGGTACGCTGAAGAGCCATCGTGAGCGATGCCTGTGGATAGAAGGTTTGGTTTTCCTTATTTCAATTAATTCATATTACATCATATTACTTTTGTGTACAAATATTGGGAAACTGAAATATCTACCCGAAAAAAAGTATTAAAATATTATATATACACATATATTTTTTGTTAACTTTCCATACCGAGAATTGAACGGTGGTGAATTTATGAGGTTTACACACGTTTCAAAATTTACCTTCCTTTTCACATGAGGAAAAAAACTTGTCATAAATATTAAGATTGGTCCCTGGAGAAAGCATAACGTCGCAAATAACTTTATAGGCCAATTGTATTCGCTCATAGTTTCTATCGCGAAACCACCACATATCGCACATACGCGTAAAATAACCTTATTCTTAGAGAAAGATTCCATGAGAGTCATATTCATCGGAAGGAAATTGTTATATTGAAAGCGTCAAATTGAAAGTTAAGAAGATTCATATCCGAACTTATAAGCAAGTGCGTTGCATATATTGATGGAACATCGAATTTTAAAAATTAAATCCTTTTTTCCACAATCCTACACCGCTTGTGCGAAGAAAACCATTTTACAGCTATCGGAAGAGATCGTTTCATATTAGCCCAACCTAACATTTACCTCGAGAAACGACTCTGTGAACGCGAATCTACTTTCACAATTACATAACCAAGCATATATAAGCATAAGAGAGTGTGGCATTATGCAGCTAAAAGGTTACTCGTTTATGAAAGGCAGGCAATGAAAGTGTGATCTAACGTGGTTACTAAGCAGGCAGCGAGAAGACGTGAACGCAGTCGAATCTTTCACTTTCCTGAACCCCTCGGTAAATTCATGTGACCTAAGATGACTACTGGTTGAGTGACTGCACAAGTTTTTAGCAGAAAATGTATTATTTTCAGCGGAATGATAGAAGAAAATGTAAGCACTTCGGAGGCAAAATGTTAGTAGAAAAAGTATTCTTTTCATCAGAATGTGTGTAGAAAAGGGATTCTCTTCTGCAGAACTTTAGTAGGAAAAGTATTTTTCTTTTCAGTAAAATGTTAGTAGAAGGACTCTTCTCCGGCAAAATGTTGATAGAAGGGGTCTCCGTTTAAGCAGAATGTTTGTAGGAAGAGTAACTCTTTCAGAAGAATATTTGTTAAAAAGCTTTAAATTTATCGTAAGGGTTTAATTTTCAACAGAGTAATGGTAGAAAATTAGTTCTTATTTTTCATCTAAATGTGTGGAAAATTTGTCTCATTTTCAGCAGAAAGGTAGTGGAGAAGTCAAGTGTCGACTTTTGAAGATTCTTTAAGCGTTTCTATTTGTCCGTTTCAATTTGTCGTCGCCTTTCATGTTGAAATTATACTTCATTTTTCTGCGTATTTAAAAATCAAATAAGGTATTTGATTTTTATTTTATTTAAAAAATCAAATCAAAAATCATTCCTACCAAGAGCCTAATTAGCCGAATAGAGAAAAACAATAAGAAAATTGTCAATAGGAAATACTCTCTGGTCTTCAATGAAACCTGCATTAAAGAACAGCTTCTGCCAAACTACACAAAAATCAAATAGTGCATGACGTCACGCGTGAAATTTCGCAGGTGACCAGCGAGGAGGATATAACCATAAAACCTAATAAGGCTAAAATAGAATGCAATATTTTTCATAAAAAAAGTATAAATAAATTCTTCGTCGGGCTCCAGCCTTTAAGAGAAATGGAAAACGCAGCTAAGTAAATGCGTTGTGTCTTGACTGATGTGTCCGGTACTTCACCACATTGCTAGGGACCCAGAAAAGGATTACTAAAACAAATGCAGTTGACAGAATGTTCGCATGCTCTCGGTTCGTTTCTAGGACTTGACTTAATCGAAAAGATTAAAAAATATAGTTGACTTAAAAAACAATCTATGAATGTAGTTCAAGCAGGCGAACAATTCTTTTTCTACCCATAAATAAATCATTTTTATTTTAAGATTTAAATTGAACATAAAATACGTCGCGGTGTTCAGTACTACGAACTGCCACCAACGAAATGTTGGGTTCTAGGAACAGGTAAGCGATGTGCAATCAAGTCACGGCCGAGCGAGGATTATGCCATGTAGTTAGAATGCGTTAGGATTTCGCTTGAAAATAAGTGCGTACATAGCGTATACTGTATACATGACTTCCAATCCAGAGATTTTAAATTATTTCATTATGCAAATTTTTTAATAATCTGTAACGTTCAAAAATTTTCTTATCAATCGTACAATAATCTAGTATACTGAAAATTATTTATAATTATATAACTGGTCGTATATTAATAGCAAATAAAATTTCTAAATAATCGATACTGTAAACATTTATCGGTAAAATGCCTGGTATATTTAAACCTATATGCAATCCGAGTGTCGAGTGGAATGCTAATTTCCTAATGCGTTCAGCTCAGGGCTCACACAAACTTGAAAGCAATTTCTAAGGTAAAAAAATGACGAGCGCAGAATTACTCACTGTTCGGTTGCAGGGCAGAACTGCAAGTGACGCTTGATGCCATGCATCCTTTATATATATCGGGGCTCCCCGTCGGTGATACGAGAGGCACGGCGCTGGCCTATAAAAACACATGCAGCCATGTAGCTTCATCTTCGTTATGCCAGACCTTCTACAGTTTATTTGAGAGTCTGCTCCTTCAAATTTAATTCTACCATAAGAGAAATATTATACGTGAAATATTAATTAGATTGACCGGATTGGGGTTTGGAACGAAGAACTATTAAGTTAAGCTTAAATATGATAATTTGAATTCACAATTGTTACTGGAACTATACAAAATCACTGCGAGTGGTGGAAAATGATCAATGCTTCAAATGAGCATCAATAACAAGTTATTAGTATGCTAACAGACTTGAATATTAGTTCACTTTTCATCTAATATCATTTCATGTTGTTATATCAGTACAATTTTAGCCCCGCTTTTTTATTCTAGTTTGATGTTTTTTTTCATAAATATTTTTTGCTCGCTTTGAGCTGTTGTGTGCGTGGAGGAGGTCCTAGGCAAATACTAAATTTCCAACACAAGTTGCAAATATCTAACACAAGTTCCTCTGTCTGGCTCACACTGCTTGTTCATGCAGTTTCGCACCCACACCACCAATAAACGTTACCATCATTAAATGTTGATCGCGTGAAACGAAAGATAAAAGTTCGTGTTCAGCAGAGATAATTTTACCTAGCAGTAATACAGTAATTTATTCGCATTTGGTTTTAAATCAAAAAATAAATCCTTTTTAAAGGTCACGTTTAAGCGTTTCTATTTGTCCGTTTCAATTTGTCGTCGCCTTTCATGTCGAAGTTATACTTTATTTTTTTTGCGTATTTAAAAATCAAATAAGGTATTTGATTTTTATTTTATTTAAAAAATCAAATAAAAAATCATTCCAACCAAGAGCCTAATTAGCCGAATAGATAAAAACAATAAGAAAATTGTCAATAGGAAAAACTCTCTGGTCTTCAATGAAACCTGCATTAAAGAACAGCTTCTGCCAAACTACACAAAAATCAAATAGTGCATGACGTCACGCGTGAAATTTCGCAGGTGACCAGCGAGGAGGATATAACCATAAAACCTAATAAGGCTAAAATAGAATGCAATATTTTTCATAAAAAAAGTATAAATAAATTCTTCGTCGGGCTCCAGCCTTTAAGAGAAATGGAAAACGCAGCTAAGTAAATGCGTTGTGTCTTGACTGATGTGTCCGGTACTTCACCACATTGCTAGGGACCCAGAAAAGGATTACTAAAACAAATGCAGTTGACAGAATGTTCGCATGCTCTCGGTTCGTTTCTAGGACTTGACTTAATCGAAAAGATTAAAAAATATAGTTGACTTAAAAAACAATCTATGAATGTAGTTCAAGCAGGCGAACAATTCTTTTTCTACCCATAAATAAATCATTTTTATTTTAAGATTTAAATTGAACATAAAATACGTCGCGGTGTTCAGTACTACGAACTGCCACCAACGAAATGTTGGGTTCTAGGAAGAGGTAAGCGATGTGCAACCAAGTCACGGCCGAGCGAGGATTATGCCATGTAGTTAGAATGCGTTAGGATTTCGCTTGAAAATAAGTGCGTACATAGCGTATATACATGACTTCCAATCCAGAGATTTTAAATTATTTCATTATGCAAATTTTTTAATAATCTGTAACGTTCAAAAATTTTCTTATCAATCGTACAATAATCTAGTATACTGAAAATTATTTATAATTATATAACTGGTCGTATATTAATAGCAAATAAAATTTCTAAATAATCGATACTGTAAACATTTATCGGTAAAATGCCTGGTATATTTAAACCTATATGCAATCCGAGTGTCGAGTGGAATGCTAATTTCCTAATGCGTTCAGCTCAGGGCTCACACAAACTTGAAAGCAATTTCTAAGGTAAAAAAATGACGAGCGCAGAATTACTCACTGTTCGGTTGCAGGGCAGAACTGCAAGTGACGCTTGATGCCATGCATCCTTTATATATATCGGGGCTCCCCGTCGGTGATACGAGAGGCACGGCGCTGGCCTATAAAAACACATGCAGCCATGTAGCTTCATCTTCGTTATGCCAGACCTTCTACAGTTTATTTGAGAGTCTGCTCCTTCAAATTTAATTCTACCATAAGAGAAATATTATACGTGAAATATTAATTAGATTGACCGGATTGGGGTTTGGAACGAAGAACTATTAAGTTAAGCTTAAATATGATAATTTGAATTCACAATTGTTACTGGAACTATACAAAATCACTGCGAGTGGTGGAAAATGATCAATGCTTCAAATGAGCATCAATAACAAGTTATTAGTATGCTAACAGACTTGAATATTAGTTCACTTTTCATCTAATATCATTTCATGTTGTTATATCAGTACAATTTTAGCCCCGCTTTTTTATTCTAGTTTGATGTTTTTTTTCATAAATATTTTTTGCTCGCTTTGAGCTGTTGTGTGCGTGGAGGAGGTCCTAGGCAAATACTAAATTTCCAACACAAGTTGCAAATATCTAACACAAGTTCCTCTGTCTGGCTCACACTGCTTGTTCATGCAGTTTCGCACCCACACCACCAATAAACGTTACCATCATTAAATGTTGATCGCGTGAAACGAAAGATAAAAGTTCGTGTTCAGCAGAGATAATTTTACCTAGCAGTAATACAGTAATTTATTCGCATTTGGTTTTAAATCAAAAAATAAATCCTTTTTAAAGGTCACGTTTAGAAAAAACAATCCACAGCAAAGTGATAATAATAGTATAGATAAATGGACAGCAAAGTGATAATAATAGTATAGATAAATAACTTACAGGGAAAAAGGCTCTGGTATCCATCGCGCTATCAAGAAAATATCTCCACACCCGAGGTGGTTAGGATAAACAGCGTTCGACTCTCTGTTTTAAACGGTGACCACGTTTACGAGATCATTGGATGAAAATTTATATGACAGTAACTATCTTACTGATGGAAAACTAATGGCTGAGCTACTACAAGATTTCTGTGTCTTCTAATTAAGCCAAAAAAAAATACTGTACTATAGAAGCGACAATTCGACACAAATTTTGCTATTTTTCACGCCCGCTGATTGAGGTGAAAAAACGATTAAACTTAAGATTACTAGCTTCAATTTCTTTAAAAATCATGTCTTGCCCGGCGCTTCAAATTCCTTTATTAAAAACAACTGCTCATGGCTTTGGCGTGATACGTGCAGGACTGCAGGCTTATGTATCAATTTTAAAGTTATTGCGGTATTTAACTTCCACGAAAAGCACTAGGAACTATTACGAAAGATCGTCGCGGACCAGCCAAATTGTTTCTTTTTCATAGCTACAGGGCAGTAGAATTACCTAGCATATCAATTAGTGGCTCTTGTACATTTAGGGGTCCGGCAATCAACAGCTAAAGAATCATTTACAGGACTAGCTAAAGGAATATGCTTACTTAGTTTTTTCTCTTTTTTAGGAACAAGCAGAATAAATATAGGTAAGGATTTCTGATGCTATCCTAATCTTCGAAACCATATACCATATCTACAAAAATTTTCATCGAAGCCCATTTTCGTTTTCAGTAAACTAAGCTGCTGAGCCCACACCACCCGCCACCTTCAGAATTTGTAATATGAAACAAAATTATTCAAACGAAATTCGATCAGAAGAAGAAAACGTCAGCTAATTTCCATAAAGAAATAAAAACTGAATTTTCACTTAAAACTGTTCTTAATCCACTATATTATGCATCCGCCTTTTCACAATTCAATAGTATTTAATCCAAAATTGCCATATTCCCTTAACTTTGCACGTACCTAAAACTTGGCACTTGCGTAATTAGTCTTACCTTGGGCCAAACTATTCCTTCGTATTGATTCGAGTCATATTATTAGTCCGCAAATTTCTAACTGGATTACATAAATATCTGATATTTTATAATTTAATAAACTATAAATTTCCATTCATTCTAAAGCTTAAATTTTTTCCCGAAACAGACCTCAGTAAAACCTTTTACCTGCAAATAAATTCATTTTCGGGTTCTTCTTTAATGTTGATCAATAATGATAATGTGTTGATAATTCCATCTTCGAGTTGAAACAAATAATAGAGCTCCGTGCTCGCCTGATTTGACCTTGAGTAATTACTTGCTATGACCTTGAGCAATCACCTTAACTCAGGACCTCCATGTTCGTCTTGGAGAACACATTAGGCATTAGGTTAAAGGTAAGTTGGAGATTAAGGAATAATTTTTTTTAATTCTTGAGAGGGGACAATGCTGTACAAAATTATCTTGTTTTCCATGTTTGTTCAAAGAATCCAACATCCGACAGTCAGTAAATAGTTTTTTTAGATCCATATTTTTCTGCAAAAATAGTGAAAGATTATAAAGGAATATTTCCTCTGGAGCCTATTAGCAGATTTTAAATAATACGAAAGGGATCACTCAGTAATCAATTGACCGGGAAGTGTTGTCAAATGACCTTCAATAAATGATAATACATCCACGCTTACTTGAAGCACATGCCATAAATCGAAGCTACAGCGCGACTGGCACGAACAATCACGGAACAATTGACGACACTAAATTGCCATTCATTCAAGGTCGAAATCGGGATACCATAACCGCAGGCAACCTCACGTTGTACCACATCACTCGTGAAAAGGAATGGTCATATATGTCCAAGTAATAACACACTTTCGGAACTATTATGCCTTTTTTCTGAGCTAACTGGGTCAGAATGACCCACACCAGGGCAAAACATGTATCGCTATTTGAACAAAGTCTCTTTATTTGTCTGAGTGCACGTACGGAACTCCAGGAGAACGAAACACACACTTAATGATGAGGTTTACTCAACGCTAAAGGCTGGATCTAATGAATAACAAATGTAGCAAGCATTGTATGCCATAAATCGAAGCTACAGCGCGACTGGCACGAACAATCACGGAACAATTGACGACACTAAATTGCCATTCATTCAAGGTCGAAATCGGGATGCCATAACCGCAGGTAACCTCACGTTGTGCCACATCACTCATATGTGTCCAAATAATGACAAACTTTCGAAACTAATACGCCCTTTTTCCGAGCTAAACCAAGTCATGATGACGTACACCAGGGTAAAACTTATATCGCTATATGGACAAAGCCTCTTCATTTGTCTGAGTGCACGTACGGAACTCCAGGAGAACAAAACACACACTTAATGATGAGGTTTACTCAACGCTAGAGGCTGGATCTAATGAACTCCAAATGTTGCAAGCATTGAAGTTCGTATCAAATCATCATGACGGAATAGGAAGGAAAAGTTGCGGTCTGGCGGAAGTACAGGCTGTAATTAAATGCTATTCAAATGATATATGTCCATTACGATAATAGCCAAAAGCTGAATATCCGCAGTTGTGCAATAGCCGGCTAGTCTGGAGAAATTAAGGTTATTTAATAAAGTTATTTGTAACTGTTTTTTATTCATCTCATATTAAATTGAAGAAGTTTAGTTTTAATTTGCAAAAAACGATCTAATTTTACTTGTCTCAATTCTCTGTTACTAAGAGACGGTACAAATCACGAGGAGAAAAGAAAAACTAATTTTCGGTTTAAAATTTTTGTCATGCATCAGCCTGTGCAGCTAAAAAGCGAACCATTGAAGTTTCCTTCATGGAATGAATCCTTATTCCTTTTTTAAGGAATGAATCCTTATTCCTTCTTTGAGGAATGAATCCTTATTCCTTCTTTAAGGAATGTATCCAGCCTTCTGGGCCTGGAGGGCCACCTCGCAGGTAGGGTAGCGAACACAGGTGAACTCAGGTGGTGTGGCACAGGTGCAGCTGATGTGGCAGTCGTAGGTGGTGAGTGAGGAACCCACGGGACCAGCCAAGTCTCCGAACTTGCCGTGCGTCGAGGGAGTCTCTGAAACACACAGTACATCAATTAAATTTTAAACAAACTCTGATGTGGAAAAATACTTGCACCAAGTTTCCGAACTTGCTGGCGACGACAGAGTCTCTGCACCAGAGTTCATAATCATGTCATTTCAAAGAAAAGCAAGACTCGGGTCTTTGAACCACAGTGTTCATTCATGTTATTTTAAATGAAAACCTATTTTTCACTTGTACTGAAGCGATCACGTATTCCGTTAAAGTAAAGTGTGGACGTTTATATATACGTTAATTTAAATTCTGAAGAACAATAGGGATTTACTATGGAATTTACACTGGGTAAATAATGACGAAAGTTATCCTATCGTCCTCTGTTCCTAACATACAAATAACATTTTCCTGACTAAATAACCCAAGCTTAGAAATTCTTTTAGTAATGTTATAAATTACTATAAAATTATGAATGATTCACTTAATTGGTATAATTAATTCCTAATTATTCCAAAGAAATCTTCTATTGAATTTGAATGACAATGAATAAACTAATTAGAAAAGAACAAAAAGCTCGCCAGATTGCAAAGGTCACTCTTAAACTCACCGGCACCTGTCGCCTTCATGTCGGCGTCCAGAATGATCTGAGGGCTGCCAGCTGCACGATGTCAAATTACAAACCAATTAATTCAATAACCATCGCAGGAAAACATTATTTCTAAATCCACGTATTTTGGAGAAAATATCCACGTAACACAAGAATTTCGTGCGACTTCCCAGCGTAAATTGTCTACTAGATCCAAAGTTCATCAAAACCATTTCCTTTCACGCTGTAAACGCAGCCTTGCACAGCTTAACGTAGACTTTAAAAGCTCAAATTCAGAAATATCAATCGAATACCTAGAAAATATTAATAATAATTTTTATTATAAATCTGGCATTCATATTCATATTGTATAATAACAATAAATTCATTCATATTCATATTTGTAAATTTATTTCATGGTGAATAACAAATATCAACGATCGATTACTCACGGCAAATCCAGTCGACGTTGCAGCAGGAGGCGCTAAGGTAGAGCGGGATGCAGCCTAGACGAAGGTAGTGACGGTTCCTGTCATGAAAAATTATTAATGATACGTAGTTCGTCAATTTGCATACTCTGCGTTGTAATAAATGAGAAATATGTAAATTAAAGGTACAGCACAATCCCAGATCGACCTCTCCTGCAACACTACCAGCGGCGAGAAGCAAGCAACAGCATCGTGCATCAGGTGGCCCAAATGAGGGCGGATGAACGATAATCAGAGGCGGCGATCCATCGTGGCCTGGGACTGCTATGTCCCAAACAAATACCAAGATTACCAAGTTACAGTCCAATTACTGGGCAGGGTGGCCCAGTGGTTACAGTTCCAGAGTACTAAGATTGACGCGGAAAAGTGCGGGTTCGATCCCAGCTCTGTGCGACATTTTCTGGTCAGAATTAGCATAGCATAGTGATGTCGGAGCTAAAGGGTAGGCCTTATGTGGCCTGTCGCCGATTCTTGAACTTTTCGTGACTTGTTCATAGAACATCTAAAATCTTGTCATTTGACCGGATATTTTCAAGACTGACGATAGTTTGAAGTATCTACTAGACTTCCACCAGGTTCGATATGGTGCTAGGCATAAGTTCGATAGGTACATTGGTAAGAAGGCCGGGCAGTTAAGCAAAGCAAAATTATATCAGTGAGTTGCGCGTTTGAGACCGCAACAAACTGTGAATATTCTGCGATGTAAAGAATCGGCGACAGGCCTACGGCCTAATGAAAGCTGAAAACTCTATTAAAATATTTCAATTTTAATGTGTGTCAATGGTGAGTTGTGGTAGTATTCACGAATTGGGTGCTTCAACTACAGTTTTCAGTTGTAGAGATCTGTATGTTTCGTAAAAGTGTAAAGTAGTGTAAAGCAAACATTTACATCCAACTGTCAACCATTTTCCATTGAGCATTGTTAATTATTCCTATGCTTTTTTTTGCCAGTGAACACTTGCAATACGAACATTTTTTAAATATTTAAATTTCACTCAGAACGCTGTTCTGTTATGTAGAACTTTATAAAAATGTAGAATCATAGTCATGCAGAATCTGTCACGTAGACTCAAACTCGCCTGTATTCCATGCCACAGTCGACCTTGGTGCAGCCAGGCCCGAATGCCCCCGTGAATTCCTTGGTACAGACACAGTACTGGCACGGAGCTGAGCCGAACAAGATCTTATCGCCCAAGAAATAATGCAGTCCCTCCGAGACGCAGTCAGCTGGCCTGATCGTTGCATTTGCTTCTGGTGAGACAACCTCTGATGGCGGCACGATGGGGTCTGGAAAATATGAGGAGTAACTTCAAACTAATCTTTTTAACGAAAACGTGTATGTAAACATTGTAAAAATACATTCGTTGTAAAAATCAACGGAAAATTCTATCAAAAAAAGAAAATTATTATCTATGATAAAATTTTTTTATGGTTTTTAGAATGTTGCTGCAGCAAAAATGATGAAAAACATGAAAAAATTAACAGATTCAAATAAAACAGTGCGAATAAAGGCAGTGAAATTGTCGGTGTTAATTTGAGAATTTGCATAGTTAAAAATTTAAATGTTTATGAAAATGTTTAAATGTTTATGAATGAATGAATGTTTATGAATGAAATGTTTATGAAAAAGTTTATTAACACTCACGGCACTCTTGGTCAACCTCGCAACACTCGTCGATGCTGAAGAGGTTGCGGCAGCCCGGCTTGGGAGGCGAGAACAGCGACGGGCACTCGACGATACTGCACTCGATCTTGGCTCTGCGACACACAGTGACGCCAGGGTGAGTCAAGGGTAATATTGTCAGAATAATGACACACTTTATGCGACACACAGTGACGCCAGGGTGAGTCAAGTCAGGGGCCGTCCACGGGCACGTCCTTGCCCACCTCGTACATGGTGCCCTTGTAGAGGCAGCTCGTCAGGGCAAAGTTGCGCTCTTCTTCAGTTTCTAAAACCACGTAAAAATTCATGTAAAAAAGTTTCGCTGCCCCATCAAACTAATAAACTACTAGTACTTGTTAAAAAGAATCATATCAACAAAGTTTAGTTTGTTCAGCAAATACATTAATTATTGTTTACAGGAAAGACAAGCGTCAATGTACCCAAGAGGCATAGATGCGGTCTTCTACGATCAAGAAATCGGTCTTCTACGGTTTTCGTAAGACAAAGTGAATTAAATGTACAAACCAACTGAAAATACTTGCATATTATCAATATAAATTTTAGCAAAATCGAATGCAGAAGTCAGGCGATTCATTCAGTCATGAGTCAAGAATTCCACAAAATCGAATTCATGAATGATTAGACAATTCTATCTGTATTAAGAAAAGTTTAATGTAGTATCATACTCGAATTTCTCTTAGCTGGAGATTATGGCACAGCATGATGAGCGAATAATCCCAGAATAAAGATAACCATCAGCATCGTGAGCTCTAAGTTGTTACTTGATCACTAATGATCGCTATCTATGCCCAATCATACAATATAACGCATCAGTTAATAAGTGTTCATTAAGTTACGCACTGCAATCGTAGCTGGTAGAACCACACAAAACATACCACTTAATAAATGCTAATATAATTATTCACTGCAATCGTTGCTCTAATTGAACCACACAGAACATAGTACTTATTAAATGTAAACATAATTACTCACTGCAGTCGTAGCTGGAAGGACAGCACTTATCGACGGTCTCATTCATGACGGGCGTGCAGCCTTTAGCGATGAAATGTTGAGGGGTAATCACTGGGCAAGGCTTGCACCCCGTCTCAGCAGGTGCTGCTCCTTCTGCAGGTGCTGCAGCAGCAGGTGCTGCATCAGCAGGTGCTGCAGCAGCAGGTGCTGCATCAGCAGGTGCTTCTGCAGGTGCTGGAGCAGCAGGTGCTTATGGTTAAATAAATACGAATAATACTATTTATAAGAGTCAAATTACCTTTAAACGTGTAAGATATGCTTTTAAGTTATAGTGATAAAGTTTTTATAAGTTTAAGAATTATGTTATGACGCACTTGTGACATATTAAACAACAATGGAAACGAAAGACTGAGCGATGGATGATCTTTCAAACAGCTTAACTGTATTTTACATTTTTCTTTATTTTATCCTCACAGCCGGCGTACAGCCATGAAAATTTAAAATTTCCGTCAAATTTTTTTTATTCCTTCATTGAGTAAATTCATGCAAAAATTGTATTTCGTTCTCGTGCCTTTCTATTGAACGTATGAGGTCTCATGAAGTGGAGAATAATACATCAAAAATTACTATATAATAAATATGCGTGCGTTCTCGGTGCAAATTAATTTACAATTTATAGTAATAAGACTGTCCATTTTAACAATATGTACGTATTTCCAATCTACCTTTCAACAATATATTGTTATTTTATTGGTTTTACTACTACACTGAACATAGACGTACAAAAATTAGCTCAAATAGCCTATGCTTTACTTTATCCGAGGTTTTTCCAAATAGAGAGCAGAAGAAATGAAAACCACGAATCAAAGTCTTATGAAAATTTAAAGGATTTAATTCTTTTTTTCAGAAAAAAGTTTGAAATGCATTTGTTTTGGCTACGAAATTTTTGTATGCTGTGGCAGGGAATTTCGAACATACTGAAGACAGGTAAAAAAGAGTAAACATAATCGAGGAATATTTGGTATAAAATTCGACCGAAAATTAGTTTTTCGGCGAAATAAAATTCTTCTGAGAAAACAATGGTCATCGCTGATAAAGATTAAAAAGGTTTTTAAGTTTCGCATGATTTATATGAAATAACTCAATTACTAAATAAATGGAGCATATTTTTTATATGGTGTTTGAAATGTTTACCTAAACTTGTACGGGAACGGTTGCATAGTGAACACCCCAAGCGTATGTCACTACGTAAAGAATTAATCTTGCAAGCTTAATCCTGAAGTGCTGGTTCAAACATACCTTTTTTATCTTTATTTCAAGACACAATGCGATTCTTGACCATACTGGGAGCCTATTTTTTGCTTTTGCAGCCATTGTTATGAACGTTAATTGAACCTCGAAGCAGAGTCGCTATTTCGTTCATTGCTATACTTCAGTCCCTCCTAGAGTAATTTTGTTAGCAGCAAAACCTTAATTAAAGCTGCATTTGCGGCGACTGGCTAGAATTAAAGCTGCATTTGTGGCGATTGGCTAGAATTAAAGCTGCATTTGCGGCGATTGGCTAGAATTAAAGCTGCATTTGTGGCGATTGGCTAGAATTAAAGCTGCATTTATGGCGATTGGCTAGAAGGGATGTGTGGGCCTTTCCTGTCATGCCGAAGACTGGATATTTTCGCACGACTAAGAGGATATATAATAAATATTTTTCTAATATATTTAACCGGATAAACCGGTCCTAGACGATGAAGCCTAAGACCGGTTTATCCAAGTCGTGAAGCGATCCACGAGTTGATAAGAAGCAAGCATCGCTCGAATCATTTATAATTTATTTTTAAAGTTCTACGAAGAAGAAGTTGGAATATGTTTGTTCGCTTAAAATAAAATGTACTTCATAGGCAATACAAAGATTTTGCAAGTTAGTTGAATGTGCATTAGTTTTGCAAACTTAAAATACGAGCATTAGTTGCGTGGTGTGCATGTTTAATAATAAAAATACAAACGAATATTGTAACATTAAGATTGCTAAAGGTAAGCCAAAGACTCTAAATAGAAGAATTTTCCTACGCAATTCATTTACCGAACAACTACAGGAGTAGGTTTGAGATCTCTTAATTAAATCTATCAATAAGATACTCACTAATAATACCCTAACAATATTTAACATAATATTTGTGTATATATTTACACGTACTCTTCACGCTAGGGAACTGAGGAGCTGCTGACGGTTTTAATTTAATTTAAATTAGTTGGCCTTACCATCTTGGGCGGCGACCGAGACCAGCACCAAATAGGAATACAAAATTCCCAATAGGTATACGGAAAGCTTCATGGTCGTGTCTTGAGCTGTAAAAATAAAAAAAATATCCCTATAGTGACACCAGTGTTAGGTCATTAGCAAAGAATATCATAAGCTAAAGTAGTCATGCAAATAAATGTTTCTATAATATTAACATCGAAATTATTTCATAATTGGGTGAATTTTTACAGCATAATCTTTCTGCTTTTTTCAGCGTACACTCGAATAACCAGTTAAATTAAAAACATAATGTTAAAATAATCAACATTTGTATAAAAACCCGTTTTATTTAGTCTTTTCGGAAAAAATTCAGATTTCTTACAAGCTGAATGACTTTAATGCATACATTGATATAAATGTTTAAGAGAATATTTTTAACTATGAATGATAAGGAGCCATGTTTTGAAATATTTAGCACGCGTTGTCCTTCAAAATTCTCATTCCAACTACAGCATGACTCGTCTAACGATCAACAAACAAATTATGATCGCGAATTTCCGCGGGCGGCATAAAAGTTTACGAAGCGCCTTAACCGCAAATTGTCTCGAAAAAACTTTATGTTCTCAGCCGTCCGCAGCTGAACTCAATAATTGCTTCGAAGAACTTCAGTTTTGTCTTGTTTCTGAAGGCCATGAAAGAAAAAACAGGATCTGACTTCTCGGTAGCGCTGCCGCCACAAGTCGTACACTCCTTCTTATTCCTGGAAATTCGAGCGAATTTTGCATACCTACTTGGCTACTGGCGCGCTGCAAGCGAATGTTGATACGTGCAAAGCCGGTGAGCAGATTTTACCGGTATTTCTAGTCATTAAATTTTGTATTCAAAATAATGTATTTCAACCCGCCCCCTTTTTTATTTCTGAATTAATGCGCGTTTGGATTGCCAAGCAATTTGGTGTGACGCTTACCTGCCTATGCATATATATATATATATATACTACACACAAATAACCAGATTTTTTACATTTAATTCTAATTACGTTATTGTTACCAACTATTATTAATAATGTCAATACAAATAGTAACGATAATTACAAAATAAGGAAATAATAAAAATACACGCAAAGTTTTTTCTAATCTAACCTAATCCGAGTATAATCTATTTTAAATAGCGCCTTATCCACATATTGGCCTTACAACAGCATGCAATTCACGAATAGTCTTTTCCAATAGCGCATAATTCAATTATACCTAGTGTTTTACCTGTCACTATGTAAAGACATCTGCATAAACCTGAACAATCTTCGCAGCTTCTAGAAAATATACAAATTTTCCCCTAATTTACAATCATAGCATTGTCGATGATTGTCATCACATCATCACTTAACGTAGGAAAGAAAAATAGACCATAAATAAAAATAGAAAACAAAGGGACGTTTTTCTTTCTCGCAAACATCGATTTTGATGTACAATTAAAAGTTTGTATTGTAATGAGTGTCGCATTGTGTTTGCCAGCAATCTCTCAGAGTATGTACTTGAACAGAAAGTTCAAACGCATGAATCGAGAAACTTGTAACTATGTGAAAAAAAATTGCCAACAAATTACCAAAAAATTAAGGATTTATTATACATAATTTAACAAAAAAGTAAGAACTTATTATACATAAATTATCAAAAAAGTAAGAATTTTTATACAAAAGTTACTAAAAAAGTAAGAATTTATAATATATAAAGTACCAAAAAAGTAAAAATTTATTATATATAAATTACAAAAAAGTAAGAATTTATTATCCATAAATTACCAAATAAGTAATAATTTATTATAAATAAATTACCAAAAAAGTAAGAATTTATTATAGAAAAGTTACTAAAAAGTAAGAATTTATAATATATAAATTACCGAAGTAAGAATTTATTATACTTCTACAGGTTCAACTATAAATTAGTCAAGCATGCAAGCATATCGATCGTGCATGTGCGGACAAGTCAGGTAACATGCTTGCAAAATTTAATTAAAGCAAATCACAACATCAGACAAGCACTGCAAGCAGCAAAATAACACTTTGGAATAGGAGAGAGCAGTGATCATAGCTAGAAATGTTGAAAAAAATATAATGTTCATTATGGACTTTTGGTGTGTTACTGCTTATGACGAAAAATATTGATTCTGACACAAACTTTTGTGCTTGAAGACAATTTGCGCATTTGAAATTTTATAAAATATTATTATTTATATGACGAAATATGATTATTTACAGGATTTGCATTTATAGCCTTTCATTTGCTAAAGTTGTCAACGGTTCATTATAGCGGAGGACTACAAAGGCCAGCTTGAAATGTCGGCTGCTTTGTTTGGCTAAAATGAAATTATCATTAGAAAAGTCCAGCATTAACCGAATTAGAAGTAGGAAATTATTCTATCAAAGATTTAATAAGCTATCGAAACTACGATTGTGTTAACGAAAGAGGTAGAAGTGAAGAAATTGAACTGAAGTTGTGTAAGGCAAGAGCGACGTGCAAGTTAATAACTTGGGAAAAACTGCAACTGCGATTCGTGCGTATTCGATAAGAACGTTCATGTCAGAGGCCCATAAAAAGCCCAGACTTGGGAGCAAAGCCGTGATGTAATTAATCAGCCTTTCCTTTGGTTACTTTATATACGTGTGATTTAGCCTACGCAGCAATGGATCAAAACAGATAATAAACCTGGAAAATTGTGTTACAATGCGTAGATGCGAATGCCTGAGATGGAACAACTAATTCGTTGTCAAGTTTCAGGTGCAATTTCGATCACTGGTCCTCAGAAATTCGAACCAAGATCAACAAGTGCTCAGAGTGCTCCTCTTAAACTTCTGCACGTTTTTAAACTTGTTTTTATTCACAGCGTTCACGTGAATCACCAACTTATTTCCTGTAATATCAGTCAAGCAGGCATGCCTTCAGTTATCACGAAGTTTACTTGTCATACACAGGCGAATAAACCTCACCATCGATAATCTCTCCCTCTCTCTCTCTCATCCTTTCAATACAGTATTCAAAGCTTTGAACTATTATAAGACTGAAAAGTTGGGTACCATTTTGCAGCGTTGGAGCTGTCAGCGACCTCAACGAAGCATAAGTAGCGAGCCGACCTTATGTGGTCCGGTCGAGACTCATGGCCCGGCCAAGACTCTTCCTGATAATGGACACTCAACAGTATTGAGCAAAATTGAATCTCAGTTTGATGTTTCTTAGTTCTTATTTAAACATGCGCGTGTTATACACATTTGAGATCGCCAGATAAATTTTAGTAATTGCCGAGAATTTGTCTTCTGTACGGTAAATAATATAGTCTGTATATGAAAGCAGAATGATGATGGGGTAAAACGCAAGTAGTTATAGTTGGATTATGGCTGAAGTTTTGAAGCAAAAAAACAGGGTAAGTGCACTAGAACATGAAATTCGTCGAACGCCTAGCTTGTGATAAAAAAATCATAGTATAACTTATTTTAAAAACAAGTTTTTAGGCTCAAAAGAATGCAATAAAAAGTGCAATAATTGTACATGATCATCAATAGTGCAATCTTCGTATTGAAACAGTGCTGGATCGAAAATTCAAGAGATATAAGCAAACTTTTAAAATAATTGTTTTAATCATCTGGAACATACAATGAATGCTCTAACAACGACGTAACAGTTCTTAAAATTTAAACATTGTGATTATTTGTGTCCATTTGGCATAATTTCCTGTCGTTTCATTACTCGGTTTTGGTCTAGCGAACAAAGAGTCTGCAGGATGAGAGAAGCATACAAGCGCTGTACGGGACCGCGCGGATTCAAGACGCTGTCTTGCCAGGAGGATGAAACAAAAAAAAAAAGATCGGGTGATTGAACTGCCGGGTTCCATCACAGCCTCTGGCATCCAAGCTTGAAAAAACGGCAACTCTTTTGCAGTGCAGAAACACTCGCCGGCTAAACTCTTTGCAACAATACAGCCATGGCGACGACCGACATGTTCCTGCAAGCCAAAGTCCTTTTGTTCACAGCAGGCTTTAAAGTGAGCTCAGTTTGTCGACCTCAGATTTTAATATGGATAATATTGTTGAGGTTGACTGCTTGATGACCTATAGATGTGCATTTATTTCAAAATAATGACTTTTAGATGGCCGAGAAAATAAATAAATGTCTTCCACAGAAATGTGTTTTGTTTTAGCAAAACTTTTCGCGTGATGATCCTTGACATATTAGAAGTAGCTTTAATTGTTACTGTTTTTATTATTTATAAAATTTAATGATAAGATAACTTCAATTTTAACGGTACTGCCTTATTTATTTCTTAAAAATTTGCTGAAACATGAGCCCGATATGCAGGTTTACTATCATCGTCGCATAATAATCAACGTATTTTTGTGTTTCAACAATAGCAAAAATTGTGGATTGAATTTGAACAGTAAGAGATAAGTGAACAAATCTCTAAGCATATTTTACTCTAATCTTCATAATAGAATAATAATTATTTGACTCCGAATTTAAATGCAAATCGTCAACAGGAAAGTGGGACGCCGTTATCATACTAAATTGTGAATTTTTTGTCAGCGATTTTCATTTATTTCTGACGTAGAAAGTATTTAACAGAGCGCGGGACACTATAAAACGTAAGAGCGTCCGTCTTAAATCTATACAATAATACAAGTCCTTTATAGTTTAATTTAGGAGCAATTATAGCTTGAACTCCAGATAGTTCTTGTTTTATTTTGGATCAAATATATGAACCTAAACTGATCCTCCACCTGCAGTCGGACTACGCCAAGACCTGACTGGAAAATACCAGAATATATTCGAACGAAGCCATTCTGCAGGTTCAGCTTGACGATGCTCATCTGTCAATGACTTCATGTGACGCATGGATCATCAATAATTTTAATTAACGCGACAACTTATCTCTGTATCCAGAAAAACAGTTGTGCCATCAAACACGTTTTCTTTGTTCCAGGCGACCGGTTTTTATACAGTATCAGTAGATAATTCAGATTCTGGTTTTGCGTATATTTTTCTACTGTAGGTTTATGGCGCAGTAGCTATCCTGTATAATGAACAGTCCTACAGAATCTTGAAGTATACCTATGTCATAGTCTATAAATTTCAATGGTTAATCTTATATACAAATTTGTATAATGTTGTGCTAATATTGGAAACACATGAACCTCTTATTGGCCAAGAACAACAGCAACAAATCATGTAATATACTCAAAACGCAAAAATGTGATGTCGCTAGATCTGTAAACAGAATCAAACATTCACTATCACATAATAAATGCAAACAAATATAGGGCCAAGCTCTCTGTGAACGATCATCGTACAATCACAGAGAATCATTTCGATTTTCTGCTGCTGATTGCCAAAAGTTCAAACACGTGCAGCAAAACCGAAAAACAGCCCGCATTGCCACCGTGAATCATATTAATAGTTGTATTAACATTAATGAACAATCTATGGTTTTATTTAAATATTATCTGGTGGAAATGCCAACTATTCAAATATTAAATGTGATCTTTATCCTTTGTTTTGTAAACAAGAAAAAATAAAAAGTACGCAGAAGGAGCAAATCGTCCTTAATTTTTGTAATGAGGCCAAAAAGTTGTTTTAAGAGAAGAACTTGGGTTGCGTATAAATAAAACACAGAAAAGATCTAAGTTTTATAAAAACTGTCAACAATTCCTAAGGTGAAACACGTAATATATACTCCAATAATTAATATCTACTCCGATGCACTGATTAACAACAAGCCTCGGGGCTGCAACATCGTCAAAGAAGTTGGGACGTTACAGAACGTTTTGACAGTTGAAAATATCTAATATTGAAAATTTCCTTCCGAAATTGAAAGTCTACATCACAAATTAAAGAGTACAACGTTACCCTTAAGCTCTGAGAATCCATAAAATATTGAATATTTTCATTACTATATTACTCTAGGTTAGATGTGTAAAATTCGCAAAACGTTCATCAATGCGACTTAAACACTACATATGAATTTTTCGCAATAAAATAAACATTTTGAGTACATTATCTTGCCACAAGGTAATAGTCTAGTACATTCCTAAAATGGAAAGGTAGGAATGAGTTCAATTTGAAGCTTTGACGATTAACTAATGAGAAACTTAATAAAAAACACTGCAGTCAGATGCGAACCCTATGTTTGTACATGTTTACCGGTAAGGCTAGGCTCACAGTGCAGGGGCCATACTTTCAAAACTCGCTAAATTAACGTAAGTACTTAAGCTCTATTTTCTAGTCTAGGATTGGTGTATTTTGCTTGAAAGGCCATCATTGATTGGCTGATGAACTTACGATCTCTTAACTTTTTTTGAAAGTATGGACCCTGAATTTAAACCTTAAATATAAAAAGCCATATATTTATTTTACGCATAATTATGCAACGTCTTTAAGAAATATTAAATTTCTCCCATCAGTTTCAATTTCGGGTGCTTTTTTTCTATTTAATTTAGGCATTTTTGGTAGCTCAAATTTTGTGCAAATCTGCAGAATTCAGTTTACCTCAGAACTTACAAAGTGTAACGTACATATCGTATATATACCGTTATTAGTTTCAAGAACCGTAATGGTTGTTGAAATTTCGGCGCAAATACATTAAGAAAGAGCCTGAGTTGTCACTTGTCGTTACCTGCAATGAATAAGACGAAATCTATTTCAGTCCATTTATGAGCTAAGTAAGTGGCATTCCTTCAAAAAGAAACAGAAATTTCATGGTCTCTTTCGTATAACTAATATACATCTTCAGCGTCAAGCACATAGCTCCGTAACACCTGCAGCCGCGAATTATTAAAGTTGCATTATTCTTAGCCTAAAACTAAGCCTACACAGCACACAACTAATAACCTGCTAAAGACCTCAAGGCCCCGAGTGATCAGAGTTGCGTGCAGGTGCAGGGTCAATATCATCGAAAGATAAACGGAACTGGAAAGGTCGGCGCGTGGTTCCAGCTACAGGTGAGCCAGTGCTACTTTCAGCAGATTTTGTACTGTCGCTGGGAGCTGAGACAGCAGAGATTTTGGTGGTCCCTGTATCATTTGTTGAGTTCGGAACACGTGCTCCCAGCACTCGTCTGAAAATAAAATCGGGTGGGACAGGGGCATTTCACTAAATTCTCTCAATCTTTCTAAGGTTTCAGGGAAACATCGAGAACAACTTAAAACTACGAAACTTTGAAACTGGGAAACTTCAGAAAGTAAAGTTTATGTGAAACCTGGACTTCCTTGGAAAATAGACCATGGAGTGATTTAATGCATTTTAACGCACGGTTCTCAACTTGGCAACTTAAGATGCAAACATCTTCGCGTAAAATTGTTTTTTTTTTTTGTCAACACCACGATAACTATCATGATGAATTAATTACAACTACTTACTAATGAATTACTACTACTTACAACTACTACAAATTACAACTACTTACCTACCATTAAACCAACAACTTACTAATGAGTTACCTCAGGTCAACTGAAATATTTGGATGGGATATGGAGCCGGACGATATGATTCTATGAATTCAAATAGGAATCTAGTCCTCGGGCAGGAACTATTGCTCTCTCCGAGTCATTATCTATTTTCGAACTTGAGTCTATATGTTATTATGAAATAATCAATTTTTCTTTGCAGACACTATTTAGGAAAGACTTTCAAGTCCAATTAAATACCTCCCATTAATGAGCGTGATGCAGACTATAGTCTTACCTTATTCCTTTTGACAGAGATTCATCGATGGGGTCAGCGTTGCGGTATATGGTGCCCAGCAGCCGCCCCAAAAAACTTCCAACTTCTTTTTCTGGAAGTAATCACGGCAAAGAGTGTCATTAATTTTCATTCCCCATTAAACTTCTAAATAAAATCATGAGGCCCAGAGAACACAATTATGCAATGTAATGCAAAAGAATTCCATGAAAATTAAATTAAAATATATTTTTTTTATAATCATGAGTACCGTATTAAAAAATTGGCGGCGAAACTTATCTTAGGATTATTTGGATTCGTATATAGAAATACGGTTTTATTAATCTACTCTTTTCAGGAAGGATGCGTGTTTCAATTAATTTTAAACTACAGGATTAAAATAGAGCTCCGCTAGATGTAGAGTGGAACAGGACTTTTTGAAGAAAGGTGTTTTAGTTTCAAAAATTTTGGACGGGATGCAGAATGATGGGATCTTAATTTGCGAAGATTATGTTAAGCCTATTTTTAGTGACGTACTCACCGAGTCTGTTGATGCTCGCTTGGGTTTTAGATGCCTCAAAATTTCTCTCGAAAACCGTGGGTTCTCTTTCTTGACTCTCACTGAAAGTTCCGTTAAGTATTAAATTATTAGAAGCGGCTTGGTTACGCCGTGCCGCCTGCGACGCGAAAAGTGTACGGCCTAAGGCTCGCGCAATTGAGTTCACAGCCGTGACGGCTTCAACACCGTCGGCATTTGTGCCATTGCTCCCATTCTGTGGTAGTCTGAACATACTGAGGATGCTTCGTATTCCTCCATTAGGAGCCGGGACAGTCCCGTGGGGCAGCTCGGGACCTGTATTAGTGCGTCGGTTGGTCCGCCGAAGAGGAGTCAACTCGGGATTGGCTCCAGGGTTGACACTGTTTTCCTCAACATCGCGGTCGATGTTGAAGAAATTTCGTAGGATCTCCTGACGACGTTCCCGTCTTTCGGTCAAGCGATCAAGAAGACGTGTTGTTGGGGAAGATCGTCGGTTGGGTTTAGCCTCCGATTTAGGGACGCCTTCGCGTTCGCTGCTGAGGGTATTGGCTGTTTCGGACTGGGCCTCTGGAGAGTTGATCCTTCCAGGAGCAGTCACAATCACAGCTACATTCTGGAGTACATCAAACGCATCAGGATTAATTAATAATAAACTGACTATTCAAGAGTTTATTACTCTGTTGAAGATAAAGTTTCATTTCTTGAAGAAAATGTCAATGAATGAAAACTCACCTGAAGATTTGTAGTCAGCAAGTGCTACCGGCACACTTTCCTACGAATAAAAATATAACAGGGAACTCCACTAAAAAATTTGCTCATGTATGCCTGAACGTATTCGATGCATGTCGCGGCATGTTAACATGAGACAGAAAAGTCTTATATTTCTGACAAGTCGAGCATCAACTCACCTTTCACAAAAAAAATTCAATTGAAGTTTACATAGTGTTGAGGAAAATAAATAGATTTTTTTTACCGGAAACAAGTTTTTTGAAGGAAGGCTATTTACTGACTTAAATAAGAAAAACGTGCAGATAGTAAAAGCGTAGAGATATCGTAAGCCTTTCTAGTATAGGTCAGGTACCTAATTACCAAACTAGATCACCTTCAATGAGTCTTTGTTTAATCAAGTCACAAGATAATATATGAAGAATTTTACTTTGACTTTAGAAAAAACTGACTAAACGGAATGTACCGTTAAATACGACTTGCAAAGTTGCAATTAATCCGCTTGCCGGCGTTAACGTTGTTAATTCAAGATGCCTTTGACCATTAGATGATTAAATGTTACTATGCAATAGTTGATGCACAACGTGTACCATGTTGCAGTTGAGATCAAAGACGGAAATAACCTGTCGCATATTTTTACCCTCGTTAATTTCAACCACAATTTTTCACAACTAGCTGTTAGTTGTGGCTACTCAAATTCTGGTGTTCTTATAACCATTCCATCACCCCGAGTGGTCGGTCTGGTGATGACCGTGCGACTGATAATGGTTAGGTGCTCAGATTTGAATAGATAGAGGATTAGCAAAGTACCAAGTGAAAAGGATGAGCAGAGTACCAAATTAAGAGGTTAGCAAAGTACCAAATGAGTAGTTGCGTATTTAGATACAACGAGCAGATGTAGTACAAATTACAGAATCAAAGAATGAGTATGTATAAAGATTTTACGTAGTGTTGTAAAGCAGCCCGACTCCAAAGAGCGTCACCCTTTAACACTGGTGAAAGATGGTCACACTTTTCTGGTAGTGTAAGGTGCAAATAAACAAATATTAATATTTCAAGCAATGCTGTGGTGCAGGGCGGCGCAAAACATGTTCGGTATTCAGATCATTTTTGCCGTGTAATAAATTTCTCAATGTAATAAAAATATTTATTTCACGCATAAGTAGTTCGAAACAAGTTTCCCAACAATAGTTGAAGCGAGTAGAATAAACATGCACCCAAGAGAGTTCGCAACTACGCCCATCTTGTGGGACTTTTAAAAGCTGTGTACGTGAAGGCAACCAGAAATATTATCATTGAAATTATGTAGCCATGATTAGAGCACCGATGTTCGATGCCGCTAAACTGTTCACCAAGCAAACGGTGGCAGACTTGTCAAACCTGTCAATGAAAATCGCTGGAAGGAAATGATTTGTTTCAAATAATAACAATTTTCTGCTTGCGTGTAATATTCCTATATCATTGTGACTGTGGCTAGATTTACTCAAAAGCGTAATTAAATAGCTGACTGTGGTTATTCATGATATAAATAAAAGCCTTAACTATCGCTTATTCTGCCGAAATAGCGAGGATTACATTACTTTATTCCCTGTAAGAAATCTTGAACTTCAATAATGGATATGTATTTCTATCCTAGAGGTTTTGAAGGATAAGGATACACAATAAATATTTATAACAACTAATACAAGATAAAAATACATGAGAAACGTGTACGAACGGGCGGCGTTCAATGATTTCGTAATGACTAGAATGATTTGTAATGATAGGAGGAAGAGGGGCCTTCAATGATTGTGTAATGACTGGATGAGGGCATTCAACGATTAGTAGTGATAGGAAGGGTGACATTCGGTGATTTCGCAATGACTGGCAATTCACTGGTGTTACTTGTTCGTTAAGAACCCTAATTTAGATGGGATGAAAAGTATAAATTTTTGCGAGTAATGACCCAAGAGATTGCTAACAAGTACTCCGCTAATGATACACGGTATTTACTGCTTGTAGATATATAAGTAAGAACTTCAAGTCGCTTGATAATCTTTATGTATTTATATTTAGCTTATAATTGTCAATGATTATTCATTAATTCTTATACTAGGGTAATGAAAATAGTAGATAACACTTTGAATAAAGCAAAACAATAATTGTTTTTAAACCCCGATTATTCACCCAATTTGATCACCTGTCAGCAATGTTCTCCAGAGGCCGCACGAGGTTCTCTTCAGGCACTTTGTCCCTGCTGGGTTTGCTGGCGCTTTGGTTCCGTGGAGGCTGCGGGAGGCAGCTCGCGCCCGACCACAGTCCGCAGAGCAGCAGAGCGGCAGGCAGCGCGGCGGTAAAATGCCGTGCCGTCATGTCTGAAAAGTGAGAAGCCTTTAGCAAATTGTAGGTTGATAGTGGATATCACATTATAAATAAGATAGTGGATATCGAATTGTCAATAGTTGGTGGATATCTGATTATGGATAATATAGTGGATATCGAATTATAGATAGATGGTGGATATCTAATTGTGTATAAATTGTGGATATCGCATTGTGGATAGATGGTGGGTATCGTATTGTAGATAAGATAGTGGATATCGAATTGTAGATAGATGGTGGATATCGAAGATTAGATAAGATGTTGGATACCGAATTGTCTATAGCTAGTGCATGGATATCGAATTATACATATAATAGTGGATATAGAATTGTAGATATATGTTGGTTATCGAGTTGTCTTTAAATGGTAGATATCGTATCTTGAACAGATGGTGAATATCTGATTTTAAATAAGATGATGGATAGTCAGCGTTGAAAATAAATATTATAGGCTGTTTGACTACGACAGGCTACAAGAATCGGTATAAGAGNAACTAATTCAGAAGAACGAGCGTTCAACGTCATACGCATGCACTCAACAAAATCGATGGATCATAGTGTCCTAATAGTGACACACTTCCTCCCCGTTACACTTTTGCCGGACCAAACTGGGTCAGGATGACCCACACAAGGGCAAAAGGTGTTCTTTTATTCGGACAAAGTCTCATTGATTTTTTTGAGTTTGCAGAGAGAATTTATATCCAACGCAACCTTCACTTTTATGTCTCAAAATTGAAGAGAAAATACGGCAACCGTGATTATAATTTTAAAATGTTTTTCTCACTGAGAGGCATCCCAGGAAACACAGATGCTCCATCATTGTATATCCTGGCGTATTTTCATAAATTTTGTGATCTAAGAGTTGAAGATGAGAAGTTAAACGGAAATTGCAACTTCATTTCAAAATCTTCCTGAAATCTTTATTCTGTGTGTTTTAGCTGAATAAGAAAATGCTGGAAATGCATTGCGAACTGACCAAACCATTGGTCGGCCATCATGCGCTAATTTCCTTCGGAAAACCTCACACTTACAAAAAATTTAGCACAAAAACTGAAAAGCAAACTTTTGCAGGTTTTGAGCTTCTGTTCATTTCGAGCAAAAACGTTGGAAAAATGAATAATCACGCAGATGAAATAAACAGAAGATATTATAATTCGCAGGGTAGATATTTGCCTAATCCAATTTTTATAAAATCTAATTAAAAAAAGCAGCATGCAAAAAAATGTGAACATCGTCAATAGCAGCCGTGAAGCCACCTCACGTACAACGCTTCGCCGTCCTTGGCAAGCGGGTGCGGTTGTGCGGTGTACGAACAATGTGTGTTCTTATGCAGCAGCTATCATATCCGTCATGATACGATCGAGTAGACTTCGATAATCTCAGCGAACTGCAGAGCAGAATCAGAAATTATGAAATAACGAGACTTAAGATTTCATTGCGAAAAAGTTACATTGTTAAGTAATCTAGCGCTTCTTCGAAAAAAAAATAATTTATAAAATCAATTCATTTGTTGTAATTTTCCATTGAGCCGAAACAATGCTATGATAAATGCAAGGGCCTGATCTTCTGACGCAAAATTCTCCAATTGATTTCGTCAATGTTTATTTCTAAAGAGTACAATAAAGTTTTGAAGACTCATGCTTTAAGAAAAATTTCGCGATAGTTATTCATTAAACGAATTCATTTAAATCGTTGGAACAACGTGTAGGCGACCTTCCGCTTAATAGCGTGCGCGTGCTGCGCGTTTTCACGCAAGCATTTTCCGCATGTTTTTCCTTCCTTTTGGTCACTCTAACCGGGCCACCATGCAGTTTCCTTGTTACACCTTTTAATAAACATAGCGCCACACCCAGTATTGATTATACATTCACTATTATTGCTATAGCAATCTATTTTCAGGACAAGCCTGTCCTTGTTGGCTTAGATTCGAACCTGAACGACCTAAATAAATGTTTGAAAAAGGGTTAATATTGACGTAACGGTCATTATATATTGTGATAGACTGCATGTGCTGCTCTCACTCGAGGCCTTGTGCAAGGCCAACACAATGTGCTGCGCTGTACGGGTCACAGTCAAAGGCCATGACCGTTGCGGCATAGACTATAAGTAGAGCTAACCACGATGTGCTAGACGAGTAAATACATAGCAGTTAGCTTTACACTTGATATTTTAATGCTGCAGCATATAATATTAGTAAAGCTAACCACGATGTGCTTGACGAGCAAACACATAGCAGTTGGCTTTACACTTAGTGATATTTTAATGCTGCAGCATATAATATAGGTAGAGCTAACTACGATGTACTTGACGAGTGAACACATAGCAGTTAGCTTTACACCAACTTTGCACCATCTTGGCGTCAACCGCGGGAACCGAGGGCGATGTTTTTTAATATTATTTTCCTCCGTTTAGCTTCTAACTCACTTGAGACAACCGCGACACAGATGTATGATACATCGATTAAGTTTAATAGCCTTTTGTAGTGAAGAAAATAATGACGAATGAAGTGAGCATGAGCTTGGAGAACGGAACGCTCAAAGAGCACATATAACACAAAGTACAAATGGATAATAAAATGAAATGAAC